GGTCCTCCAAAGCTGACCCTATGTTAGACCAAAACTTATTATTTTACACACCCACTTTAGAACTGACCCCTCAAATCCATTCCCGTTTTCATACCTACTCTCCTCTAGTTTTGTGGTAGGGAAATGGAGATGAGGTTAAGAGTTTGGTACCGGGGTGAAGAGTTGGTTAAGTCTATCCGAAAAAATATCTCGGTTATTTCCCTTTCTCTTGTATTTATTTTAGCTTGATAAATAAAACACAATACCGATACTCTAAGATCACAATAACGGACATCTTTTCCTGGCCGTTTACAAACAAAACGGCACAAAACGAGTTCCCCTCCCCCTCCCCTTAGTCGTAAACAGTCGCTTTCCAAAACTTCTTATGCTTCCAGCTTAACTCTGTTCTCCGAAGAAAATATTTTTAAGAATCATTCCGTGCCACACCTACGCTAATAGCAAAAACAGATCGCAGACATCAGCAAGGTTCTCATGGTGTGTCTAAATATAAAATGCTGCTATTACAAATCGATTAACCAGCTAAAGAAAGTCGTCTCATCTGCCAGCTACAGAGCTCTGCAGAATCAACAAAATATTGCGCAAAATTTCTTTTCACTTTGCTGAACGTTGCATTAAGTATGGCGGTATTTCACGAGCCCTGATCTTATAATTGAGCTTCCTATGCGTGCCAAGCGGTCGGCCTGGCTTAGATCTTGCTGTCTCCGACGCGGAGATTGCCTCACCTTAACATCGGCCGCGGCATCCGAAAGCAACTTTCCGTCAACATTTCCGGCTTCGATTTAGCGAGCTCTTGCAAGAATTCTAGCACTTTGAAGATCGTTATTGAAAAATTCCTAATCGTTTATAATCGTTAAAGGAAACGAAGCTATGGAGAAAATAAAGAACTATTTTTTCCTGAACAGAAACATTTGAAAAATCTTGGTCTTGAGAACCAGTAAACCTTTGCAAGTTTAATGTGAGGCATCGTTCATATCAAAACCTTTACATTATATTCCTTTCTCTGATCCGAAGTAAGATAGATTTTACGCTACGAAATGCAAATTTCCCGTTCCATTATGCCTTATTAATCATTGTCATAGAAAATTTGGGGTTACAACAAATATCCTAAGCTTAAAATGCTTCGTTATCTACTTCTCGTAAATCCGGGGCAGCAGCTCTCGCGATCTGCTATAGACAGCTTTCTTCAAAAGTCTGAGAAAAATCCGAGGTAAGTAGCTCCTTTATTTCAGAGTTTCTTTACCCCTTTTTTTTCTGACTGAGGACAAGATTTGTTTATTTCGTATGGAATCCGACAAGCCTAGGATAGAGCTAGTCATGGCGAAACAAAAAACATGAAAATGATAATTTCAGATCTGATTCCTTCAAGAAACAGACGTTACCATTTCGAAGGCAAGTTTAAATTTTTCCACGTCAACTCAGCGAGCTCATGTGATGACTGAGTCATGCTTTTGACTTGATCCCCTGGTAGTCTTACATTAGTAACTCTGAAAACTTTACTCAAGGAACTGATATCCTTTCGCCTCAACTGACAATCAAATAGTAGTATTTGAAACACACTGCTGTGTTTCCTGCACAACAGATGTGACCAGAAGGGAACAATATACTTAGAATAAAACGTTTTAAACAATTCTCGGAACTGTGAGCGCCACTATTTGATTACAAAAGAGTCTGACCATAAGAATGAATAGAAGCAATATGACGGATTAAGCAAGATTGCATCGAGACAGGACGTTTCTCAACCGAAGGAAAAGGAACACATCATTGCCTTTTCAATATATATACTTGTTTTGTGAATAGCATTGTGCTGAAATCTTTCAAAAACTATCCAGTAACCTTGACATGCTGTGGCTTTTTTCTGCACATATATAAAGAACAAGCAAGGAGCGTTTGACTTTCTTCACTTGATGCGTCGGCACAAGATTGCGCTTCGCTTCAGTTTTCATAACAATGCACAGGAGTAATCTCAGAAGATCTTTTCCTATATTTCCTTCACTTTACAACAAAAGGCTCCCTAGTTAGCTGAGCAAACGACTGCATGAGTGCTGAGCCCACTAAGCTTCATTCGGTTTCCTATCTGTGAAGTTTGTATTACTGTCTGAGGTCGAGTGTGGCTCCTCTCGCAGCCGATCAGAACCTTTGAAGAACAAAGGGTTGTATACAGTTGAACCTCTTGCCCTAATAAACAGACAAAGACAGAAAGCTAAGTTAAAATAGTAAATGCTAAACTCCTGGTAAAGCCAAACTCGTTTCATTCAACCCCTTTTGAGGGTTGCAACAAGCAGCAGAGTGCACTGGAATGTGCATCAGTACCAAAGATGGCAAACAATAGCGATCGATTCCGAAGGTTTTCTCATGGTTCTCCAATATTCCTCCCTGCAAATTGAAAATCTCTCCAAACCAAAATTTTACTTGGAGAACGGATGACACGAAAAGCTCCTTCGTGATGGTGCCACTGCTAAAATCCAAAACATATTTCATGTCATGTCTGCTCTGAATCAAGATTGTACAAACTCTAATCAGTTCACCACTTAATTGTTACGGCAGTTGAACGATAAAATGTTATACTAACGTCGCCATTCGTGTGACAAATTAAAACTTTGGTAAGTTTCAGCCCAGCCAGTTTATATAATTCAGACTCGGTACAAACCAACAACAAGAATAAATCAATTAATCTCTGCCTTAAACTATAGTTTAAGGTTATCACTCAGAGTCACCCATTCAGCTGCAAGCGAGGCGTAATTTTGCATCACTTTCTATGATTCCTGAGACGGACTGAATGAAAAAGGATATTTATGGCTCAATCTAAAAGGCAAAAGTTTTCCAAATGCGTGAAAAATAACTATGGACGGATCCGTTAGTTCTCCCTCTAATCTTAGGAATACCACACACTGTGATAAAATGGACAAACTTTGGCGTCCAAATAAATTGGTACATGGCATTACAAATTGCGTTATAGGCTCACTCTTTTCCAAGACTCTGCAGACATAACACTGGGAAATCTTCACAGCTGCCTGTTTGTTTCGTGCACCCTAAAAGAAACATGGATAATTTACCTCTTATCTCAGTTTCGGTACTTGACCATCAATCCAAATATTTGCATTGCTTTTTAGGACTTGTCCCTGATTTCTTCGTACGTTTGCTTTGCACTTTCAAACAAGAAGTTCAAGCGAACCGTATTCCACTACAAACAATACTTCTATTTAGGCGCTTCCCGTAGAATCTAATCGTAGCTCGAGTAATTGTATTTTCTGTAAATTCTTCGCCTGAAAGTGAGATTTATAAGTTTTGTTTGTAAATAAAACATGGCATCGAATGAAACCTTAACAAAATATTTTTATTCAACCATCTTATCCAAGTAAAAGTTTTCATAAATGATGTATGGCTGTCACGTCGGATTTCGTGTAAACCAAGTGTCAAGTGCTCTTAATACGTCGGCTAGGTTGTTGAAACACGGAGAATTCTGCTCCACATAAGAAACACATTAGATACATAGGAATATTTTAATTAGTTCGGATAGGGAAGGCGGCGTGAAGCAATATGCATAGACTCTAACAGTGCGGCTTGTTGAAACTCAGGCTTAAGATCGCTATCAACTTATGAGGGGCCGATGAAATCCAATCTAGTGGCGATTAAAAGATTTCACCACATGCCATTTGCTTTTAATCAAAAGTGGAAAAGTTGAAAAGCAATTAGATAAGAATTCTGCCAAGATTTTACGAGCTTTCCGCCGAGAAATTCAGTCTGGTTTTCCGAAGGGTGGTCTCAATTGAAAGATTTGCTTGCCTAACGTACGAGTTTCTGTCGTTACGATAATTCTCTCATTGCTTCATTTAGTTTCTGTCCACACAATAAATCCGTAGTTTGTCTGACCTACTATCAACGAGGCCATTTTCCAAAGGAAACAGCACTTAGAAGCCACTTGGCGGTCAGAAGTTTGTCAAACATACTTACAAAAATTTAAACAGAGCCACAAAATAAAATCACCAAAATATTTGTGATCGATCGCAACGTTCAAGTTACCAGGGAAGAAGCTTTTTGAATTCACGTGTGTACCCTTAGAAAACTTTTTACGCAAATTTCGCGACCGTGGTCCGATGTGAGCTACAAAGGAATTATTACATTGGTCACTTTATAATTGCAAAATAAATACTATATTATGCACATATGATCAGCTTATTTAACTTTTTAACTGGAATCTCAAGAAAAAGTCAAAACTCTAACCTAAATTATAGAAAGAAATCTTAAAGACACCATGACAGCGGATTTCTTGACGCCAGTGTAAGGTCTTACTTTGGTTTGAACCGCGTAGGACTGCCTTCTTAACTTGGTATAAAAACCATCGACCGCGCTCGTCTACACGGCACGTTTATATGCGCGCACAAAATTTAACTTTGTCAATCCGTTGCTTTTCTTCCACCCCTGATAAATAAAGCGAAGAAAAAACGCACAAGCACAGAGTAAATGACACACCATCAAAGGACCAGCGGTACTGTTATCGACAGTGGAGATCATCATGTCCGAGTCACTAGGCGAAGCTAGAGGATAAAGAGAAAGGTACGCCTAATATTTCCGGGAAACAACGTAGTTTTGCGAAAGTATAATCTGTTCATGTTGTCCTTCAGCAGCATAATTAAAAATATAAAACTGTTCTAATGAGGTCTTAAACTGCTGTTTAAAAGTAAAATCTAAAATGCAAGCTTTCGCCGATCAACGGCATCATCAGGGATGAGAAAATACTTCGGGCGCACTAAATATCCAAGGTCACAAAAGTAGCATAAAAAGCTGCGTTCACAAAGAAATGTGACAAAGATAACAAAGAGTGTGGAAAATTATGTGACTGTGTAATACCGTCCGACCGTTTCGTTTATGGTTTTGTTTTACAGTAAAAATATGGTGCTCAGTTGTTGTTGCTTCCGTATTTGCTATCCATTTCCCTATGCTGTAAGATAGTGGCACACGAAATTTTCCGATAAAAACAACTTATAATCATACCATTTATTGTTGTAAATATAAAAATGTTATTGAAAAAACTGTAGAGTTTTCCGTGCGCTTCAACACTAATCAACGCGCATTATACCTAATACCTTTCACCACTACATTTACTTGCGTTGAACCAATGGTTGTCGCTAACTAACAAATTTTACTACACAGCAAAATTGAGTTGTTTCCATATGGTTCGAAACTCTTTTACGTATATTTACATTGCGCAATGTTTACAATATTTAAATTTATCAATGAAGTTTTTCACGGGTTAAATAATAAACAACATCTATTTTTAAATGTCATTGATTTACATTTCAAGCTCGAAAATTATATTGAGCAAATGATATTGAAAATTTTGAGGCTACAAATAAATGGAAAAACATCCGTATAATTCTAATTATAATCACTCGCTGTGCGTCTGATAAGTTACAGATGACAGATGACGTCATGATATGGTAGCTGAGTTTGTCACTGATGTTCTTACCACATATTGACGTCTTCTTTGATCTTTTACTGTACAGACCCATGGCAACATGGAATCAATTTACATCGTACAATAATAAAATAACATATCCTTGTAATGATGACGTCATCTTTACATCAATCCTTCAATAGATTAAAAGTAATCAAAGCGCGTGTATAATTCAGCTTATCATGGTAAAGTCAATGAAAGCCCTTTATTACATACACGACGTTATAAACATAGCTTCCGATGGTGAGAAAGAAGTCCATTTCCTAACTATCAGTTATTCCTCTACCGAGGATAGTATACTTAGCGAAAGCAAAATCTTTCAGCTAAGTCTCTTCGATTTAAACACTCTTGGCACAATGCTTGGCACAGAACACGATACGTAGCATTCGAAGCGTTTTTTTCCTTCCACAACCGTAACATTCGATAAGCCTTCTCATACAAATCACGTCTCCCTTCATCAATATTATCAAGGTTTTCCTCAAGAATACCCAGCTGGCGTCCAAGCTTCCTCCAGTCTTTTGAGATGGAGTTCGACAGTCCCTGGTGATCATCACTACGAAGAGTGCCTTCTTTCAATTTTTTTCCTACGAGTATTGAAAAAAATGTCATAAAAAGAGCGCAGTAGAAGAATGAAAAAACCAGAATTTGATAAGAGTATATTTAACATACCTGCGAGAGACACTTCCTCGGGAATGAACGTCTCCCCTCCTTGGTTTGTCTCTGGTCTATCGAAATCTGCAAATAAAAAGTGTATGATTGGATTCAAACTTGACCGCGTTGAATCTTGGTTAAACGAGAAAACAATGGAAAGAAATCAAAGCTATGGAGACAAAAGAACTCTTTAAGCAAGGTGGGGGAGGGGGGGTAGGAAGGGAGGGGCTTCTTAAAATATTAGGGGGGTTTTCATTCGAGGTTGGACATTTAAATAAATTTGACCTGATCGCAGGGGTGCTCGAGGGGAGGCACTGATTCGGAGATCTTCGGCTTGAACTCAGTCTCTGAAGTGCCTGAACCAATTACGATGATCTCGACATTTGAATATTACATTGTGTAACCTGTAAGATCGCGACCTTAAAAAGTGACATTTGTTACCTGTGCGAGCAATCTTAGCAGGAACCATTGATTGCGCAGTCTGGTACGGTAGTACTAGCTTTCCGAAATGAATAGAACTGCATCGCGCTAAAGAAGAGACCCCTAAGGAATACAAAGAAACCATCAATTCTGTTTCATTCTTCAACATTACTTAGCAAGTCCCACGGTTAACGGAAACGAAGAAAAAGAAAGCAAGCACCCAAAAAGAGTGGGGGTAACGCAACCTGTTTGTCGCTCGCCAGCTCTTTCACTCCTCCCCACTGATTGAGAGCCTGGTAAAGGCAAACATATGTGGCCCACGGAGTTAGCGAGTTTTGAAAAACACTCAAGGCTATAATTTCATTTTTTAGTCCAGATATTATTTTATTTTTCGGAAAAAATGAGCTTGTTTCGTTGCGTTCAATTTAACATTGTCGGCCATAAGGTATCAATTTACTTCGTTGGCTTGTCCTAATGACGACAGGGGCAATGAAAACATAAATTTTTTTTCTTGGTCAGAAAATGTTGAGTTTTTGTGACAAACGTAGGACAACCAAGAAAAAGTTTAATCAAACTCTGCGCACGTTTCAAGTAAAATTAGTTATAATTAGTTACCCTTAGTCTGAGGAAAGCTTTGTAAAGACTGGCCACTGTGGTTTTTAGCATTGGCATCGTCCAAGACCTAAAGTCAAATAAATTACTCATAGTGTTAGTACTCTCCAAATAATCATACAAAGGGCAAATCCGGCAACTATAGGGACAAAAATGCTTCCGAGCAAAGTCCTGAGAGTCCTGAGATCAACTGGAACGTCAAATAGGAGACAAAAGGAACGTATTTCTTCGACGTTTTGAATGTTATCATTTCCAGTCTTTAGGCCACTCAGTGCCATATCAAGGTCTGACCAAACCTAATTCGAATCCCCTTCGCAGGTTAAATACAACGAAAACCTGATCGCAATGAACTTGAACTGGCTTTACCTGACTCCAAGTCTTGGGCGGACAAAACTTTGGACCCTGTGTACGCGTGCAAACGAAAGGCTTCCTTGTCAAGGAAACATAATGCGCACAATCATCGTGGGAACATTCTACTTCCGCATGCCAATAACACTTTCCGGTTCCATGAATAAACTGGCGTGGACACAAATCGCATCTAGCGCAGAGATCCCATGATACTTTTTGCAGCCAATGACACTCCTCGTGCAGCCTCTCCAAACTTGTCTTCAAAAAGCTAAAAGAGAGGGAGAGACTTTTGTCAAAGAGGTTGATACATTTTCTTACAAATCTTTCACGTGGATACGTTAAGGTCCGGAAAGTACGTAATGTACACAATGTTTACCTGAGAGAAATGAGGTTAACTTCAGCCTCCTTTAAAACAACATCGTAACTATAACATGTATCATGTTATGAACAACATCAAAAACTACTTCCGATTTCACGAACTGATAATTCATGTAAAAGTTACCACCCAATTATAGAATGACTCACTTACGTGCACCTACCTGAAGACCTCTGAGCAAACGTTAGGCTCGGTCACAACAGGGTTCATACTTGGATCGGTGTAATTCCAAACGTGTACTTTGATCACACGCTTGAAGCAAACAAAATCGACTGCAGTGTGATCTCCCACAAACAAACGAGCAAAGTTAGCCCAGAGCTTTGGTTGATCACAGGCAATTCGTCTTTGTACAAATTCGAGGAAAAGGACAACCATTCTTGAAAAAAGACCGCCTGGGACGTACTGAGTGGTGAATGTGACATAAACGGGTGCAGGGCCTGGGTTAGCAGAAACGTCCGGCATAAATTCATCGTCAGGTGTGGAGGTCAGCATGCACGGAACAAGATACACGGAACTGCCATCTTTTCCTGTATATTCACAAAGAAGGTTGAACTTCTTCATGAGAAAAAGTAAAGACTCCTTGATGTCGCCAACGCCCAGTTTTGTGCAAGAGTAATCAAGCAGTTTTGCATCAAGAATGCCGTACTTGCCAAGATCTTTGCGGAGATTTGAAATGACAGTTTTCTCTTCTTTCTGTTTTTCAACCGTTATTATCTGACACAAAACATCAATCAACCACTTTGGACTCAAAAACACCAGACTACCTGGATCGTCAGCCCTACCATGATAAACCACTGAACCACGATCGTGTAAAAACTGTAAAAGTACTTCATAGTCACCCTCGACCTCAAATTTGCAAATTTCGTCACAGATATTCTTTCGGAAGTCTTGCCTAGTGACATAGTTTGTCCCCCTGCTTGCTAGATAACTGACTTCATTTTCCACTTGAAGCCACCTCAATGGAACCTCATCTTGCGTATGTGGCAAGGTACCTGCAACCTTCAGAATCTCTTTCCGTAAGGCAAAAACTTGGGGATCTTCTTCCTCTAGTTCCTTACCTGCAAGAGTGTTGTTCACTGCAAATGTTTTTCCGATGACGTGTTCACTAAATTCTCTTGCTGTGTCACAGATGATGTCCTTTACACTCGTAGTCACGATTTCGGGGTCTCCTTTTACAAGGTCGGCGCGTGTTCCAACCAAAATGACAGGTGGTAATACGTCGCCGTTCTTTTCGTGTTTGAAGGAATTCACCATGTCCATCCACCTCATAATGTGATCTAGGTTTGTGTCATTGTTGTCTGGAGACGGAATCTTAACTTCGTCGTAACCAGGCTCTTTCACCAAACATTGGGCTGGAGCAGAAAGATCTTTGGTAGGATCAACCACTAGCAGATAAACTGCTTCACGCGAAGCGAGAATAGGATGAATAGCACGGTAAATGGCTTGACCACCAAAATCCATGCAAACTGGCCAAATGCCGTCATCCTTCACTGACTCTATCCTCGAGAGGTTTTCAGTTGTAAGTCGCACCACTTCATCAGGCATGTCATTGTTTCGCTTCTCATTATGCCCGTTGTCCCCTTGAGTTATCGGAGAAATTTTATCTGAGTTCACCCGAGTCCTCGGTTCTATGTCATGATCTTGCTTTCCCTGAATTGAACCGAAAACAGATACAAGTCAATTCAATTAGCAAAGTTGGAATGGAAGTTGGCCATTCATAAAAAGCTTAAATATCACCTTTAGATATAAATGAACAATAAAACGTATTAAAAACCTTTGGTGAGCTCTTCGGTCCAACCTCATTGAAGAATTCTGAAAAAAAAAATTAGCTTTGATTAACTCCATTTAACCCAGTAATATTTCGCTGCAGTGCTATGGTTGTCGTTGCCTTTTTTTTTTCCTTTTTGTCTTTTTCTTTACTTTGACGGCTTGTTTTTTCAGGTTTAAAAACGTAAGATTATAATTTTGCGTGTCGAGTAAAGTTGTAAAATACTCGAAAAAATTCCGTAAGGGTCTGTTGTTTTCCTTGTTACGATGAAGTCGTGAGCTTAGCCATACATACCTATTTACAAATAACACGATGTGATCAAAGATTGTTCTAGAAGCATTTCTACAGGAGTGAAACTCATGCCAAGCTGTTGTTGGTATCACTCGATAAACCGTCAACAAAGATGCGTTGCAGACCAGCCGAGAAAACGGGTTAAATAACGACGTAAAAACCCATTTTAAAAAATCGCCGTTACTTGTGTGCGAAGTGTTGAATTTTAAAACTCCAACAACAACCTGTCTCCTATCACGTCCCCTTCCGGTCTTAGTAGCACCTTGTAAAAGGTAATGTTACGTGCAACCTCTGTGATTTACTAGCGTAAAGTTTTTCAACAACACAGAAACCAAATAAACATTTTGTAATGAGGTACATACCCACGTTTGATCCTATTTCACCGATCATCCTCTCTGTTCTCTGGGTCTCATCAGTCTCTGTTTGCTTCGTAACTTCGCAGTCCACGTAAATTTTGTTTGGTGGTTCAGTTAATAACTGGTTACTAATATTTAGAGCACATTTGTAATGGAAGGTACTTTTTTCTTGTTCCTCTTTGGAATTCTTCCATGGTTTTTCACCAACATGTTTCAGAGGCATGTCTATTTGCACTCCCATTGTGCTCGATTCATCTTGTCGGAATAGTTCACCTTTCAGAGAACGTAACACACTAGTTTTGCCAACCCGGTCTTGGCCAATCAACAAGATTTTAGCCCGCTTATCGAATGTTTTTCCCGTTTCAAGAGCTCTCTGATAAGCAGCCTTCGCGATGGATCCTCTGGCCAAAATAAAAGGCGGGACTGAGTGCACAGCCTGAAACTTGCTCAAAGAAGGGACATCAGCTCTCTCAGCCCAATCATTTTGGCGAAGAACGGTTTGCACTCGCTCATTCCAATCCTTTGCCTGCTTAGGGATACCAATGACATCATAGATGTAGGCCAGGTTTCTGTGCAACTCTGCCACAATCATATTTTCAGGCCCCCACCTCTTCGCAAGAATGTTACGCGCACGCTCAAAGTTATCCTTTGCTCGCGCAAGATCACCAAGGGAACCACATACGGTCCCCAAGTTACTGTAAGAAAAAGCCACGAGATCGTGCTCAGGTCCAAAATTCTTCAAATGAATATTTAGAGCACGACCATGATAGTCCTTTGCTTCCTGAAATTCACCGCAGGCAAGAAATACGTTCCCCAAGCCAGAGTAAGAACATGCCACGCCAACATGCTCAGTTCCTAAATTCTTTAAAAGAATATTCAGCGCACGACCATGATAGTCCTTTGCTTGCTGCAATTCACCAAGGGCACCACATGCGGTCCCCAAGCAATTGTAAGAACATGCCACGCCAACATTCTCAGGTCCTAAATTCTTCAAAAGAATATTCAGCGCACGACCAAAATAGTCCTTTGCTTGCTGCAATTCACCAAGAGCACCACATGCGGTCCCCAAGCCATGGTAAGAACATGCCACGCCAACATTCTCAGGTCCTAAATTTTTCAAAAGAATATTCAGCGCACGACCATGATAGTCCTTTGCTTCCTGAAATTCACCAAGGGCACCACATGCGGTCCCCAAGCCATTGTAAGAACCTACCACGCCAACATTCTCAGGTCCTAAATTCTTCAAAAGAATATTCAGCGCACGACCATGATACTCCTTTGCTTGCTGCAATTCACCAAGGGCACCACATGCGGTCCCCAAGTCATTGTAAGAACCTGTCATGCCAACATGCTCAGGTCCTAAATTCTTCAAAAGAATATCAAGCGCACGACTATAACATTTCTTTGCTTGTTGAAATTCACCACAGTCATAAAATGCGTTCCCCAAGCCACGGTAAGAACCTGCCACGTCAACATGCTCAGGTCCTAAATTCTTCAAACGGAAATCCAGCTCACGAACACGATTGTCCTTCGCTTGCTGAACATCACCAAGGAACCCAGATACGGTTCCCATGATACTGTAAGAGGTTGCTAGGTCAGTCATGCTTAGGGCCACCCTTCTTCAAAGGAATCTCCAGCGCACAATCCTGAAAGACGTTTCCTTGCTGTGGTTAACTTAATATGGTTTCCATGTTGGTTCTTCGCCAGCTTGAGGTTATCAATGGTTCCATAAATGGTAGTTATCTATGTAACTGACAACAAACGTTTTTCATTACAACGACATGATAATCTGAAAAAAAGAGTTATAGAGGCTTGAAGATATCACAAGTGAGGAAGTTGAATTTAGATTTAAATGTTAGGTTGAAAATAGAAAACGTTGGTGCCCAGGATGAGAAAACCGTGTTGTGAATTAATCACTAGGCAAAAGGTTCGTTCAAGTCTCTAAAAAAGACTTTTTGTCGTTCCTTCAAGTTCCAAATTCGTCTCTGAGATGCTAAGCCTTAAACTGCCCCAGTCTCCACGACTAATCCCAGTCTCTGACTCAGAGTCGTAGAGTCTCCGCGACAAACGGCCTTACAAGTTCACTTTCTTTATATAGAAAGACGAAATTACAAGAGTCAAAAGATGAGAATAGAACACATATAGTGAATGGTTTTGACTGAAAAAGAAACAATATTACTAAACAAATTCTAACCTGAGACAATTGGTAGGAACGACCTCCTAGGCCAGTTACCTAAGGGGTTAAAAATTCCACTACTTTCTCCTTCAAGAGGAGAGAACGAAGGTTTCGTGTCATTTAAGAAATGCAAAACAGTTCACGGAAGTTTTAGATGCAAAAGATTACCTGATGGAGATGGGTTTACATTCGAATTCTGCTTGTCTTTTTCTAAGTTTACTAGCAATGAACTCGTAAATTCTCTCAATGCTGGCCGTGAAGATAGTTAACCATCAATCTCGCAACGAAGGGTGGCAATAAGTCTCGGTTATACCAACAGACACCTCTGAAAACTGCAAAAGAACAACTTTATTAGCATTTACACACCGGACAGTCACGATTTTTCACGCGATTGGCTTATTTTCCTTGACACAAAAATATTAGAGAAATGTTTCCGGTGTTCACAATTTCTTGTATTCCACAGTAACACAATGCAGTCCAATTCATAGTCAGATCTTACATAAACACTTTCTCTGTAGATTCTATAAATCTGCTATATAGAGATCTCTCAAACATGCTAAACTAAATTATTGTGAAGAGATTAAACAACGAGAATTTCTTTTCAAATTGTTTCACAAAATTATCGTACTGACAGAAGAACTTTCCCATTTCCAAAAAAAAAATTGATTTTTATTAAGATGGTGAGTTTTACTATTTAAGCCTACTGTTTAAATGAAAGATGATGTTATTTAGTGAATGGCACAAGCATACTCGGAAAAAATAATAACTCCGAGAGATGTCAATAGGGGTCGACCCGACAACCTTTCGATTAGTAGTTCGGAAGTTTGTCACCATGGGCCTAGCTTAATGGCCAAGCCTGTCACGAGTCTCCTATAGCTCAGTGGTAGAGCATTCAAAGTACTCATCGGAAGGTCGTATGTTTCACTCCTATTGGAAGCACTTGTAGTTCTTTTACTCCGAGTACGCTTGTGTCATTCACCACATAACATCTTCTTTGATTAGTATTGTTTGTCAATTGTAGAGATGATTACAATAATCACGGCTTCATAAATGAAGACAAATGACTGAAGTAAACTATACGCAACAAACTGGACAAAATGTAATGTAAGTATTACCACAATTTGTTCAAAATTATGCAATTTTACCGTAATAAGGAAATGGAATGGGCAAAACATGCCATGTTCCACTGCGCAACAGAGCAAAAATACTGACTGAAAGCAGAGCAATAAAATGGCCAGACTCAAAGATCCTAACCTTGAGTTTGTCTTTTGTTTAAGTTTTGGGCTAATACCTGTGAGCCTGCCTGCAACCTCTTAATGGTGCTGATGAATAAAGGGGGTAATGTTCTACAAAAACTTTAGTACCGTGTCAGTGGGAGAGTATAACAGGGTATTTTAGTATTATCAACTGAGTTGATAACGTAAATTGGCCACCGTAAAGAGTGACATCTGCACAAGTGACATGAAGTCTTTGAGCAAGCAAAGCCAGTGTGGCATAGGTCTTTGGGGGGGGGTTCATTTCCCAGCCAGAACCCTTAAGGACCTTGCACGCTCTTGCATTGCCGTAACATGGAAACCTACAAGCTTCCCCACTCTCACAGCAATACCGAGGAGCGGGCTGCAAGCAAGCCCCATAACAGCATGCTTCCAGAACAGGAGAGACAAAAATTACTTCCAAGTAAGTAAGGGAGGGGGACTATGAAGATCAAAAACAGATTCCAGGAATTTAAACAATTTCACAGAATGCGTGGTGGTCTTCATCTTAAATATCCCCAAAAGATGGGGGTAAATTTATCACCCACATAGATAACTTTCAACCCAACCCCTAATGCCTAGGGGCATTAGATTGCATTCCTAGAAGGCAGTGGTAGGCTACCATAGTTGGAAAATCATTCCTTAATGCCCCTGAAAGGTTTCTGACCCAGATGCCAGAATCCCAAGGAGAAATAACAGTAGTCCCTGCATATAAGCATATATATATATATGTGGAATTGATGAAAAAATTTTAAGAAAGGAAAATATCTGTGTATAGTGGGCTAAATTATCCTGATTTGAAAAAAAACTAGGTAAGCTTGGTCATATTGAGCAGTTTCTTATGGGTAACTACAATGTCTCTTCCTTTCATTACATGTCACTCTCAGAGATTTAACAGAGGTGAGTATATTTCATTGTATTTATCTCTTTAGATGCAGAAGTCATTCCTCAGTGCCAGGTAGAATTGTTTGATATGGAATTACTCGATATTTCAGACAAAAATAAGGAACAAAATCAACACACACTATCCAATTTCATGATAGTGTGCTCAGTGAAATCAGAAGTAAATTAAAAAAATATAAAATATCAACCAGTCATATGGATGAGCATCTCTTTAAGAAACTTCATAGTGTAGTATTTAATAAACCCAGGTCCTTCCTTTAGCTGAAAAAAATGGTTGAGTGAATAAGAAAAAAAACCCTAAAAATATTTGATGTTGTCCAGATTTTAGACATCTGCATTGGCACACATCCTTTAGGTAACCACTAGGACACCAGCTATAAAATGCTATTGAAAATCCACACCTTCAATGCTTCCTTTGAACCAGCCAAGCAAAACAAGCAAACCAATCCAAAAAGATAGACAAAAGTGCAATTGTTATAAATTACCATCTGTTACAAATGGTATGCATGAAAAGAGAAATAAATTTGGATACTAGGGGCTGTTATTTTAAAAAACAAAGTTTAACCCTGCTCATCCAAACTGCGCTCTCAACAATCTTAACCCTTTCACTCCCATGATCTCAGAAGCAATTCTCCTTACTGTCTGCCATACAGTTCTCAAAATGTTAGTTTGGAGAATTTGGTTTTGGATCAACTTATAATCCCTTAATTGATATTTTTCTTTATTCTCATTACTTGCCTGCTTGATATTGTATTGATATTGTAAGAAGAAATTCTGTCTTGGTCACTCATGGGAGTGAAACAGAAAATATTACCTAAGCAGCAAAGTTTTTGCAAAACTGTCAAAAGGGCTTGTTTTAGCAATAAAGATCTAATTACCTCAAACCCCCCCTCCCTGACAAACTTTCAGATTCCATTGATCATAAAAATCTGCTGCCCAATTTAGACTTTGTTCCAATAACGAACCCTAACTGTTTCTATATCATATCTTTTCACAAGAGAATGGAAATTAAATATTATTTCATGCTTTCCAGTTATCTTACTGAGTGGAAGTCTCACCACCAGTAAATTTGCCACCAAGCTCACTGGCTAATTAGGAAAAAATTAAAAGCTTTCAGCAACTCTTAAGTTTGATCTTGAGTCTTGTGAGCATCACCATAAGAATGCCATGAGCAATACCGCAGAGCCAAGCTGAAAGCTTGATAGTTTTTCAAGATGGCAGAAAATGAGTTAAATGTACATAACAATTGAAATGCTACCAATCTGATCCAATCAAAGAAATATCAAACAGATCATTGAACAACAAAGTCAAGCCTGTAAATATTTAAAATGTTCATCAAAGAAAAAGTAAACCAAATTGATTGTAACTTTTTATTCAAAAAAACCAAATGGCAAGATCGACAAGAAATGGTTTCAATCCCACACATTTATTTTTGTCTACAAAACAAGTGCTTTAAAAGCTCTCAAGGAAATCTTGTTAAGTTTTTTACCCATAACAACCACAAGCAATAAGCTAGAGCTTAAGCAAACATATAGTTATTTAATCATACATTTAATGGCTATACTTAAGGTGGCTCCATAGAGTTTTTTGACCATGCGAGATCTGGACCCAGACATGGCGCCAGCAATATAAATATCACCAAGCAAAACAAATATGGCAGCTCAATACGATCACACAATATCTATCAAAAGAGGTGTGTAAAAGACATATATCCACATTATGGACTCTGGGAATTCCAGCAACAACACCCAACATATTTCTAGGCCTTTTAAACCTGAAAAAGGCCAATACAACACTCGCTGCACATTCAGTTGCTTCAAGAAGATCTCAAAAATTAAGAAAACAACGAGCAAATCATCAAGTAAATGCTACAAAATTTGGTCATTGAAACTTGAATTACAAAGATGGCTGCGAGGAAAAGGAACCACCTACAAAACAGGCTCTAAGGTTATTTTGGGTAAGTAACCTACAATGTTCAGGATGTTTGGTTTTTTTCCATCTTAGGAAGATAAAAATTATTGTTTTGATCAATCACAAAGTTTAGGTCTCAAAAGTGGCTCTGATTTCCACCAAAAGACGGCAGCTAAGGATCTACAAGGAACTCGCGTCGTTGACATATAAACATTTGCACAAGGCCTCAAGGAATGTTTATTTTGTAAGCGTGGCAAATATGAATAGTTTTTATTTTTACAACAATAATAACCTGAGTGACATGCACTATGAGAATTATATTTGCCATACTGCAGCGTTTCAATGAGGCTTGCAAGGATTCCTCGCAATGAATCGCTTAAAGGTATGTACCTTATTATCTTTCATGGAAAAACTAAAGAATATAGGGCCACCAATATCCAGTACTGCCTGTGTCCAAGAATTTTGCAAGTCCAAAATAAACATACCAAATGAATATGCATGATCCATGATTCAAAAGTCTACGCATGCTAAGATACCAATCTTGGCAAATTTCCATTCTATTACACAATGTTTTGCGACAAAGAAAATAGGAATCTTTCAAGTAAAATTTGTCACATTTCCTTCAGTGAAATTTCCTAAGATTTGCTGGACCATTAAGCATATTTGTGTCTTTCCTAGTGCCTGTCAGTAAAAAAAATTCATACCACCAAATTTGAGATAGAGAAAGAAAACACAAAACTGCAAATAGCAAGAAAATTGCTTTTCTAACCCTATTTTTTTTCAGCTTTTAAATGATTGTCAGGACAATTTTCACAACTTGTGAAAATTTTGAGAGATTTCACCGAAGAAAATTGAAGAAAATCAAAGGCAACTGCCTCCCTTTGTGGAACCTGAGCTTAATAATGAAAATAATTTTCTTAATATATACTGCAGCAAACAATAGTCCAATCCTTGCCCACTGCCTTTAGATGGCTTTTAATGACATAAAAAAGTGAAAACATAAAAAAATTTCTTAGAAAAACAATGCACTGGCACACACACTAACGTTGAACAAAAACCCTGTGGAGCTGCCTTAATACAATTACAACAATCACCACTGGATGAGTGTCTGGTGGTGAGGTAACACACTTTGGTGGCAAGATCAACAATTTAACACAAAGTTGATCAATTATAGATATTCTGTTGATTGACTGCTTTGATTTGAGCTTTATCAAAAAACTGGTATGTTTTAAAATACCCTGACTTACTGGTTTTTGTAGTTATTTTAAACTCAGTGAGACAATTGGATCTGGCCACTTAAAAGCACAAGTTTTACACTTTGGTGCCAAGCTCACTGGTGGCCAGTCTTCCTGATGGCAAGGTGACTGGGTACCTATGTAATTACTGACTAATCAACAGTGTGAGTAATACAAATGTTCTTAAGACAAGTGATCTACATGTAGCTTTGGACGTTTGATGGTTTGTTCGACCTCCAAAGCTATTAAAAACCTCATGGCCGCCAAAATTACCCAAATCCATCTCCATAACTCTTCTAAAGCTGAGCGCCTTATTTTTTTTTAAACAACATGTTATCGTAAACTACATGCAAATTGAGAAATTAATCTCCCTCAACCTTGATAAATCATTTCTATAATGAAAACTTCATATCACCAGAAAGCGGAGGCAAGTATAGCGAGAATTACTACTAGATACAAATACATTCACCAAGAAATGACGTTTATCATTGTGTATCTTTAAAAAATTAGTTGTAACAAAAATGCATAAAAATACACACTAACATGACCACAAAATTATTACGGGATATTTTTGAGTGCTGAGATTGCAAAAGCTGCCTCCGTCGAGATAATAAGGTATTTTAGAGGCCGATTCGTTTGATTTGGATTCCATGTGACTTAAACAAGAGTACAACTCATGACAGCAGTCTGCAGCGATCAAATAGGGTAACCAATCTGTAAATTTCCGTTGACTCACCGTGACTCAAATATATTTGGCGGCTAAGTTATCGGTACTGATCATTAGCAAAGGTAGTATGGTGTACTTACCGGCTTAGGACGTTTAACACGGATTAAGTGCCAACCAACTACAGCTTTCAGTGGCCGATCGAAGATACAAATGGTTCGTCAGCAGGAATCAGAATGAGGATGTTACGATCAACGTAAGGACACCGTGCATAAACATAACTCAACAACATTAATGGCTGCTAACCGGAAGACCATGACGTTTAACTTCATCGTCATTAAGTCATGTGATACGGAAATACATACTAACTTATGCAGAAGGTGATCACGCACGCCACCGATCACGGGGAGGCTCACGGGAAGGGCAGAGCTAAATAAAATTATGCTACGTCAAATTTATGCGGTCAATAACGCGGACCCAAGCGCACGAGGTTTAAAATTCATCGAAATTTGCAGAGACAAACGGGGCTGGTATTTGAAACCAAGGTATTTAGTTGTAGTTGAAGGCATTTTCCTCTCTCCAGTGTTTTTAGGGAGAAAATTACATTTTCAAAATATTTTGGGGGTGTACAAAGTTTTTGGAGGTTGTCCTTTAAAAGAAAAGCGACAAGAGAAACAACACTTAGAAGTAACAGAATGGAAAATCAAACATGCAAGCCACTCAAAATCTGTTTTCTGCGGACTTTTCCGCGCCAAAGCCAAGCGCTTGCCCAGACGTCATTCAGCTCTGTCCAGGAAGTGGTCCGGGATTGGAGACCGCGCGCTTAAGATCAGCGGAAAAACACCGCAAATCAACTATGTCATGTAAGACGAATTAGTTCATCCTGTAAGACCAGATTTTCTCAATAGAGCACCGCCTTCGACTTGAAGTAAACACCAAGTCAAAATAATGCCGTCTTTTATTCGATGGTTATGAGAAAATTAAGTAACTAGTGCGCAACAACATGATAATCTACACCATCTTTGGAAATTTCAACTGGCAAAAAAAGCAAGACTCCTCGAACGTTCAACTAGTCTCTGTTTCTATACAAATATCTGCGAATGATTTACCGTGATTATTGTCAGTGAAAGAAAAATCTGATTTTGCTATAAAAGCCTTCCTTAAAGAGACGCCACATCGGTAATGCTGCTGAAGGGTCGCTTTTTTAATCAAATATTAGCCATTGTTTGACAAAACCGCGTCTAAACTATCTTTTGAATAGCAAAATCTTTTATCTGACATCTTCTTTTTGCAAACAGTGTCAAGAGGGCCGAAAGTTAGCAGCCGAAAGCCATTTATTTCATGAAAACAACCCTCTTATAGAGAGTATGAAAGCCCCAGTGCTTGCGTAAAACCATGTAAATAACCGGCCTAAACAGTTTAATAAGCGCTACGATGTTCACTTCAATAAATACATTAAATGTAAGATATGTTAAAGTTCACAAGGCAAAAAGGTAGACAATCAGACATGGTTTGATGCTAGCTACTCCGGTTTAAAGATTTAATTAATGTAACCGAGAATTTATAATTTATAGCCCCAACGTTTCGACACTAGTTATGTGTAGTGCCTTCATCAGAGGTGATCTGATCGCGTTATAAATGTGCTTGCCTGATGTTCCTTGACAGACACATTCTTCTGATTTTAGGAGTTCTCTCATTCAATTTAGAAGTTCCCCTTGGGTGTGGGGAGGAGGAGGGCAACGCCTATACAATCCATTTGGTTTTATCAACTGAGATGATAACGAAAATTGGCCATCGTGAAGACTCCGGATCTATTTCGAAACTGCAAGCATTAGCCTCTTTTCAGAACGAACCGACGACTGACGGTCTAACGGTCGAAACGTTAGCTTTGGGAACTCTTTACCGTGACTAATTTAAATCATCAACTCATTTGATGAGACAAAATAATTTTTTAATAACCCCACCCCAATTTTATCGAATACAGTCCCGTGGAAAATAATCAAGAGTGCTAAACGTTTACATCTAATTGCGTTCACCGCGTAACAGTCAATAGCGAGGTTAAGATCCAAACGACGGGGCTTGTCTACGACGGCTGACTTGGTCGAGGGGGAATGGAGAGAGGTCACCGTTGCAATGCCAGGAATATTACTTCACAGAATGCAGAATGGTAAATATGTCATGAGAAAGGCATCTCAAAATTTCCATTGTCTTTTTCCACCATCCCCTCCCCCGCACCCTATTGCTGGTGTATACCTCACAAATTTATTACCGGAGTTTGACGCGCGAATAGGTTTACAGTCACATAAGGCGCCGATTCGTGAACGAAAGGTCTTCAATTTTGACGAGACGGCTGAATTCGTATGTAAATTGATCATCCAGTTTCCAAATGCCATAGAGCAGCCCATCAGATTATAACGTGACTCAACCATATCCCAGCACCTTAAGGTATAACCCGAAAGCGTTATCATGGAAGTCGCTCACAGAAGGGGAATGTTATCTCGAGGGGAGGGGAATTGCGGTAGGGGCGTGCCGCCTGGTCCTCCAAAGCTGACCCTATGTCAAACCAAAACTTATGATTTTCCACACCCAATTTAGAACTGACCCCTCAGATCCATTCCCGTTTTCATACCTACTCTCCTCTAGTTTTGAGTAGGGAAGTGAAGATGAGGTTAAGAGTTTGGTATCGGGGTGAAGAGTTGGTTAAGTCTATCAGAAAAAATATCTCTGTTATTTCCCTTTCTCTTGTATTTATTTTAGCTTGATAAATAAAACACAATACCGATACTCTAAGATCAGAATAACGGACATCTTTTCCTGGCCGTTTACAAACAAAACGGCACAAAACGAGTTCCCCTCCCCCTCCCCTTAGTCGTAAACAGTCGCTTTCCAAAACTTCTTATGCTTCCAGCTTAACTGTGTTCTCCGATGAAAATATTTTTAAGAATCATTCCGTGCCACACCTACGCTAATAGCAAAAACAGATCGCAGACATCAGCAAGGTTCTCATGGTGTGTCTAAATATAAAATGCTGCTATTACAAATCGATTAACCAGCTAAAGAAAGTCGTCTCATCTGCCAGCTACAGAGCTCTGCAGAATCAACAAATATTGTGCAAAATTTCTTTTCACTTTGCTGGACGTTGCATTAAGTATGGCGGTATTTCACGAGCCCTGATCTTATAATTGAGCTTCCTATGCGTGCCAAGCGGTCGGCCTGGCTTAGATCTTGCTGTCTCCGACGCGGAGATTGCCTCACCTTAACATCGGCCGCGGCATCCGAAAGCAACTTTCCGTCAACATTTCCGGCTTCGATTTAGCGAGCTCTTGCAAGAATTCTAGCACTTTGAAGATCGTTATTGAAAAATTCCTAATCTTTTATAATCGTTAAAGGAAACGAAGCTATGGAGAAAATAAAGAACTGTTTTTTTCTGAACAGAAACATTTGAAAAATCTTGGTCTTGAGAACCAGAAAACCTTTGCAAGTTTAATGTGAGGCATCGTTCATATCAAAACCTTTACATTATATTCCTTTCTCTGATCCGAAGTAAGATAGATTTTACGCTACGAAATGCAAATTTCCCGTTCCATTATGTCTTATTAATCATTGTCATAGAAAAGTTTGGGGTTACAACAAATATCCTAAGCCTGAGATACTTCGTTATCTACTTCTCGTAAATCCGTGGCAGCAGCTCTCGCGATCTGCATAGACAGCTTTCTTCAAAAGTATGAGAAAAATCCGAGGTAAGTGACTCCTTTACTTAAGAATTTCTTTACCCCTTTTTTTTCTGACTGAGGACAAGATTTGTTTATTTCGTATGGAATCCGACATGCCTAGGATAGAGCTAGTCATGGCTAAACAAAAAATATGAAAATGATAATTTCAGATCTGATTCCTTCAAGAAACAGACGTTACCATTTCGAAGGCAAGTTTAAATTTTTCCACGTCAACTTAGCGAGCTCATGTGATGACTGAGTCATGCTTTTGACTTGATCCCCTGGTAGTCTTACATTAGTAACTCTGAAAACTTTACTCAAGGAACTGATATCCTTTCGCCTCAACTGACAATGAAATAGTAGTATTTTCGTCACTGCTGTGTTTCCTGCACAACAGATGTGACCAGGAGGGAACAATATACTTAGAATAAAACGTTTTAAACAATTCTCGGAACTGTGAGCGCCACTATTTGATTACAAAAGAGTCTGACCATAAGAATGAATAGAAGCAATATGACGGATTAAGCAAGATTGCATCGAGACAGGACGTTTCTCAACCGAAGGAAAAGGTACACATCATTGCCTTTTCAATATATATACTTGTTTTGTGAATAGCATTGTGCTGAAATCTTTCAAAAACTATCCAGTAACCTTGACATGCTGTGGCTTTTTTCTGCACATATATAAAGAACAAGCAAGGAGCGTTTGACATTCTTCACTTGATGCAGTCGGCACAAGATTGCACTTCGCTTCAGTTTTCACAACAATGCACAGGAGTAATCTCAGAAGATCTTCTCCTACGTTTCCTTCACTTTACAACAAAAGGCTCCCTAGTTAGCTGAGCTAACGACTGCATGAGTGCTGAGCCCACTAAGCTTCATTAGGTTTTCTATCCGTGACGTTTGTATTACTGTCTGAGGTCGAGTGTGGCTCCTCTCGCAGCCGATCAGAACCTTTGAAGAACAAAGGGTTGTATACAGTTGAACCTCTTGCCCTAATAAACAGACAAAGACAGAAAGCTAAGTTAAAATAGTAAATGCTAAACTCCTTGTAAAGCCAAACTCGTTTCATTGAACCCCTTTTGAGGGTTGCAACAAGCAGCAGAGTGCACTGGAATGTGCATCAGTACCAAAGATGGCAAACAATAGCGATCGATTCCGAAGGGTTTTCTCATGGTTCTCCAATATTCCTCCCTGCAAATTGAAAATCTCTCCAAACCCAAATTTTACTTGGAGAACGGATGACACGAAAAGCTCCTTCGTGATGGTGCCACTGCTAAAATCCAAAACATATTTCATGCCATGTCTGCTCTGAATCAAGATTGTACAAACTCTAATCAGTTCACCACTTAATTGTTACGGCAGTTGAACGATAAAATGTTATACTAACGTCGCCATTCGTGTGACAAATTAAAACTTTGGTAAGTTTCAGCCCAGCCATTTTATATTCGGTACAAACCAACAACAAGAATAAATCAATTAATCTCTGCCTTAAACTATAGTTTAAGGTTATCACTCAGAGTTACCCATTCAGCTGCAATTTTATAATTTTGCATCACTTTCTATGATTCCTGAGACGGACTCAATGAAAAAGGATATTTATGGCTCAATCTAAATGGCAAAAGTTTTCCAAATGCGTGAAAAATAACTATGGACGGATCCGTTAGTTCTCCCTCTAACTTAGGAATACCACACACTGTGATCAAATAAAATGGACAAACTTTGGCGTCCAAATAAATTGGTACATGGCATTACAAATTGCGTTAGAGGCTCACTCTTTTCCAAGACTCTGCAGACATAACACTGGGAAATCTTCACAGCTGCCTGTTTGTTTCGTGCACCCTAAAAGAAACATGGATAATTTACCTCTTATCTCAGTTTCGGTACTTGACCATCAATCCAAATATTTGCATTGCTTTTTAGGACTTGTCCCTGATTTCTTCGTACGTTTGCTTTGCACTTTCAAACAAGAAGTTCTAGCGAACCGTATTCCACTACAAACAATACTTCTATTTAGGCGCTTCCCGTAGAATCTAAACGCAGCTCGAGTAATTGTATTTTCTGTAAATTCTTCGCCTGAAAGTGAGATTTATAAGTTTTGTTTGTAAATAAAACATGTCATCGAATGAAACCTTAACAAAATATTTTTATTCGACCATCTTATCCACGTAAAAGTTTTCATAAATGATGTATGGGTGTCAAGTCGGATTTCGTGTAAACCAAGTGTCAAGTACTCTTAATACGTCGGCGAGGTTGTTGAAACACGGAGAATTCTGCTCCACATAAGGAACACATTAGATACAAAGGAATATTTTAATTAGTTCGGATAGGGAAGGCGGCGTGAAGCAATATGCATAGACTCTAACAGTGCGGCTTGTTGAAACTCAGGCTTAAGATCGCTATCAACTTATGAGGGGCCGATGAAATCCAATCTAGTGGCGATTAAAAGATTTTACCACATGCCATTTGCTTTTAATTAAAACTGGAAAAGTTGAAAAGCAATTAGATAAGAATTCTGTCAAGATTTTACGAGCTTTCCGCCCAGAAATTGAGTCTGGTTTTCCGAAGGGTGGTCTGAAATGTAAGAATTGCTTGCCAAACGCACGAGTTTGTGTCGTTACAGTAATTCTCTCATTGCTTCATTTAGTTTCTGTCCACACAATAAATCCGTTGTTTGTCTGACCTACTATCAACGAGGCCATTTTCCAAAGGAAACAGCACTTAGAAGCCACTTGGCGGTCAGAAGTTTGTCAAACATACTTACAAAAATTTAAACAGAGCTACAAAATAAAATCCCCCAAATATTTGTGATGATCGCCACGTTCAAGTTAACAAGAAAGGAGGTTTTTGAATTCACGTGTGTACCCTTAGAAAACTTTTTACGCAAATTTCGCGACCGTGGCCCGACGTGAGCTACAAAGTTGTGTGAAAAGAACATCTTTATTATTGGACACTTTCTGATTGCAAAATAAATGCTATATTATGTACATTTGACCAGCTTATTTAATTTTTTAACTGGAATCTCAAGAAAAAGTCAAAACTCCAACCTAAATTATATAATGAAATCTCAAAGACATCATTACAGCGGATTTGTTGACACCAGTGTGAGGTCTTACTTCGGCTTTAGCCACGTATGACTGTCTTTTTTACACGCCCCCTCAGGAAAAACCACTCGTGGAATAAAAACCGTCCACCGGGTTCGTCTACATAGCACGTTTAAACGTGCGCACAAAATCTAACTATGTCAATCCGTTGTTTTTCTTTTACCTCTGATAAATAAAACTAACATGTACGAATAAAAAACGCATTAGCACCGAGTAAATGAATGATTCAGTGATGCGACAGCAGAACAGAAGAGTTGTACCACCGTTAATGCGTAAAACAGCTGAAAAGTTCGCGGCACATTAAAGAGAGAGCCAAAGGAAAGAAATATTATCAGATTATACCGGGTGTTTGTTTTGATTGTCGCTTGAGAGTTCGAGACAAGCCGACGAAAATAAGGACACAAACTCACCTTCAAGACAATGAAAATTTTATCCTAGCTGAAGCCCTTTTTTTCCATGGAACTACAGTGAGGCAAGCTACACTTCCAAAATATTCCCTGCGAGGAATGTTGTAGGTTACATTTCTATTAGTACTGCAGCGACAGACAATGACTCGTATCGATTACACATTCAAAAGTAGCGGCCCGATATCACTTTCGACCCAAGCAGCGACTGCGCGATAAATGTGCTTCTGAACGCGCTTGATGCAAATCGTGTTTGTCTGGCGAGCTCTAGGAACTGACCAGGAATAGCCATAGGGACAACTTCATATGATGTACCCACGAGGATTCAACTACAACAGGCCTCCGTACCCTGTTGCGCCACACGAAACACACAATCCGCCACCGTTGTCGCACCCTCCGTGTGTGTATGGTCCCCCTTCTCGTTTCTCCTATAACGCATATCCAACAGTGTCTAGCTATCAGCCCAGCAGTTCAGCCTCCTATAGTCACATCCCACCGCAGCTCACGCACTATGCAGACCCAAGATACATGGAGATGAGTCCCAGAGAGGAAGCCCCGGTGTTGCACCATCTTCCACAGCAGCCAAGCACGTTGGATCCTCGTCCGGAACACCCGCATCAAGTCATGGAGGGTTCCGCACAGTTATTGCCGAGCTGTGAGCAAGGTAATCAGTTCATATGATGCTTTCATCAATGTTTTTTAAAGATCACACCTTCTTAAGTGTTATTATTGCGATTCAAGTATTTATCACGTTGAGTGGCACCTACTTCAGATGTGTTTGTACGTTCATTAACTTGCAAATCGTATCATAACTGCGAGTACTTCGATTCGGTCGTCGCTGAAAAACTGTAAACAGTTCGTAGCCGAATTCTCCATATCTTTCTCAATGTATCCCTGGATAACAAAATGATTCAATCTCCTCTGTAGCTCAGCTCTTGACCACAAGCGTAAATATCAGCACTTAAAGGAAATGTGCTATGTACTTTTAGATAAGAATGAGTTGATCCCTATTTGGTGCTTGGTGAAGTTTATATTAAAACTTTGGTTGAACTAGATATGGTGTAGAAATGAATGTCTTGCTTTTCAGGGAAAATCTAAGAAATGCAATCCTGTGCGAAAGTATTTCATTCCTTTATTCATGTATCTATAAAGATTATTAGAAAATACTGCCATAGGAGGAATATGCAACAAAGTTGAGCAAATTTATTTAAAGAATGTCTTTAGGGTGGTATCTTCTAAATCTTCTCCCACCATTTAGTGTCAAGTGCTTCTCCCTCGACTTACTTGTGTAAAAATGAAACTGCTCACTATCAGTGGTATATGCTATCACTCATTGATCTTGGAATCTGTCTTCAAACTGGTTGTTACTTAGTTTGTTTAAAGAATCTTTGAAGATAAGTGCTAAAGAACATCAACATATGACCAAGCTATGGGGCTGGATCTTCAAGTCCCGTGTGCATCTCGATTGCCACGACTTTATAAACTGATAAATTGAACTAAAGATCATTTATGATAAAATGGAGATTTTGGCTCCATCGATATCTACTTCCAAGGTCTTTGGGATATTCCCTTTGACTATTTTTTAAGCAAGACACTTGAGGTTTTTGTTAGTCATTTCCCAATAACAAGGAGAAGCGTTTTGAGATAAGGATGAATTTTGGCAAAATTAACATTTTAATTAGCCTTAGTCGTTAAGCTCTAAAACGACGTCATTAAGGTAACAAAAAACACTTTGGTTGGGAGAAAATGCACCGGAATTTCTGAAGAGATGATAGATTCACCAAACTTAGGAGCTAATGTGGAGGTGCACTGTATCTTGGGTTTTGATCAGTTTCGGGGTAACTCAGCTCGTAAGAGCGTGGATTTTTTTATTTCGACTTTTTCGCCTACTCATTGTCGCTGTTGCCATTGGTTTTTACCGAATTATCCCTTATTTCTACATAATTAACTATCCTCTTTTAGCCCCCTGTTGTGAGTTTAATTCAGTAAGATTGATCTTGTTCACAAAGGTGTCATTTAGAAGAGGGTGGTGATTAGAGCTCTAGTTGGAGAGTTGTTGAAGATGAGATTGTAAAGGATTAAAGTGTACTAAATAGATAAGCATTTGGTAAGTAGGTTTTGGGTCCTTTGGCAGGTTAGTGTAATAACTCTTCTTCCTCTGATTCTCGTGTCTTAACCGCAATAACCCACACAAAGCTTGCGCTAATAGCAAACAAGATGATTACATAGTTGTGGTCTCCACAGCGGTGTTTGGAATCCGAAACTACTGACAAGCTTTGCGGATGAAATCTTTGGCCGCGACCAACAAGTCGTAAATCTGGACTAACAAGTTACAAATAGAGAAAAACTTTGGTGTGCGTATACAGTTGTACTCGTAGAATTACGTTCCTCCATTATTAAAACCATATTTTGTTTCGAGTGCAGATGAAGGAAAGAAGGTGCATGATTCCTTCGCTTCTGTTACGTCTTTATTTACGACACAAATTTGAGTATTCTCGATCGATTAAATCTCTGTCACTAAAGCCGCGAGTGAGGAGTAGTTAAACTTGTCCTACAAGTTTCAAGAAGACCTCGGTTTGTATCGTGGAAATATGTTTTTTCATTCATCACTGACCGCTTTCGTTCTGCAATTCTTACAAGGAGGTAGTAAGAGAGTTCTCTCTTCTCAGTTATCCTCTTACTTCAACAAAAGTGTTTATCAATTCATCAGAAAACAATTTTTTAGAGAGAATTGTTACTACATTAATGTTGAATTCTCTTCACAAACCGATTTGTGTTAATCACAATTTTAACTTGTTGCCTCTACTTTTCGAAATCGTGAGAGAAACTAGACACAGCAATTACTACATTAGGCTATTTTTCAACCAACACACCGTTTTTTGCTGACACAAACAGAATTAAATGATAAAAGCATTTTTGATCTCGCACAAGTAATTTTGTAAATGTCGTCTCCACAGCCAAAGTTTGTGAACGTGACCACAGTGATTCATAAAACTATAATAAGCACAATTTTCCTTCAGCATCATTTGCAAAACTCACATAGCAAGATATTTTACTTGTTTCTATGGTTCATGATGCCAACACTTCAATGCATGATTCTGGCAGTGAGGATAGCGGCAGCAATTGGAGATCCAAAACTGAGCCGCACACCTCAAAGAGGCTGAAGAACAGACGCTTTGTTCCAAAGGAAAATTGAAATAAAAGCAATCTCCAACTACTAAGAATTTGTTCCTATAAGTCAGTTCAATGCATTATGGAGGTTTATTCTCGACGCTAATTAATCAGATGGGGATAAATTCATGAAATTTTCCCAGGTTTTAGACCTGATTCTCCGAAATGGAAACATATCACTAATACCATTGCACGAGCTTACCGAAAGGGAGTGTTCCGCAAAAACTGCGCCAGAAGGTCAAAAAGTGCTATAGCCTATAGCGATAGCCTCTTCGGTAAGAAATAAAGACAACCTTAATATTTTCCTCCCTCTTACCGAGGGGCTTCATTAATCACCATAGTGAAAAGCAGAAATTCATGGAGCTTCTGTTAAACCTTAGTGAGTCTGAACTTGCCCCCTTTCAAGAAAACACATACTCATTATGGTAAACTGGTCACTTGTCGAAATACTTGGTTTCTCGGTTCCAATAATTTTTGTAGGGATCCATTGCTTCTATGGTGAGGCCGACGAAATTACACCTAAATGAGAAAGTGGGGTTTTTCTACGTAATGCGCCTAACGACATCTCAGGGCAGTAAGGATAACAAGGCGTAGTTGCATTCTTCAGGAAAGGTCACGAATCGAGCGTACTTTGTACTTTAGTTACTCACTTCCTGAACCCTTCAGTTTTAAATCATTCCATTTCCTTGCCTCGTTCTTCTACAAACACTATTTTTGCTCAAAGAGGACTGCGACTCAAAGTGAGTTCCCGAACTGAAGAAATTGTCGAGTATTTAGCATTCTACTATTTTCAAACTTGACAGCGAGAGCATAGTTGTTAAGAGCCCTTCGTCCAATACATTAGAAGAGCTACAAGTTTTCTGTTCTCTCCAGCAGTTTATCAGCTCTTGTTTCAAGAGAAAAGCTTTGATATAACTGAGAATGAAGAGGATTTTAGTCTTGATGAGGATCAAAAAAAAAAAAGAAAGAAGAAGAGAGGTCGTGAAGGATGCATTGTGACTAAATGGCTCGAAGTTTGGTACAAACTTAGATCAGTCTTGCTCTATTTAGAATGCTTGTTACAGAGCTCACAACCTGACCATAAATTCAAATTTTTTTCTTCTTTTACAAAGGCTCTCATCATTGAAGTTATTCTAATAGCTAGCTGGAAGATCTCAGCCAAATTCATCTGAGCTTGTTTAGGAAGATCTCCCTGTAGTCAGTAAGTTATTCTTAATGGAAGGATTTAAATTCTTCTGGCGTATTCTCTTCGTCCGGGACGTAACAATGTTAACTTAATTGAAGAGTTAATTTCAGAAGATTACATTCTAAATTTCCTGTGCTGTCTTCTTTTCAACAGCAAAGGCCGGAAAAACCACCGGAAAGAAAAGGAAAGAAAGAACAGCTTTCACTAAACATCAAATACAAGAACTGGAAAATGAATTTCAGAGGAATAATTACTTAACCAGGCTCAGACGATACGAGATCGCGGTGAGTTTGGACTTGACAGAAAGACAAGTTAAGGTCTGGTTTCAAAATCGTAGAATGAAGTGGAAGAGGGTGAAAGGAAAACGGTTGGAAAAGAAAACTCCGGTATCAAAAAGATTGAGCACAAGTTCAGACGAAGAGAAACCGATAATGTAAATTAAAAAAAGTTATACACTTTTTTAACATTTAGACTCCCAGAACCGGTTATGAGACGTTTCATATGAAGGAAAAAACGTAGGTCTGTGTAAAGAAGGTATATAAGGAAAAGCCCAGAGTCTTCGCTCTGACACTACTTTTGAAGTCGAATATGATCGGAAATTAAATTGTTCTGATCTGCAAACGGAACAATTAAGTCCGTAGCTTAGTGTCTCCCATTGAAAAATTGCTATGGTTGTGTTCTTTCATAAAGCGTTTATTTTGGAACTTGATAGGCTGATAACCAAAATTTGAAAATTATAACAGCAAGAGTTATATAAATATTCGCGTAAAGAAAAGCAGACAAGAATATGAGTCGCAAACTTTTTCAGTTTTCATTTTTTCACTTTTCATCGTAGCTTCATTCGTTCTTTCGACGGTTTTGCAGAGTTCCACGAAATCATTCATTGAGCTGGTCTTGAAATATTGTATGTGATACAATCATGAATCTGTTCTCTCGAAATTTAAGTATGGATTAGTCATTAAATCTCAAGTTAACTAAAACAGGTCATATGGATTGTCTTGTTGGGTAAGTTCGATGAAATGCCAACAAAATGACACGTCTGGACTCTATGCTTGTGTTCCACATCCGTTCGGGCCTTACCTACATGAAAAGCTATTAAAAGTGGATTGTAGATAACTTAAGGCCTCACGTTTTTATTAAAGAGAAGTTTGAAAAGTGCTTTTCAAGCCAATTTCTTTTACGCGAAAATTTTGGGGGTGTCTCTGGCAGAAGATATCTTGTCTATTTATTCGGTGTTCGAGGAAGATTTTAACAACGTATTTGCAAAAGGAAACGAAAAGGGTCAGGACGCGCTTTGATTTCGCGCGCTTCAAGAAGGCAAATGCATCAGTGGAGCTGCAAAATATCTGGTAAGATATTAGATAAGTGACTGTGAAACAATCGGATCCATTTATAGTTTGGGCAACATCCTGCATCAATCGAAATCATTGAAACAACAAGCTGGAGGATTAGTTCCTTTTATCAATTCGTTCGTAATAGAAAAAGACACATGTACGAAGGGAGAATCAGTTTGGCAAACATATAATGTCAACTAATTCTCAATTTTCAATCCACGTACAGGAAATATCATGACCGCGATTTTTTAATGAAAGATCGAGACACCTATGAAAAGTTATTTCATGTTGCCACTCCTACCCCTTCCATAATTGCTTACTTGTATAGTGTGAGAAACAATTTTCCATCTTATTTGATAGATACATTTTCAAATGCAGTCTTGTCCACTTTACTAAATTCAGTAAGGTCTTTTTTAAAAAATATGTATTTATTTATCCTCATCACAAGAGTAACAACAACAAACACCAGGATGTCTAATTATAATTAAAGATTGCATTCTATGATGTGGCTCTTACACGCTTAAGCAAAAAGAAAAAATAACAATTGCATCCAATAGTAATACAAAGAGATACACCAACAACAATGTTGAAGCTTTCGGGGGGTAAATAAACACGTTATAAAAAACACACTGTCCATATCCCAGTTTTCTTCACATTAGAGAAACGGACTAAATCCATATTGCTATTTCAAGATTTAGCAGCGATAAGCTAAATCGTTTGCTCCATATTTTTGGAAAATGAGAATGATAGCATAATTATAACTCAGTGACCTCTCGAATCAGAGGGCCAGATGGTGTTTCAAAGATATCGATTTTCCGGTCAAGTAACCTATTGCAAGCCCATCAAGAATCTTCAATTTTACGAAGAATTAGTTGTGCTGCCAAAGAGATCTGTTCCCCATTGGACAGGTATCCAACTGTTGTCACATCATCTTCAGCGCAATCAGATGGAGGTTGCACCAAAACAAACATAACTAAGTACATGTATCGAAATATATATTTACCTCATCACTCAATGTATTTTCGAAGACGACGCTGTTTGTATGGTATGGCAGAACTCCCAGAGACAGCCGAGTGAGGCAATGGATGCTTCAGCCCTAAGAGAACTTTCCAGTCTAGCCGATGTACTAAAAATAATAACATCTTTTAAGAACCAGCTGTCAAAACCGGTCAAAACTGTCAATGTTAACAGAGGTTTTCAGCTTCAGAGGTCTCTCTAGGCTTTTAAAAAAATTATGAGCATGAGAATGGTGGATACAATTTAGGAATTGCTCGATCTGGGAAGACAGCACTTATTATTAATGAAATAATTCTCTTAATAAATCGAACAGTTTGACTTGCCATTTCTGACTAATACCAAATGAACAAATGGCTACTTTTTCTAAGTTTTTTCCACGCTATGCTTTCTTTTTTGCCCGAGGAGTGAACCTGGCTTCATAAGCACGTCAACAAAAAAAAAGTAATGATAAACACGCACGCACGCAAGCACACTTTCATCCTCCAGGGCAGTCCTGACCATACTCCCTTGGCTGGTGAAACTATTGTTGATAGAACTGAAATCATATTTCCGTTGCTGAAAGTTGTTGATCACGTACCAAATTCAAAGACTACAGCGTTTCTGATCAATCCAGTGACGAAAAACCGTTCGCATATTATACTCATTGCTCGCCACAAATAGAGCAAGATTGGTTTTAACCCCAAAGATTTACTTGAAGATCTCTAAGCTCACCAGCTACGCCAAAAGAAAGTCAAATCAGTAAATGTGCTTTTTAAATCACATTAACAGAAGGGTCATCCGAAGTTTCTCGCAAAACTATAAACAAATAGGGACCTAAATGGAGAAGGAAAACCAGGTTGTATATCGTTCTGACTGACAGGGTGGCAAACCAGTCAAGACTACACCTCTTTGAAGAGTGGACACAAGGGAATCAATGTTTGTCTTACACTAGGCATACGGCAGTCTTTTCGAAATCATCGTTTGAAGCTGGCGACAATCGAGCCGCCTTAATTTTTAATCTCGGTACGCGACTTCAACTTAGTTCTTGATGTGAATAAACATACCAAGAAGATATTCAATGAACGGAATATGGGCGAGGTACTGTCGTTATCATGTGAAATTAAATACGCAATTAAACGCTCAGAAACAAGGTATTTTTGGCCAGTTCCTCTTCGACGGGCTGTTTTGAAACTGAACAATTACGTACGATAAATGTATTTAGGAGCGCATACAGGGAAAAGGGATAACATGACTTTTGTCAATAAGGGTGATAATCGGGGTTAGCCATCGGTAGCCAACAATACACATCACAAAAAGACACAATAAAAGCTCATTAATAACCTTACTATAATGATCGGAAAACGCCGCACGAAAAGTTTGACATACCGTCGGGTCAGACGCAAAAAGGTTGTTCTATACACAGTGGAAACCACAAGTCACGAAAGTGTTGAGACAAATAAAGTTATCAATGGGACCTCTGACTTTTGGCAAAAGTGTGAAATTCTCGGAGATTAGCGGTTTGGAAGAATCGATAATCTCTTTGTTAGGCAACACGTGTTTTGATTCCTCCTCGTGACCAAACAAGTTAAAGACTTGTGAATAAATAGAGCAAAAGAGAAGGTAATTTCGGAGCTTGGTTGTGAAATGAAGATAGATGTGCCCTTCTACTTTTGGAGAGCACGGCACAGAAGAAAAAAGATTTGAATAATTTGAACAATCGCACCTCAGACCTTCGGATTCCGCACTCCGATGCTCTATATGATGAGTTAAACCACCATTAGTTATTGGTTCATGCGTATTGAAAATTAATCTATCAAGACTTTTCAGGGATAGCACGTGGCATCCTACGCAATTTGAACGTGCTGATCTCGTAAATTTTAAACGTTGTGCTTTGACATCGCGTCCACAAGGCAGACAGGCATGGCCTTAAGTGATTTTAACACGGATATCAAGCTCAGAAAGATGGTAATGTTTGGCGTCGTTAATGAGATAAAGCGGGCTATATTTTCGTCTTGCCTCGAGCAAGGGATAAACAGAAAATTCTGGGATTTCTTTCTTTGTCCCGTCGTTGATAATGGAAAATAAATGGTTTGTAAGGAGTGTAACACTACATACCCTAAGTTATGTTTGCAATTCCATCTTTTATAAACCTTTCAAACCAGTCGATTTTATCACTGACGACCCCTTCCGCTGATTGAAAATTTATAAAAACATACTTTACCTTGGTTTCCGGAGGTACGCACGTGCCTACGTTCTTGTATGGTCGCTTCGCCCCATTTGCGTGTCTAAGATACATGTAAAGGATTGTCAATACGATGTAGATTATCGACATCGACTGATTATAAAACTAATGTTAACTTTGCAAAGAAAAAAGTTACCCCTGTGTTCTTTGGCAGCAGCAGATAACATAGTTCGAATTCCTATACATTGCTGCGTACATCTGCGGCATAACAAGGTGAACAGTTTCCAATGTAAATTTGAGAAAGATTATGTCATACAGAGTCCTTCAAGGAATTTGAACGATGTGCTAAAAATTTATTCTATTTTCAACCTTGGAAGATCATAACACTTTGACTGTTTGCTAAAAGCTACACTTCGATCAGCAGACTAATAAGGAAATACGTTAGACCCTTTCATAGGTTGGGAAGCTGCAACGTCACACTTCACTAAATTGGGTTCTTAAAGTTTGAGAAAAAGCATGAAAGAGTTTTTAGCTCCTTTAAGATGTCTACGTACAACGTAAGGTCGGAAATGTCTCCATATAGAGCGTGGCGTCGAGAATTTTCGACTGCCATGAAAATTAGAAATTAGAATACTGAAATGTTTTACCACGATTTGATCCAACCAAAACAGTGGGCTGATTTGGATCAACGGCTGATCAAGGCATAAAAAAAACAGCACATCGTAACACCTTCGTTATTTTAGACTAAAGTGATCCTAAAGTTTTTTATTTGTTTTAGATTGTGAATAAAGGCGAAGAGGTTGATTATTTATGATTTCCGACAACACAATTATCCTATTTAGAGAATCTGTCAAACCAGAATAAAAAATGTTCTATTTCTGACATACATTGTTAAAAATATGAATTCGAAAAACACCGAAACTTTGACATTCATAAAAATTAAATTTTAAATTAACAGCGATTCTGACCAATCCTCACTACGGTGTTCTGTCAGCCACGTGGTGGAGTCTACTCTGAAATACTGAGTTAAGTCCCTCTTGATTTGATTAACATTGGAAAATGCTGTTTGAATTGCAAGTAAGTCTTACAGTCACGAAGGAGGCAAACTAGTTTTAACTTGTAAGGTTCGGAAAAAACTCCAATCAAATTTATATCGTGTTATACACTGAGATAAGACAGAAAAACTATACCACTGAATTACGATCTTGAGTTCTATTTCATGATTTACGTTTCCTCCATATTCTTACGAAATGAAGCAGTCTTTCACAAAAGATTAATACCACGGAGTAAATTAGATGGTGTGGCAAAAGGGCGTCGCCCCGACACTCGCGCCAGCCTGTTTTTCAACCGCGGACGGTTACTTCCTTGTTCCGTCTGTCTCAGTTGTCTTCACCGGTGTTTCGTTGGTTTTCTTTTGCAATTTGCCGCGAGCCCAATCAATAAGTATTTTCCAGCGGAAGCTCTGAACAAAATCCCGGACTTAACAGTGTTAAGCTGCCGGTCACACATTGAGTCGTGGGTGATGCTTCCTCTGGAAATCATGAAAGCGCAACAGATTACCGAAGTCAATGTGTCATCAAAACTTTCGCGTAAATTGAAAAGGGGTTTATCACCTCAGCCACATGGACTAGGCGGTCTTTTATTGAAAAATAACTCCACGGAAGGGGGGGGGGAGGTGGAAGGGGAGGCGAGAGAGGGGGGGGGAGGGGTAAGAATACATATCAGAATTCTTGGCAGAGGTATGCCGCCAAGTTGTACAAATTATGTCGAACCATAGCATTTTCTCGGCCGTTTTCAGACTTGGCCTATGAAAATCAAGCGCGTTTTAAACCTGTCTTGTAAAGTAACTGATTTTTCGAATACATAACGCTTTGTTGTACGGTAATTAAGAGTGACTGTGTGTTGAGGTCAAGAATTGGTAAAACTCAGCTCGAACACTACACTTTAGTCCCTTCTCTCTCCATCACCATAACTGTTTGGAGTTGAAAAGACAACTGAATGCGTCTGTACGCCCTCATGGTTCTTTTGGTTGACTGGTCAAGTTATTGACCATTCAAAATCTAGTTATTGACTAGTCAAGATCTAGTTATTGACTGGTCAAAATCTTTACCCGTTTTCAGACCACAACCTATAAACGCTATAAACGCGACTATCCCTCCCCCTCCCGCCCAGTCAAAGGTGTCCCTCTTCTTTTTTTGGTCAGCCGTTCTTGAAGCTTGTTGGGAATGTGAAGAGTTAAGAGCATAAAAGATATTCTCCACAAAGAATGGAAAACTCCTTCTAAAGAATCACGTAATACATTTATAACCAGCACTTCTCAAATCCAGTGACACGATCTCGTCCATTTTATATTTCTATATTTTAAAAGACCTCTTAAAGTTAATTGCAGATGGCGGGTTAGTGTATGTCAGTTAGGCACTCAAAACAAGTAGAAATCAATGACCGAAATTAATCAACACAAGGGTTGAACGATTTTCGCGGTTCAAGACATTTTCCAGGACCGGGACGGCTTGCGTTCCTTTCTATCACCTTTCATCAGTGGCAGATTTATCTCAATTGTGATTAGAAATAAAAGGAGCCGGCGATAAACAGGAAATTTTGGCGACAAAAATCTGCGAAACGAACGCGTGACAAAAACGGAAACGCTACTCACTGTGTGGGTTCGCTACCCTCTCGCATTTGGGACAAACTCTGGTGAATGGCCTCTGTTTCTAGATTTGTTTCTGGATGAGTGTTGAACATCTCCGCTTTCAAATTTCCATCCAGGACTAAAGTGAATTCAATTTATTTCGGACCGTACACACATACAGACGTCGGCATAATTCGAAACTGTCTTCAAGGTTTTTATAATGCCATTAACAGTCATATCAAGTGTTTTCAAGAGTACTATTTCAGACGATGTCCGGTCATAAGATATCCCTCTTGAAATAAAACTAAAGTTGTCTCTATTTCGTTCACGTAGTCACGTCGCTTATTGCTGTAATTCCTAATTGGACTTATGTTTTTACAAAGAGAAAGGAGAGTATTTTTCTTGTCACTTTAACGTTAGTACGTGACGTGCAGCTCCTTTCTGTCCTTTACTTGTCCCGCGGATAAATATTTCCATATGATGGGAAGCTGTGCAGGGTTTCGGCGGTTTCTTTGTAGTTTTGAGTGCATACAACTGTGTCAAACTGTTTTGCCGTTCCTGGGCTTTGTTTCTCGCGGGTCAAAGTGTTGCAAGGAGGTATCAAAGTTTCGCACGTCTGAAAATGTCCCGTTTCGTCGAGCTTGTGAACGATACTGTGACGGGAGAAACGAGAATTTCAGTGTTAATGGCTGTAAAAAAGGTGTCTGCGTGGGAATTTACCGCGCTAGGAAAAAAAAGGTTTACTAAGTAAATAAACACTGCTAATGGATTGCCTTTTACATAAACAGTCTTCAATATTTGTAGAACAGCTGAAAATAAAACAATTGAGCTTGATTCGAAAGTAATTAGCTAAAACACACAAAGTGAGATTCTCAAGAGCGTCCTTGAGAAGTGAGACATGATCTAAACACGGTGAACGCAAAATGGCGGCGGTTGTAATAATTTCCGATATTTCAGGATCCCTCACTCCCTCCTATCTGCTAAACGTTAGTACCGAAAATACAACGCTTTGGGCTCTTCCGACGGCAAACAGCCGCGTTTTGATAGACACCTCGGTATATTGGTTGCAAACTTCAAAGAAAGCGACTGGAAGTCGCACAGTGTAGCTTTCCATGTGATGACAGATTCCCACAAAGGGTGGGTTATTTAAGAACTGCCGCCCGACAAACCAGACGTAAATCGTATCGTCCAGAGCCATCATAAATATGTATGAGTTTTACTCCACAAACTTCAACTATCAGCCGCCGGCTTATCCAAATCCTTATGCCTATAACGGGCCTGATATGAATTCATCGTGTGCACACCGGTTTCCAGGCTATGGGTTCCATTCTCCAGGCCCAATACACACAACTGCTGCTGTACCAAGCTACCAGCCTTGTGAGCGAGTTTCGAACGTCTCAAGATTGGAGAGCGTGAGAATGGCCAACAACACGCCCTTGCGTTCAGATTTCTGCACTAAAACGCTGCACCATTTTCCACCCACTCCACCACCAAACATAAACACTATCAACTGCAGCGATGAGCCGCTAAAGAAACAAAGCATGGATAAAATGCTTGAAGACAGCGATGAAGGTAAGACAAGCTTCCGTGTGTGTTCCATCGATGGCGAAAAGTTCTTTCTCTTGCCTTACTATGAAATGACCGATTGAAAACGGCTTTACGATTTAATTGTTTTTATAACTCGACCTTGTGAACTATTGATTGAATATTCTGAACTAGGAAATGAGTTTTTAATACTGCTAGCACTCCGTCTCAGAGAACTTTGGGTCTACAGTGCTGTCTGAAATTTCGTGCCACATGCTCAAGGTCCTGTATCATTGAAAGTGTTGCTCGTTGCCAAGGCCAGAGCAAACATGGGACAAAATTACGCTGCATTAGAAAATCAGACATTATATCTCTTAAAAGAACTGAATTAAGGAATCACCATTAATTGACAGCAAAGGTAAGCTCGAGTATAAAATCAATAAAGTGCGCACTCTTTTACCGAAAGCAGTCGCGTTTTCCAGGAATGCATTATTACTTCAAACAATGAAATGTAACTAGCCTTTATAGCCTTTTGTTCGTGTTGGTTTTTCCCCATACCAAAAAGAAATGGAAGAAAATAGGATAAATAAGCCAGCGTTAATCCCGCGACTCAATCAGCAGGGTGTGCAAAAGTCTGACAGAACTATGCTTTGATCCTGCGAAATGATTTGATTCTCTTCTACTGTACGTGTCTTTGAACCTTAAGCTGCTGTAATATGGCAAACCGTTTGAAAATCCATCTAGTTTCTTTTTTTGGCAACGTTGTGTGGACTTCTTGAGAGTGACAAAAAAAATTTCTAAAGAATCACCTGATCACCATTAAACAAGTGACAAGTACACAAGGTTGATCCACTCCATACACCAAAGATAACTTATTTTTAATTCGGGAACAATTAAAGGACCAGATCTTACTACAAACCAGCTCTAGCGAGTTCGCATTTCAATATGCTGCAGATATTTCGTCTCTTGAAGCTGTTTACTTGAGGAAATTGCAGCTGTGCGGGCTGAAAATTATGACACCGCTAGCGGGCGTCATGAACTTTGACTATCAAACGTGATGAAACAGGACGTCCTTCAATATTTTCACAATGCTTTCTCTTTTCAAGTTCTATATCCTGATAACGCCTGAAAAGTATCACCTGCACTGGACACCGAGTCTTTTCTGATCGGGTTTGCCTTTGCGTTGACGGAAAGAAGGCTGCGATCTATCCTAAACCAGACTTCTTGACTACATGTCGGGACTCGAAATAGAACTTAAAAAATGCCTTTTTTATCTAATTCTTTGCAGTGAGAACGTGAGAAATTAGGATATGACGTGTTACATTTGTAATCCCACTAGTTAACAAATTGAATAATTAGAAACTAAGGCCTAGAGGATTGGAATATCAAAGAAACAAAAAGATACCCCGCAGGCGAAAATGTCGGCTCTTTTTAAATAAACTGCACGAAATACAGGTCTAAACAGAATCTTTAGATCTATTAAAGATTAAACTGTGGGAACTTCCTATTTCTACCGATGGTCGATATTTTCAAATATCTCCAATGTCGCACGAAAAGAATGATCACATTGAGTTCAAACCTTAATCATTTAAGTGGATTCATAGGTGTGTATCACTGATTTACTTTCAATTCTGCATTTCAGCTTGTGTAATATTTTGAAGAATTGTGTGATAGTGTAAAGCATTACAGAGGAAAAAACTTCAAATACGGCATACCTACGCAAAAGGCAAAGTAAAATATTCCTTAGACCTCTGCTCCTTTTAAATCTACACGATAATAAAATTGTATAACAGGTCGAAGGTTCTTGAAAAAGCAATATTTCCAAGTAGAGCTACCAGGCGTAGATCACGATTTAGGCTGAAACCAAAAATTTTCATCCAAAATATAAAACAAACGACAATGTGGATGTCGCGTAAAAATTAATAGAATTGCCTTTTTCAACTGGGTGAAAACAGTACTTCGTGAAAGAAAAGCTCTGAAGCTTTCTCCTAATTATGTAAGATGTCTTCAGACAGTGTGTTTGGTTTTAAAAATTTCTTTCTTTCTTTTATTTCATATGATAAAATAGAAGGTTCCAAAAACAAGGCAAGGAAGGAAAGAACAGTATTCACAAAATATCAGCTACACGAACTTGAAAAAGAGTTTGGCCGAAACAACTATTTGACCAGACTGCGTCGATACGAAGTGGCTGTCAGTTTGGACTTAACAGAGAGACAAGTGAAAGTATGGTTCCAGAACAGAAGAATGAAATGGAAAAGAGTACGAGGAGGAATACCCCCCAAGAAAACTGCTTATGCGGATCAAATGGATCTGGCAATTTATTGAACAGTGGTACGAAAGATTCTAATTTTTCGTCATAAAGTTATTGGTGCAAACTTAAAACACTGTAAGGTCTATTGATCAAGAAATTATTTGCCTTTTGTTACCAAATGTTATGAAGGAATCTTTCTTTGAGTTCATGTTCTATATTATTAAGTAAATGTACGAAATTGCATTTTTCAAAGTTTTGATCAATTCTTCCTCCTTCAGACGATGGTTAAAATAACAATTTTTTTATATATATATTGAATTACCTAATTGATTGAAATAGGATTGACTGATTTTAATTTAAAACCAGCACCGCACCATGCACTCACTTGTTAAATGGTTTTTCCTCAACCATTGTCTTTTACATTTAATTTACATTCAACAGCACTGTATCAAATCTCCCAAAACATCGAATCAAACCCGACCTTCGATGTCTTATAATTTCCTTCAGGAAGTGTTAAGCTCATAAGGTATAACACTTGTGCAATTTCACCTGATTTATTCTCCAATTAACAGGAATTACATTGGGCTAACAAACGCTAAATGCTGACATAAACAACTCAGCTTGGCAAATGCTGGGAACTCATGCTCAATAGATTTTTGACGTTCAGTTTTAGAACGTTCTTTTCATTTGTTTGTTCAAAGTGAAATACTGTACATCTTCTTTGATATAATCATTTTATTCAGAGAGATCATTCCGGTGTAAGAGTTTATTTTAGTTATGTATAGAAATGCACATAATTTGGAGAGATCACACATCAAGAATGTCTGTGTTCAGCTATTTATTGTTTATACAAATTATTTACAAGAATGCTTTGAAAAAATATTTACCACGATATAATGCGTTACCGCAAGCGTAGATATATGTATACATAAAATAAAAACAGTGTGATGTAAAGTTAGAATAACACGAATAAATGTTTAAAATGATATTGATAGACTCTTGGTCTCACTTTTTTCTTCCCATGTTCTTCTCTAGCTAAACAAAAACGAAACGAAACGAAACGAAGACATGGGTAATGCCAACGAGATGTGACATGCATACTGTCGTAGTTTGCTATGCGACATATTGAAGACACGGCATGAAAGGCGAATATATAGGCTTCAAAACTAAACTGTTTCCATCTTTAAATTTAATTTCGGTTTGAAATTTCGTGATATTTCAAAGCTCCCACACTGTCCCATGAAAAAAAATTCCCCTCGTGAAACAGAATTTTATTTTCTTTCTCGCAGCCTGAGCATTGAAGGTTTCAATTTATTTTATCACTGATCATCGGATTTGATTTAATTGTCCATTTACAAATCTAATGCCTTTTCTATCCACAGACAAAATCAGTTATTGACGGAGTCTTGTTACTTTCACCCAGTGCCTCAAGGTTCCTGACCCGTTTCTTCGCCCATGTTCAAAACAGCATTCCTTTTTTCACTAAGCTTGAATTGTAAGAAGAAATCGGTATTCCAGATTTAAACTGACCTCTTCTAGAAAGGTATGGAAACTGGGTTTCTTGAAAGGAGAGAAGGGCAAAGTACTCTAACGAATTGTTGATCATGTAAAAGAATAAATAATTTTACACAGTTCACCTTTCCTATGCTTGGTGAGAATTATCGTAAAACCGCCGTTTACGACCGTTTCAAGACATGAGAAGTCAGGCCACATTTCAGTCGTCAAATCTGTTGTATAATGACAGATTGAAAAGTAGACAGACGGTAATGACTCGTACTTCTATTTGAAAATGTCTTTCACTTTGCGGTTTGTTCTCATGCAAAAAGAACACCTCAAGCTTGCAAAATGGGATCTTATTAAAAGAGGTAAAGATGATATGAAATAACACGAAACCAATGATTAAAAGAAATGTTCATCCTTAAGAGTTGTATCGTCGTAAAAATGATGGGGACCACCGTTCTGAGACTTTTACGCATTTAACAGAGTCTGAGCTACAAGTATATACAAGTCGAGATATCATTGAGACAGTTTTTGTATGTGGCAAAGGATGGAGAACTAATTTGAAAGACATGGATCGCGCAATAACAAACATGATTGCTGTGGGGTAAGAACGATAAGTATTACAAGATGCAAAAGTTGTGCCAACCGTTTGCATGTGTCATCTCCAAATTCAGTGACAAGAAACAGATAAGCTGATCTTCTTATCTTTAATCTCCGGTTTTGTTGGGCTATCATTGTAATTTGGACCACCAGCCACGAGACACATGTTCTGCACAAAGACTGATCTTCAAAAAGTCTTTATCTGTACAGCTGTATCTTGAAAGTGTCGACGTCAATGAAGTGACTTCACGGCCACTGCAAATGAACAGTGGACCTGCAAATAGCAGCCGATTCAAGGCTGTGAGAGATTCAAACTTATAACCTTGATGTTTCGCGACATTTTTCAGCGAAGCTTTAGCATCTTCACTGATTCGTTTTTTACGTTTCTTAGCTTCATTTGACATGAACGCTTCGTTACTTGTCTGTCGTCGTACTTCGCGATCATCGTCTAAAACCTCTTTCTAAAGTATGATCAACCGAACAATTTTCAAAGTATCAATATGAATTTTCTTCGGCTTTGGAAATTGCTGTCGTCCTAAAAGTTGTCAAAATTAGCGAAAGCGTACGAATCGAGATCATATGATATGTGAGTGGTTAGGAAGTTTGACCTACAAATTGTTTTTTGAACAAAAATATCCTTGCGATGAGATAAGCGTTATGGCCTTTTTGGCAACGGTTTTGGGAAATTTATAGTATCGTTTCACGTGTGGTGTTTATGACTGTTAGAAAACAAAGCAGCTCTCAAATCACTTTTGTAGGCTGTTCTCAGGTGGGCTGATAGTATTCCTGATTATACACAATAATGTACCGTGTGCTGTGATCTCACCGCGGCGATCACATCAGAGCCACAAACTGGAAGTACTCGGAACCTAATTACAATCGCTCATGTTTGGTATTTTTAGAACATTGTTGTCTAAATTTAATCTTTAGATTCTTTTTCCTGTCTCTGACGTTAGGTTGAGATGTTGCAAAAAGTCGTTGGCTCAAACTTGCCACTGATTTGTTTACGGCATACTTCAGTTTGTAAATGGCTACTTTAAAAGGTTTAGAGCCAAAGAAAAATTCCTAATCGTGGGTCGACCATTAAACACCATAAATAGTGTAACCGGCAAACTTCTGTCTAAAGAAATAGCTATAGCGTATCCATAGTCGTATAGTATTCCACTGAAGCTGTAACTATCAGTTATCAACAGAAAATCATTGTCCCATCATCAAAGACAAATCAGCTGATGAGCATGGTTTCCACGGCAAGAAAATTTGATTTTGAATAAGAGAAAAGATTAGTCTTCTTCATTCACTCATAGTGTATTTAATATTACAAGTAAACTGTCATCGCACGACTTTTCGTTGCCTCATTTGCATTGTCTGTTCACATTTTTCGCTGAATCAAGGATAGTTTGAGGAAAAAAAGCAAGAGGTTATTTGATTTGTCTTGGTGAAGCCTTTGCTAATGCTCGGAAATATATTTTAAGGGCATAAGTTGGATGAAATAAGATACACTCAATTGGAGTTTCTGAGGAGTAAACGATCCAGATTTTTCTTCACTGGTTTGCTTTGCAAGGGATAAACTTAGGAACTTCTTCGTAAAACCCAATACTTGTTTCAGGTTGTGTTGAAGCCTAGAGAAACGGAACAACGGAAAATATATGGTGTAGAGACTTAGACACTAGGTAACATGCCGGACAATGACTGATGAAGCTAAAAAACACCGCGTAATAAAGTTACAAGCTGTTAGGAAAGGAGTTCATACGAGCCATGAACATCAAACATGCAGAATCAAGGTTAAAACTCGTAACAGCAAGCTGAGGCTGTTTCAGAATTACCTCTTCGTGAGTAAGAAATATGCCGACACGCTAGCAGAATATCTTATTGAGAGAATAGCTAATATTTTGTTGAATGTTTGAGGGGGCAAGAGCGTGCTAATAAAGGTTAACTGACTGATACTCAGTTGGAAGAGCAAGGTCTCGCTGGCAACGCTGAGAAGTTGCAAAAACTCTGGACTCTACGGGTTTCTTCACCTCAGCGAGAGATTAAGTTAACATTGGTGCGACTGAGTTTGAGGAGGCAAAGATTCAATTGTTCCCGAAAATCACACTGTGGATGAGTGACAAGCTATTAACAACATACCTTGAGTATTTCAGTCAAAATTATTGCTCTCGTCACCCAACACAAGAATCAATGTCGTGACATGGGCAGGGTATGAAGTACTGAGGTTAATTAATTTTCAAGAACTTTTTTTCGGGATTCTCATCAACCTGTTAGCACAGCTCTAAACAAGCGACCAGATAAGCATTGTTGACATGCTTAACTAAACCTCTGCAGTTTCTGCACTCACGACTGCAATTAGAACTTATCACATAGAGATTCGAGCGCCACAAAGACTGTTGATTTTAAGTAACTACATATTGATACTTCAGTCTTAAAAACTACACTAGCATTGATAGCTACAAGAAAGACTCTGATAAATGAAAAGTTGGAAAATGCAATCCATCTGCACCATCCCTGAAAAATTTTATCCTTTACACATAAGAGAAAAATTTGCACAGCGGGGAAATATATGTTTACGGGGGAACGCTTAATAGTGCGGCAGCCGGCGACTCCATAGACTTGTTATCCGGATGTTGTTAGTCAATCCAGGCCAGTTAGTGTCTATGCATCATTAATCTTCATTTGTGCCGCGCAACCTGACGTGACTGGCTTGAGTCCAGGGTAAGAATAAGAGACTCTCTGCTAATAGTTCAAAATGGCCAAAGGTATTCTAAAATGGAACAACGAAAAAAAGTTTGACCTGTTCTTCCGAGGTATCTGATCAAATTATTTCATTTAGTTGCAAAACCCTTCTATCGCTAAACCCGTGGACATGCGACTCTTTCCAAACCAGTATAAAACGAAAAAGATGGAAGAATGTCTCGGATTCCAGTGTGAGCAATTCAACTCAATTAACATGTTTTAAATTGAGGTCCAACTGGAAGAAACTTCTTGAAACAGTCAAGCGGTTAATATCAGTATATCTCCTGAAAATTGGTACAACAAATCGGATATGGAAAACGTTTCAAAAAAAAAGAACTACCCTGCCTTGTGAGATGCCATTTTATCTAAATGAAATGTAATTCTTTGAAATCACTGAGAATTTTCATCCCTCTGAGAAAATAATTGATAAGTAAGGAGCTCCACTAAGGAGCTCTTTGCCTCTCTTAACTATAGGCCAGGAAGAATGGAAAGAATTGTAAGAAAAAATAGCTACCAGTCCAAGTATTTCACATCAAACAGAATTTTACATGAACGATAAAAGATCTCAGTGTCAGTTAAGAACAGTGACAATTGGACTTGTTCCTTTATAGATGTGATGAGCCAGATAGAAAACGTAAAGGAAAAAATGATGCTTCTCTCTATAAGCTGTTTTCGTAAACAGGAAGACTGTATCGAGATCGCGCAGTAAATTTTGCAGCAAAATATGCCTCTCTGCAGGGAAAAGTATTGCGCATGGTCGGTGCTCAGAGAAGACAATGAGTTCACATCTGTTCCGCATTTTGCGAAATTTTCCTCTGAACTTTGAAGTGATACGTCGGTGCTCTCTTTGTGAATAAGAACGGCTGGGGGCCATACTACCTGTGGTTTTTTAATCACTTCGACAGCTCCCTTAAACCGTGATAATTTACATTGAAAAATATTTCCAACTCTATGTACGCAACGAAGAAACGTAACTCGAAGAGAGTCGGTTGACAATTCTATATATGAGCAAGATCTAAAAGAAAGAGAGAGAAGATTGAAGAAGCACAGAAACGAAATTAGTTTCAAAGTATGATGGTAATATGAAGTACACTCGGTATTCATCAGATAACGAGGCCTTAGCGCAGAATTTCCAATCAACAAAGATTTCTCCGCGCGTGTAGCTCCTGACCACAAATTCGGCTCTCTCTCTCTCACCAAAGCGAGAATTTTCAGGTTTATTTAGTTTGTTCATTTTCCAATATTTGCTTTCTCCAAGTCAAGCACCTCCTTGAGAGCCTTGTTGATTTTCAATGCAATCAAAAGACGGCTTTGTTGACATGTAACGCTGTCTTATACATGATTTGACAGTCACAATCTGCGCGGTGTATTTGTGTCAGGATCGATTTCAGCGCGCATTCCCCGACCGACCAAGTCTCAGCGAGAGAAAACCCTGCTAATTACCTTTGATAGGAAAAGCCTGTACCGCGACGTGAAACCCAACCGTTTTCTATTTTGTATTCCACGCAAATGTATCCAAGAGCGTACGATGTTCAGCCTAGTTCGTATTCCTACCCTCCGCAGAATTATGCAGGAGCAGTTCACTTTCCTTATGGATATTCTCAGTCGCGATTTACTAACTACAGCAACGTTCCGATACAGCCGCAAGATCTCTCAGAATTGCCGCGACACCCTCCACCTCCACTTTCGCACCTAACCGAGCAACTGAGTGGAAACCATCGCGCTCAGACAGAAGATCGGCCTTCGTGCATGCTTCAAGAAAAAGGTTTACCAGTTTTCTTCCGAGTCACTTCGCGTCCGCTTGATCGACGTAGAAATCGTCGAGGATCAGAGTCCTTCGACGACGGCGTTAAAGGTAACTTCCCCGATTGAATTGGTTTCCATGCAAAATTTCCTGCTGTTTTCCTTGTATTGCCATAATGGCATATGTTACTAAAACGAAAACAGAAACTTATGTTTTCTTTGTTGCACTTTTCTAAAGGAGATTGTCGTTTTATTTATCTATAGTTTCCACAGGACTTGATACAAATACATGTGGGTATGTTTAAACAGGAAAGATTCGGAGAAAGAGTAAATACTCTGTTAAACAGAATGCCAATAGCTTAAGGATTCACAGAAGTAAGACCACGAAATCAAACTCTTATTTTCATACATAACATTGGCTACTTTCCATGCAAAGCTTCCACTTTCACTAAAAAAAGAAAGAAAAAGACATTTCCCAGTCATGCTGAAGCGTGTTTCGACGTAAATATATAAACTGTCACCAATCATACATTACAACAATTACTTTTCGAACTCATTTAGATCAACAAAATCTCATAATTAACACTTCTTATTTGCTCTTTAGTGATTGCCACTCGGTAATAGCTGATCAAACGAAGGAAAATCCTTTAGATCTTCATGTTGTTTGACAGTTTCAATTGATGAACTAAAACAACAAAGCTGACTAAACATGGAGGGCTGTTTGTGAACGTTACGCTATTATCACGGAATTTCGGCGGCTTAGTTGGCCCATCATCTACCAACTCACGCTCAAAATTTACAGTAAATGTCAGAATACTTTTACTATTATTCCTACAATGTGTGTCCGTTAGGAATGTGTAATCTTGTTGTAGACTAGAAGCAGAATACAACCACTAAAGACCTGACTTCCCGAAGGGTTTCACGTAGTAAAGCTCGACCATACCGTCATATTCACCAACTTTGGATCGAACTAAGAAATCTTTCCACTTCCTACTTAGTGACGTAAGTTTTCATTTTCAATTTGGAAAACGCAAATTTTTAATCGAACACCACAAAAGAATGTTTTCTCTAATTGCACGTAGTAACAATTTGAGGTTATCAGTTAGCCGCCGGGAAAGGAAGTACACAGAATCTTATTTTAGCACAAGGCGAAACACACTTTTTATGATAGCATCATAGACCCAAACAGGACCAACGACTTTCGGAAAAGATTCAAATTTCAAACTGAACTCTTCTTGATCACTTAAATTTTTATTTGTCTGTAATGAGAGTTAAGTTCGCCATTGCAATAAGAAATGCAACTCTGCAAATCTGTGGTCTATTTTGGTGGTCTAATAACACCCTTTCGAGTGCTTTAGTTACAAATTTCTCCGACCTGTGGTTTTAACAATTAATCATACTTGAAGTTGGCCACAAGAGAAGCCGCACATCAATGTAAAGAACAAGCTTATTGACGGACCTGCTAAAAGCCTCAAGAGATTTGATGTACGGAGACGTGATCCCTCATCCAACTCTAGTGTGTGAGCTTTACATATTTTCGTAGTTTATGAACCATCTTTGATATCACCTTCATTACACAAAGTAAGAGCTACAGAGGTCAGAATTATAGTATCAAAGAAAAAAAGTTCAAACTTAACAGACCCAAACCTCAGTCCGACAAGAGAGAGTCATAAAATTCATTGTTGACAGAATTTGTGCAATAATCTGGTACCGATTTCTGTTTGTAAATTACTTCTTGAAAGACCAAAAACAGATCCACAACAGTCTGCACTTGAGCTGAGTTGATTGTTATATTTATTGGTCTGAAACAAGTTAACTTCTATTAAGCTTGATGTTCAATTTTGAAACTTAGACTATTTGTTCAATGTGTTACAAATTGGCCTCACCTATGAAGATCCATCTCAGATAAGTAAACACTTTTGATTCATACAGAAAGCAACTATGTTTAAAAAGAGAGCCTTAAACACAGCTTTACCGTTTCCCAATAGCTCTCATTGTGAAAATGTTTGGGAAACTTTTGTCTGCTTAACGAGGAATTGGCCTTCACGAGTTCCAAATAAAAACTTGTTCACAAAGCAAGCTGTATGCAAAGCAGGGCATTCTCTCGTTGCCTTACTAACAAGAAAGTCTCTCAGTCATTTGGAATCGAATTTTTTTTACCATTTCTGGCTGAAGATAAGACCGTTTTTAACTCTTCTGTACCAAAATGCATAACTGCGAAATGTTTATGAAAACTGAAGAATATTTGGTTGACCTACACCGTCCTTTCGACTAAGGAAGATCCAGTTGATGTAGGCTTTCGAAAATGTCCACATTTCTAAAATCAATTTCTGTCTGGTTTCCTTGGACAAGAACGAATAGCTTAGTAATGAGAATGGCTAATCCTTCAGTTGACGCCTAACAAGCATCAGTCCGAGAATTTAAATGCCTTTGTTGGCTCACACGATTTCAAAGTTAGGCGCTTTATTCTCTGAAATACCTTTACTTTGAAGATAATTAACATAATAGAACGTGGTGGTAAAGAATTCTCATCTGGGCGAACGCAAAATTGACACCCCCAGCTCTTACTTATGTGCATGCGAACCAAAGAAAGAACCAAAGTGAAAGGTGGCTTGAGTACAAGAGAACTGATCATGACTCCAAAACAATAAAGCTGAATTCCATTGTTTTGCACACCAAGCAGCCCAAAACTTTAAACAAAAGTTTCAACTCATTAGGCTCGACACTTTAACCGACACAAAATTACAGAGAGAATAGTAAGCTTTCTGCCTTATCTCAGAAACGGGAGATCGGAAAAACCACAAAAATGTTGATTTTAGTGGAGCGTTTAAGGCGGTTGAGATGAGAGGATTTCAAAAGGCACCGAACTTCAACCATCTCTGACGACGACACAGTCCTCTACAACCCCACCTATTCAAGTGTTGGTACTTCCTGTATAGTGATGGAGTTTCTGAAAAAATTCTGAAAGACTGAGCAAGCCTAAAAGAATTACTATATTTGATTAAAAAGGGAGGTTTGATAATGATATATCAGCATTCTTTGTATCCAAATTGCATAATGTTTTCTTACGGTGAGTTCAAGCCATCTGAAAGTCATCAAAATGGCGCACCCGCATATTTCGGCGCTGAAAAAGTAACGCCATTTACGTGGCTGACTTTTTATTTTTTACGAAGGGGCAATTGATTGTGGGGAGATTTTCTTCCTGCGAGATTAGAGTTAACTTCTTTATTGAATTCCTGCAATAGATTTAAAGAAGTCCAACCTTCCAAGCAAGTACGATTTTGAAAGAGAAATGCCCCGAGGCTAAAAGAAATGTTCATTGTTTGTTATTGTTGTGCGTATTGTCTTTGTTGAGGAAAGTTTAGACTGAAGAAAATAAGAAAACAAAGACGAAGTTACCTAAATGGATCTGATGGAGTCGCGTTACCTTTTACTGTGTTTTATCTTCTTATCTCTCGATGATTTTTGATGATTGTTTTTCTCTGGTGAAGACGTTAAATCAGTTTATCAATTTATGCTCACAAAGAGAAAGAGATGCCTGAACAACCAGCGTTTTTCTTCCGAACTCGAGAATTCATCAGACTGAGTTGCAGTTCATCTTCCTGAAGACTACCGCGATGAATAATGAACGTGCCCTACGAACAAAATCTCTAAGATCTGTAGTGTAGCCTTGAATCAATAGCTGCCATTTTGGCACAACAGAAGGCGTTCGCGTGTGAAACACAAATCAAATACCGTGTAACGCATATATAGAGCATTTAAAACATGGCAGCACAACTGATTCAGCACGCAAATGAAAACATGGAATGACGCGCAACTGTTATTAACACCAAATTTTAAAACGCAAGTGTTGCGAGCAACAGTTTATATGAAAATGACTACGGTAAATCAATACTTACTCTTAGCGCTCGGAGTTCGGCCTTCGAACTTCATCAATGACTCTTGCTCTGCCGCGTATCATGGCGGCTTCCTTTTAACTCTAAACAGACCAATGCATTGCTGCTCCCTCTTCCTGACTCTTTGCATGACTACTAACTAAACATAATGGCTCTTAGCTTCACTGCGTGAAGATCCCAAACAACTCCGATGCGCGCAAGCATTCCTACAGAGTCTGTATTTTGAACTATAAGTATCCAAAACAAAACCTCGACTGGAAAGACCATTAAAAAGCCGCAGTGGATATTTTTTGTTTAAATGAGTTTAACATCTGAGTTAATTTATTTTGAGAAAGGGAAAGAAGTTGATTTGCGAGACTCCCTGGCGCGCTGCTCAGCAGTATCCCCTTGAATTATATTTGGTCTTCCTTTTTGTATTTCTAAAACAGATTTTCCCAGTTCTGAGGAACAAACGGGGTCAAGTACAGACACTAAGAAAAGAAAAGAGAGGACAGCTTTCACAAAACATCAGCTTCAAGAACTGGAGAATGAATTCCTTCGTAACAATTATCTAACAAGGTTGAGGAGGTACGAAATTGCAGTGAGTTTGGACTTGACCGAAAGACAGATAAAAGTTTGGTTTCAAAATCGGCGAATGAAATGGAAGAGGATAAAAGGGCAGCCTTTACAAAAAAGGGGGAATTATTCTGTTGAGGATGAAGAGGAAGAAACAACGACATGATTGTTTATGGATCAAATAAAACATACTATAAAGAAAGAACTTGTGAATCCAAATTGCGATGTACACCAAAGGGAACTGTGTTCTGTTGGATTTTCTCCACGGATTTGGAGACACAAGCTCGATAACTTCAAGGAAAGCCAGAGATTTAAAAGGAAAAGGGCGAAGATCATATTTAGTCAGAAACAAGGGAGCTAACATAGGTAAAATTAAGAAATTTATTTGAACCGTTAATTTGTCGTTCGGATGGAGGTAATATTAAAAGGTAACGCGGCATGGCAATCCATTGAATACAAAAAAACAAAAATTGCGGAAATGGTAAAGAAAATTGTATTTTTTATCTATGTACAGTCTGTAAACCTCTATCACATATATTTTGAATTGTAACTCGTAATGAAAAGAACACGAATGCTGATTTAAAATGACAAATTCAAAACACAGCGGAAGTCGATTGGAATAAGTTGCAAAAGACTGAGAGGAACAAAGGCAATATAATATTACATTTGTCGTTCTTTCTTTATTTTCTGAATCCGTAAAGCCTCACTATTTTAAAATATAGAGAATTTCAGTATTGTAGCTAAGCTTAATGTATCAGTTTGTAGATTTCTTGTTACTCGTTTAGGGGAACTACTACCAATACAGAAGGTGTCAAGTGCCCGGCTTGCTCGTTTTAATTAGATTCCGAGACCGAGTGGTCTATGTGATCTATGTTGATGCACTTATCTGTTGCAGTGCTTTATTTTAAAAGGAAAACTGAGTTACTTTACAATTATTTATCCAGTTTTAAGGGATGCAAGTGGTGAATGATTCAATTGACCTTTTGCGATTGTGGAGCTACAGTATTCCAAGATTCGCGAAAAATATATCAGTAACTTGAGCACAACTCCATAGTAAATATTATTGAACAACGTCAAACCCAAATCTTAATTGTTGTAAACTTAACGCCAAGAGAGATGGATATGTTTAATGAACACCCTATAAAATTAAATCGTCACGGCAATGTAAATTCACTCAAGACGGAAGGGCCGATATTTCAGGACCCATTGAGGAGCTAAATACAAAAATTCACAATGTCATAAAACTGTGCAGATTGTTTGACATGTAAAAGCCTTGGCTTCGACTCGTAATCTAGTTGGTAGTTGAATACTTTTAAAGAAAAATATGATTGTCAGTTTCTCCTTTAAATGATTAACTCTCCATGTATGGTCTGAATCGCTATAACCTCACTAGTTTATGTGAAAGTAAATATCACCAATAAATTCCTACAAGACAGTAGTCTTCATTAACAAATTACTCAGTGTAGGCTGACCATTTGAAACTCGTCGCGGTAAAGTGAAGCAATTGTTAGAATTGATCATAACGAAATGCAAGTCCGTATAAGTCTATCGATCGCAACACAATGGAGCAAATTGCACCAAAATTTTTTGCCTGAATATTAAGAATAATTGTTCAGGAAAAAGACATCTGGAAATATTTCATAGGCAAGCTGATCACCCTAAGCGCTTCCGACGAGAGCAGGGGTCAGTGTTTCTGACGTGCCGGCGGTTTGTGTTAAACGCTGACTTCAAAACCTTGATGATAGTCTGTCTGATGATATGTAATCGATACACGATTCATTGCACGCCCCCTCCACGTTGAAAGAATCTCTGTGGGACTCTAAAGGTCTGCCAAGTGCAAAACAGTTGGAATTTTGGGCATTTTTATTAAATGTCAGTCAGTCGGACCGGTATAAAAATGTTGGAATTGTGAGTTTAATAAAGCCACGACTTATGGTTCCGGTTACTCTGCATGTAATCTGGAATCCATTTGGATCTTTTCAATCCTTGGCCATACTTGTTCCTTCTTGCCCTATTGTTTTCTCTCTTGGATTTTTGCGTCTTCACGAGCTAACATTTTGTTTTCCCTTGCAATATTTTATAATTTTCCCCATCCTTGTTCCTACACGGTTTATTTTTTGTCGCTTTCGAGTTTCTCTATCGGAACGAACGAATATTTTGTGGTCATTTACAGTCCTTTTTAATCTTCTCCATCCTCGCTCCTATTTGGTTTACTACCGTCTGTGGTATCTCTTTGGCGTTTTTCTATCCGAGCGAGCTGATATTTTTCACCTTGTTGAATACGAATTAGTCCAGACATTAAGATCTCATGGTACCTTGATATTCTAGAATCATAAAATAAAAAGCTATTATTTGTTTGACCAAAAAGGAAACTGCAACGTGTTGCACCTTATATGGACTAAAACAGAGGCTGTACTAAACAAATATTGTTGTGATCCACTTTTGTAAGAAAGATGAAATATCTGAAAACAGATTTTTGTCAAGCAAATTAACCTTTCTGTCTGCCTCGTTTCGTTCTATTCAATTAAATTTCCGTTAACGACATATGAGTTAATTTATCATCTTCTGGGGCAAACTGTCTGTAGTTTATCTTGATTGAAATTTTGTTTGCTTGATCTTTCTTTTCTTCTTGTTTCCTTTATGTTTTTTGCTCTTTTCTTGTAGTCATTCTTTAAAATCCTCTTCTGAGGCAAGCACAAGATAGCCTTCACTGTCAGCTTGTTCTTTTAATTGTCCTTGAAGGTAGTCCTTATTTGCGACTCCTCATTACGAAAGGATCTAATTACCTTTCACTGTGTACAAACTTAATTGAACCCAAGAGCTAGGGCTCTGTGTCCGTTTAGTTGTATAAAACGAACCTAATAGTAATTTAATTTTTGTATACAACATAAAACGCTCCGGAATGTCTCAAATTGAAGGCTCATCAAACTGTTGAACAACAACAGAAAAATAGTGACTTTAATTTCTGCTCTCTACAATTCGAATGAAAAGCAGTGCATTTTTGTGGGAAAAAAGAAACATAAATTGTAATGGCGTTGGAACTTTAATAAATTTGTGTCTTTGAGTGAGAACGACGCAAACGTTAGACATTGCACTTTGCAACATAATCAAGCTTCACATTTACTTGTGCTGTGGAGGTTCGAGTGCAAAAAAAGCAATTAAAGTTGAACTTAGAATACAGGTCAATAACAAAACCAATGGAAAGTCCCAAGTGTCCATAAAACAGTTATCTTGATCAATCAGAGGTTCAAATATCCTGATATTTTATTGGAGACGGCCGAGACGAGTTAAACTGCCCTTTGATAAAAGTGTTATTTCACGTTCTTTGCAAAGGCGAATATTTAAGTCTGCTAAATAATTAGTTGGCTGAATTACATCTCAAAGGTGGTGAAAATAACAGCATAAACAACTGAAACAGCTTAACAGTTTCCTGCGGAAACTTCGCCAATTCACAGAAACTCATTCCCCATGAAAGGGACACATACAAAATTGATTTTTCATCCTTAAAAAAAAAGACCATCTTCTTATCTTGTAAATCGAAACGCAATTTTAATTGGGCGACATCTATTATTTGATTTCTGATTATAGATATCTTTTCTTTTTACGCACTTTCTCATCAATGCACAAATTCAATCTGGCGACCGGAACTCCAAGGTTTTTTTGACAAAAAATTTGCTAATTAATTTAGTGCCATCATAAGATTTATTTCATAGCATAAATTGCTTTCTGATGTTTACTTTGAAAACACAATAAATATGCCAGAAAGCTTGTAAATCAGTGGAATCACTTAAGCACGCTCTATTGGACCCAAAGATCTTCCACTTACACCTTGGTGTTTTCTTAAACGCGCCAAGCAGATGGAAAACCCGATATAGTTCCGCATTTAATTCTTTTAGGACAAAAATCTAGAAATGATTAGACAGGACTACCTTGGTTAAGCTCTAATTCATTTAGCATCTGATAAAGTCGGCAAACTCAAAGAAAACGTTTATCACAAGGGTACGGATTGCAGACGATATTTATTTTTCGTGTGGCAGCCATTACCGACAAATAAAGAGCAATTTTTGTGTGATTTATCCACCAGAAAACTTGGTATTTTTCAGCCAAGCCAACGCTGAACACATAATGGCTTGCCAACGTGATTTCAAAACGTGCTGGAGCAATCTGAACTAGGTTTGGAAATGCACTTATTTCGAAGACAGGGGCCATATGCGTCAATCCCGCCTGTCTGAGGCCCCCAAAATCGACCACTTGCAACAACTGTGTGTATCAGCTGACATCAAAACGGAGCGCAGCGACTTGTTGCACGTGCAACCATGGAATATCGATTTCACGAGCTGTGCATGACATAAACAGTCGCAGTTTGATCTAAAAACATATGTAACCGTGGCGGAAATCAAATTTTACAATCAGCAGTCGATGCCACTGCTGAGGAGATATACAAGAAAATGTACGCCAGAGGATTTGGGTATAGTAGTCAGACTTACGGCCATTATAACCCCCAATACCACATTCCCCAGCAAAACTCACCGCACCATCCGCCTTATCAGCAGTACATTTACAACGCGCCCCGCTATGGATTTAACACGTTTACCCGTGGCAATCCAGCTCCGTTCAACCATATTGCAACATCACCCTCGGCGATCCATTATCCAGGAGAATCGCGCTTACCCGATCTGGCGAGTCAAAGAAAAAGCTACGAAGCTCATTGTCATTACTACTCGCCCTCGCCTCTTCCTCCGCAACCTGCCCTTCAGCCGCCAGAGCCTCCGATACAGCGAGACAAGGAAACTGAACATGGCATACACGAAAGAAACACGAGCACGAAATTAACTGACAATTGTTACCCAGGTAAATAGAAGGAGATATATTTAATTGCAGTTTGGGCTTAACGCCGTCAGATTAAGACCTTTGGAAACAGGATTAGTAAGTGTGTAGATTCAACACTCTGATTGCGATGTATTACTCATTATATTACAGTTAAGAGTGTATTATACCTGCATTTACTTTCATTTTGCTTGATCGAAATTTGATGGAAACTCCGTGGATATCCACGTCGATTGGAAGACCTTAAGTGATCGATTAAACAAAAGTGAGACACCTTGTATCATCCTTTCTCCCTCGGTTTCACCCTTAAGCTTCCCTACTTTAAACCTTTTCCTCAAGCAGGTCAGGAAAGGTCCACCTCTGGGAAAAAATAATCTGATCCTGAAAGGTTTATATAGTCGTGGTCGATTTGTCAATCTGCATTTAAGTTCTCAAGCTCTCGGTCTTGTTACTCTTGACGGCCAAATTAGTTCCATCTCGAGTTAGCCGCTCTTTCCTGGTGGGAATTGTTTCTAGCAATTCAAGAAGGGAAGCAAGAATATTTTATTGTTGTCACAAAAAGCTGCACCTCAAGATTCCACGTCTCTGCAAACCTAACATTGTACTATGTTTTTTTTTTTATAAAAGTCATCTTAATACTCCTAGAGTTGTTTCCAGTTTCGTTTTCGTAGCCAAAGTTATGATTTTGTTGGGTGTAATCAATCCACAATGTTTGTTGTTCCCGTTTATTTAAGTGCCATGCATTCAAAACTGTACTAACGAGATTCAGTGGAGCAATGACTGACATATTACTTAAAAGATCAATACAATTCAATTAAACCATCTAGGACTTTGCCTAAATCCTTCTTATCTATCTTTCAGGATCTGACAGATCTGCTCAAAAGGCACAAAAAAAAACTTGATTTTTTTTTTATTTCGTGTGCCCAAAATGCGTGGATGAGTACATCCAAAGTTTTTTCAGACTTATAGAAATCGTCCTTGAACACCATGCATTATCAGCCAGAGTTCAAGATAAAGATTTCAGATTGCTGACCATTTTATCAAGACTTCTGTTTTCAGCTGTAGATTTTCTTTCAATCAATTCTTAAAATTTAATCATTGAGCTATAAAAGGATCTGACTAGAATCCGAACAAAAAGTTATGTTTACCTGTCGAAAAAACATTTTAAAAACATTTCTAGTTTCTGGGAACAGCAGGTAGACGAATTAACTCGCTGTGAATAGCAGACTGAAGAAACATTTTCCATCAAAGATAACGAACTCGGATGCTTAAAAATATAGAGCAATACTTTCACTGTCGGCTATGAATTTCTATCAACTCTGCAGAAATAAAGTGAATTTGGCAAAAGAAAAAAAAGATGAGATTCTCTCTTATAAAACAAACGGTTCTTCCGGACCATCAGGTAAAACTGTCACTCCGAAGTTCAGTCACATACCGTGATAACATTTTAATACTGAATTAATGAAGGATGCAGGTATTTTTGCATGTGTTCCGGGGCAAATCCCTATCGTGAAATTATCGCTTCTTTCATATGTAACGGATTAACTTTTTCAAGGCAAAGAACTATCTTTGATCAAAAAACAGATTTACTGATAGTCCAAGGAAAACTTGGACTATTCGAAGTTAAGACCATAACTGATTTCACACGCACATCAACTCGCGCGGTCCATCACGTAGCCGTTTTACAGGGAAATAAGTGTCATATTGACTGGATTGGTCACATTTTCTGCGGAAACATCAAAGGGAAAACATCAGTGAGGGACAGCGGGTCACATTTTATTGCATAAACATTTGGCACAGGAACATCTGAAAATTCACTTTTCTACGAATAGAAATACATTGGTACTATATGCTAAAAGCATGTGTCGAAAACACGATTAAGATTGTACTAGATATACAATAATCCGATTGCTGGCTGAGTTTATTACTGATTTTCGAGTACAGGGTACATCAGATAAGGTGGAATACGGAAATATATTCTGAATATACAATGCAAAAGAATAAACTTGGCTTTGATTAAATTTGCTCCAAGCTATTATCAATAAGCTGTCAAGGGAAGTTTTTCTATGCTAATACATGTTGTACGTACAGAATGAAGTTTTGAGCAAAATATAAGCATTTGATAGATGCATCGTATAGGATTAGGAGCAGCAACGATAAACAACTCACGTTTATGCAAGCTGGCTTTTTAGAAGGCAGTAGATTTTGTAAATCTTTTTAACGTGTGCGTATTAGAAACAATATTTCTTGGGTTCTTTGATTTAAAAACAGTTCGAAACAAAATTTCAGGCCAGCAGAGGAGAAAAAACAATTGTCAACAGCATTTCATGGTGAAATAAACTTGGGTGGATAATTTCCTTCAAGCATATTGACCAAAAGGCGAAACACGCGTTAAAGAAGCCACTGTCTCTTCGAGAATTTGTTTGTTTGTTTGTTTGTTTTTTACCTTCAAGGTTTGCTTGAACTGATTAATGGTTCAGTCATGTCTAAACCATGGATGTAGGGTCTGAGTTCATGCGATTATATTGACAAATGAACGAGGACTACATTTGCCGACAAAGCAACTGAATTACTACCATCTGCTGGTATCTAAACTTGCCTGCAAGGTAGATATTGATGTTTTTTCCATGAAATGTTTCATTAAGTACGTGCTCAATTAGCTAACTTCAGAAGTGCTTTTTATGTTAACGACCAATAGGACTTCTTTAAAGCCTTTTAACGAAGCTCCTTTATGAGTCAGCGAGCCTCGAGTACCCGATGTCGTAATGTTCTTTATCAATTTGTTTCTTTCTATTCCATTTTTTTATCGTTTAAAGGATGACCTCGTGAAATGTGAACCATATGTCTGGTAGAAACCTACAAATAGAAATGACTGGAACAGGAAAGTCAGTGGTTGAAACAGATGTGGGGAATTCTGCTATCTCTTAATTCGTTTGACCTCCTCCTCTGTTCGACCTTGAAGTTCGTTAGATCTATTATGATTTCGAGGTTTCTCACTTGACACTGTCCGCAATCAACCCTCGAAGTTTGGAGCATCTCTGATGCTTATCGTAGTATTGTTTGGTTACAAAACAAAGCATTTTCATTTAAAATTTCATTTTTAGAGCATCTTTCGCATCTCACAGCTCGCCAAAATTTCTGTCGCAACGAGCTGAATTCATAACGACTCTAACAATAAGCTTATGTGAATCTAAACTTCATCGTAATTTTTGAAAAAATATCAGTAACTCACTTTCATTATGCTGTGCGGCGGAGACTCGTAGCAACTACACTTCGATCGAGTTATATCTTTCTCGGGCTGAATCACACCGGTCCACAGTTCAAATGGTTGTTTTGAACTGACAAATTTTATATTAGCGCTCACTGATGCAACGGCAACTAAAAAACTTCGGCGTTAATCTTCACAAAATCCACAGCACCAACAACATCTAAATTCCCCCCTCTCTAGAACAATGTTATGTCAAAGACTATGAAATTCTCTTCTCGCATATATGTATATACATATATATGTATATATAGTTTTATCTATTCAAACTAATTTCCACCAAGGTGGTTAGTATGTTCGGATAGCGTCTTGTTTGATGAGCTATATTCAGTGATATGTTGATGTGTTGAACTGTTCTCCTTTTGATGAGTTTCATTTAATTTTTTTTTATAGGGAGGTTGATATGGTAATTAATTACATCGTTGCTGTCAAATTTGTTGTTATCCTGCTCATTCTGTAATTTTTGCACTGTTGTTGTTGTTATTGTTGTACATGGGGTTATTATTACTCCTCCTCTTTCTTTTTACAATTTATGTCGTTGTTGTTGTTTTTTTCTTCTTCTCCTTCTCCTTTTTATTTACAACTCATCATGACTTTAAATCAGCAGATTAAACTTTCAAAAGTGATGGAAATGTTTTCTTTTCTTTCCAATACCATTAAAAGATACCGGGATGTGGAAAACTTTTCAGTAAAGGAATTTGTCTTAATATAATACCAAATTTTCTGACCTGGCCCCTGTTGTTCGATAACGCTATTTACTGGATAAATTTCTGTTTTGGCGGAGACCGCACTATGTTCTGTTAACGCTACCTGCCGGAGAATGAGTTATCCGTAGAATAGCGTTATTCGCGGTGCGAACAACTGAGCTCTGATCTTCTAGAATATTTGTAGGAGTCAAAGTGTAGAACAGTACTTGAATGATGTTGGGAATAAATGGCTTAAATTGACGCGTGTACTGTCTCCACAGTCGATGAAGTCGACGAGGACGAAGACGATGAAGAAGAAAAAACAGAGAAACCAAAAGGAAAAAAGAGAAAAGAGAGAACAGCTTTTACCACACATCAGCTACGTGAACTAGAAAACGAGTTTACTCGAAACAATTATCTCACGAGACTGCGACGATATGAAATCGCTGTTACCTTGGACTTATCAGAGAGACAAGTGAAGGTCTGGTTTCAAAACAGACGAATGAAGTGGAAAAGAGTTAAAGGCGAAAAGAAACCCGAGAAAAAATCTCCTTTCCAGATAATGCAACAGGAAAAAGAAAGGCTGCAGCAGGAATCCTGTACGTAACCAAGGAACGTAAATAACTACGAAGAGGGAGGTCATGGTGTTTTTATGACCCCCCTCCCTCCCGACCCCTTACTAGTTTTCGTCAAGGGAAAGTTATCATTTCAAATAACGAAAAGTAGAGAAAATGCAGATGTCTACCCGCCTTCAGCTGCCAAAAAGACACTATGATAGGACCCCATACTAGAGCATCTCTGCTACCCATTCCCCACTAGTAACCTGGCCTACTTTTCAACTGTCTCGCAACTTTTAAAGTGTAAAAAGAAAGAACAACTGAATATTGACAGATTTCTGATATTTGTTTTAAGCATTTTGTCCAAAATTAAGACAAGAATATTATATGAATTTTTTCCCGCACGTAAGCTAAGTTATCTATTTTGTCTTCAAAGCAAAACGTAATAGGTATGCTCGTGTGGAGAACAAAAAAAACGTAAGTTAATATTCTTTACCTGTAAATAAACCTTAGTGTCATTTTGTCCAATTTTGCATTATCATCTTGGTGTGAAAAATATAATGAAAAATAGACCAAGAACGAACAACTGTTAAACTTAAAGAGGAACTTGACATGAGAAATTCAAATAAAACTCAACTTCACACATTGGCGAAGAAATTCATGAACAAAAAGATAAGAAAGAAAGAAAGCCTGCCTCCATGGATTCGATCTTTATTTTTAATGAAAAGCAGATTTAATTATGATCTTAGAACCTCTTAAGACCCCTTTTGAGCTATAGTAACCAGCTTTTTCCTCATTACCAAAATCGATCTAAATTAGTTACTGCGACAAATAAGGAGAGCCGAAGATGTGCCTTTCCTTTGACAGAAAAACCCTCTTGATCAAATAAACATAATATTGGCTTTTAGTTCACAAAACTGAAAAAACGCACAGAGTTTTCATTTGCTCCGATACAGAAAAATCTTGATGAAAACACCGAAAAATTTCCAGAAAGCCATACGAATTTCCGTTTAGGTCAGTTAGTGTATTTTAATTAAGTGACGTAAAGTACTAGAAAACGCGAGTGATTAAGACGCGATTGCTCTTAGTTTTGTTTCTGATTGGACAAGAGGGTGGCACGAGTTTTCTAAACCAACCACAGAGCGAGGTGAAAACGATGTGGCGTTTTTAAATAGTGCATAATCTATACTGCTATGCTCTGGTGCGCTTTACAACACTGTACGGGACTTCGGCCAAATTTCATTGAGCAGTTTAAAATTTTGAAAGAAGCGCGTCAGCAGTTTTTAAACGCCTTCGCTAACAAGAACAGAAAAAAGGCTGAAGACAGAGCCTACGGTTTACCTTCATTATCCGGGAAGTCTAGATGGTATAACACTTGGCAGATGTCACAGCAAAAGTAGCATTTTCCGTCAGTTATTGTAAGACTCAGAGTTCGACCTCTAGCTATGATATCATACTTTCTGGCCGACTGAATATTGAGGAAAAACGAGAAAAGTTCAGAACTAAATCTATGTTATGCTTGAAAGAGAAAAGGCCCAAGAATACTGAGTAATTTTTAGTCCTAAGAAAAATAAAAGGCATGTTTTTAAGCCCTTTTTTTTCAGAACAAGTTCTTTCAATTTTTCGATTTTTCCAAGATTGCAACAGCGTATCTGAATTACATGTAAAAAAATCAAACTTAGGAAACAGTACACACAAAAGATTTCCAAGGCTAATCCTTTAAAGCCAACAAAATGATTTCTAAACGTTAAACTGACACATTTCCATATCACAATAAATCCTTGACGATCAGAAGATGTAAAGCAGACCTCTAACTTTAATTTAACACAATCGACAGCATGATGTTCGACTTCAAGATTTTCAATTGAAAAGAAAGGTTTGTAAAAATGCTTCAATAGAGCAGTCCCCGATAAAGCGAATTTACTTCGCGAGTTAAAACTATATTTTCACTGTCAGTTGGTTTCTCTCGAGTGGAATGAAATTTTAAATTTAGCGTTCTCATTCAAAGCATCCGTCCTCCCTCGAAAATGTAAAAATATGGTCACAAGCAACAACGAAATCCCGGCTACAACACACGAAAAACAAAATCCGTTCGTCTACCATTATAGAAAACAAACACTCGACAGTTTTCCATTTCCTATTAGGTCCACAGTTTTTCAGCTCTTTCAGTCATAATATCACATGCTCTTTATCTTTTAGCATCCTTCAAAAAAATAAACTTAAAATATATCACAACTCCTAATTCTACAATAGTCTATCATTTGACTTGTCCACACATTTTTATAGTATCTGTTGTCCAGATACATTTATCTTGTAATACTTGTGAGGAACCTAAACTTACAAACCTTCATAGTTTTTACTGGGCTTCGTGACCATTATCTGTTTCTTTACTATTTACCAATTGTTTTCGTTTTATATGTAATGGCAAATAAAAAAAAATGAAAACGAACTTATGAAGATAAAGATAAGGCTGTAAGCTTGTCTTTCATTTTTTTTTTTTTCTGTTATTCTTATGAAACTTTACTCACTAACAGCCCTGGTTGGACATAAACGTTGAAATAAATATCGTTCGTTTTACTGAATCATACGTACATTTAGCCATCATTGTTCACATGAGAAGTTTTTCATGCATTTCTTTTAGAATCAAGACGGAATTACAAGTTCGATTAGTCTATAAGGTTGTTTACGTTCATTGAAAAAGTAAAAGTCTAGTTTGTCAAATTTCAACATCAGTTGTTGGAAAGTAAGTGAATGAAGAACTGAAAACACTTGCCATGGTCTAATTCTCAATTATGTTCAAGAACATTGTAGAGTGGCCGAACGACAGTTCTTTTTTATCAACATCGTTTCCCGACTAGAGCCTTTAAATCAATATTTCTTGCCGCCGTTCAAAAAAAGCTGAACTCCAGTCATTGCACTTCGCAATAAAAAAAAAAGCAAAATGCGCAATTGAGGAAATCGTCAATCAATATTCTTTAGCGAAAAGGCAGATACGTGGACGAGAGGGAAGCTTGTTTGATTAAGTTGTCTATTTTATTGATTAGACCAACAAAAAGAGTAATTTGTTTCCTGTGGAGGACGACAGATGGAAATTAAAGTAATTCTTTCGTGGCAGCAGATATTGAAATGATCTAAGGATGTAAAGAAAGAAAACATACGAACCGGAAAAAAAACTCATTGTGTTCGTGGCATATTACTCAATTTTGATCAAGACTAACGGAACCAATTAAACGAAAGGCAATTTACGGACTATCGATTTGGAGAGGTTTGAGTAAACAGCGTAGAAAGCATGCGACACCTGCCGGTTTTCTTCTTTCTTAATCAAAATTCAGTAAAAATTCTTGACAAATAGAAAACGGGGCTTTTTGAATTTTCGATGTAGTACAATAGATACGTTTTGCTTAGGAGTTCACCTTTCGTACGATAAATTACCAGGAATTAACTTGTTGGCGTTGAAAAAGTCTCTTTGCTTTTCGAGAGAGAGAGATAAGAGGAGGAAGAGAACTGTCACTATAGTTCTAAACAATAAAGGCTGTTAAAACAGAAATATACCCCCAAGTTAAACTTTTAAATTATTTAAGTGTTCGTGCATAAAAGTCACTTCTTTATTAACCGCCGTTTTTAGCGCCAGAAGCGTAAATCGATTTTATCAATATGAGGACAGTTTTAAAGAGAGTCAAATTTCCCTCGACACTTTTGGAAAATCATCTGGATGGAAATATCTCTCAGGAAAGATCTGTCTTGGCAGGATTGAAATCTGCTTCCACAGTCGACGTTTGTGAAGTTTTTCCTTTCAATGTTTCGTTGCCGACAGATTATAGCTGCCATACCTTGGCGGCTTTCGTCCTAAACAAATATGAAAGGTGGAGAACATTAAATTACCACGCTTGAGAGAACCAGCCCTTAGTGGCGTAAACGTCGGAGAAAATTTGTAATCGCTAAATTGAAACAAAGAGAACAACTGATGCTGTTTATTTACTTACAATCTATAAGATATTGACGGGGGGGTAAGGCTCATCACATCATATCTTTTATGACGTTGTTAGAAAAGGTTTCTCGCATAAGGATTGCAAACCCTCTGCATCACCCATAAGTCCACGCTTAAATGAACTAACAACTCCCCCCCCCCAATTCCCTTCACCCCCAGCTTAGAGTTCACACCGACAGTTGATTTTCTTCGGAACGTGTGAAAGGGAAAAATTGTTGAAGGCACACCGGAACTAATGAAAAATAAAAAAAGAAATGTTTAAATTCCTTAAACAGATTATTTCTTAGCAGATGGATCAGCGTAAAAATAGGGTTTAAATACGGATCAGAGTTTTACCATTTCACTTTTGAATTTGCCTAAGAGGTGAGCGTACGACTCGCTCCGAAAAAAGAAAACGAGAAAAGAACTTGTTTTATACATCTACATAGGATCAAACACTCTCTCTATCCCGGTATGTTGAACATTTCATCTCATACAATCTTGAATAATTAGTTTCGACATTTAGATGGATTAGTTTTCACTTCGTCAGGCTGTAGTGTGTATGATAAACTTGGTATAGACACACAACTTGCCATTTCTTGTTGGAGTGTTCCGCGTCTTTTTGTTATTTTTACATGTTTTGTATTTCATTTTAAAAGGAAAAATTCTCAGGTTAACAAATTAATTCTTATGGAAGCTATACACCCAAAAGACGAGGAAAAGCTTGAGGAGGGCTTTTCAAGGGAGAAATTTCTTTTTTAGTGAATGAACAACATTCTTGTGATAAGTAACACACATTCAACCACCCTGTCCTCGGCCGAGTTGAGCCGTTTTTTTTTTTTCTTCAATGACAAGACTCTTTACGTATGCTCGGAGTCAATGAATGTCCTTTATTCTTGTAGCATTTTTGGAGGGTTTCAAGGGGTGTATTTTAACCGAAAAATTTTACCCATTATACTTAATTAAGGTTTCAAATGCTATAAGTCACATGACAACATCTGAACCATTGTGCCTACCGCTTGAATCAAGTATTAGAAGCGTTAATCCTGCTTAAAAAGTTAACATTTAGCAATTTTTGGATCATTTTTTCTCGGCGACAAATCTTTTAAACGAATTCATTCAAATTTTTCCATTTATTGCAAATGTTTTCGGCAAAAGTTGTCCAAACACGGTTTTTGTAACTCTCATCTGGAACGTATTGTTTTAGCGACCATTATTCACATTTTGGCAAAAACAAATTTTATCCCTTTTTTGGCGTCATTGTTTAAAAAAATATTTTTTCAACAAAAAATTGTCCGGATACGATTTTTAGATCTCCTATTTGGAACATACTTTTTCAGCTCCCAATTTTCTTGAAATTCAACATCTTTGCTAACAAAACATTATCCTTTTAAGTTGGGTTTATCCATTATAACCAGATTTTGTCTAACCGCTACTTTAGAAGCGAATTAAGATATTATAGTCACTGTTTGTTCAAAGCTAAAACGTTCGCTCATTAAATTTAGTAAAGCAATATCTTTTATCTGATGCGTCGGAAACTTAATGTAAATGCGTTTGATTCTGGTACTGAAAATCTTTAATTCCCATAATTTTATTGCGCCGACGGCTTTTCCTTTGATTACCCCAAGCGAAAAGCTAATCTTTTTAACTGGTCATAATGTATCTTGTTCGTAAGACTGACGCAATATGTGCTAATTTCTCTTTCATTTTTTTATCCAGTTGGCATTTTGTTATTGGCTGGTAAGACGTTACGTCGTTATGTTATCGTCGGTCAAAATATCACTCGCCCTAGTCTCTTTGTTGATCCTTGTACATGTAAACGAGGCTTTTCCGATGAAGGAGTGGCTACCAAGAAGATCTATGGTGAAAGACGAGGACAGTGCTATTGAACAGCGGTTTGATGAAGACTCTTACAGCAGGTAATATATATTGATGCAAGAAATAAAATTCTATTTTGCCTTTATATGATAAGCTGAATTATACACGCACGTTGATTGGTTCGTACTGTGATTTATTAAAGGACAGACACGGATGTCGTCAACATTGCCTTTTTTTTTTTTTTTTTTTTTTTTTTTTATAATATAAAACAAATAGATTCCGTGTTGCCGTGGTTCTGTCCAAAAATAAATCAGAGAAGCGTCAAAACGTAGTGGGAAAATCAGTGACACATTCGATTGCGCCTCCTGAGCTACTGTTTTGTTCTCAGTTAGCGATTAGATGATTTGCCAACATTCTTGAAGGGTTAAAAAATAAATTGCGTTAAGCCCTCTTTTTTTTCCCCATATTTCCAGCCCGATGAAAATTTTAAATGAAGACGACAAAGAAGAAGACATGTTTGCTGACGATGCATCGGAAAGAAATTTCCGAAAAAAGGATTTCTCAAGGCAGTACCAATGTCGATTTGGTGGTTGTGGAAAATGAATGAGTAAGTTAAAAATATGGGGTAATTTTGTTGGAATTTTCCTTTTTTTTTTTCTCTATACTTTGGAGGTAATTAGCAAGTGGATGGCAGATAATGGGCTATGGTAGATTATATTGCCAGTGAAACCGATTGATTGACTGACTGACCGACTGAATAACTAACTGGCAGACTGGTTGACTGATCGGCTACCTGACTGTTTAACTGACTGACTGACTGACCGACCTACCAACTGACTTACTATCCGGTTGACCGACTGACTGACTGACTAACAGACTTACTGACAGACTGACTGACCGGCTGACTGACCGACCAACTGACTGACTAGCTGACCGACTGACTGACTGACTGACCGACTGGCTGACTGACTGACTGACTGACTGACTGACCGACCGACTGACTGACTGACTGACTAACAGACTGACTGACCGACTGACCAACTGATTGACCGACTGACAGACTGACTGACTGTGACTGACTCACTGTTTCACCGACTGACCAACTGAATTACTTACTAACTGAGACACTGACCGACAAACTAAGGTAATGAATGACCGACTGGTTGACTGACTAACAGATTTGTTCATTTATTCATGCATTCGACTTTCTTTCTTTAGCATCCATCGGAATAAAGAGAAACATATGGCAAGGAAACAATAAACGAATCAAAGAAAAAGACAAGGCAGCTAAAACTTAACAAATTAACAGACCATTTGAAACAAAATGTAGGATGTTACTTCAAATCAGTATCATACAAAAGCAAAGCTTTTAAAAAGGTTTACTTGTTATTCTGTTCTCCGCAGTTAATGCTGTAAAATGTCCCTTGTATTTTACTAGTTTACTTCAATCGAATATTATTCTTTGTTTTCAATCTAATCCTAATTAACGACATTCGAATGTTTTCAAAAGTTTATTGCGCACTACTTGTTAAAGAGGTATATGCAGTATCAATAAAAACAGGACTTACGTAGATCCCCACCGTAGAGGAGATGTAAGGAGTAAATAAAGATCATTTATGGATCAGTAGAATCCTGAGTTTTCGTGTTAAATTGTTCTGCGCCTATGAAACGCATATGGATATTTATAGCCAGGTCTAAAAAAAGGGACTAAAAAGTGGAAAGTTCTGGTCTGAAATAGGGTTTATGGAGAGGTGGGTGGTACATCCCTTAATTCTTTAACTCCCAGAGGTGTACAACACTCAACTTCTCCCTAAGATATCTATACATTATCCAGCAAAAATGTAATGAGAATATTCAAACTTATATTATTATTTGGTAGAAGTTGCTATCTTGATCTAACAGCAAATACTTGTAACTAATTTACAAGGAAGTGTGTAGCGGCCAGAGGGGAGAATTAACAATCAAATCTTGGGAATTTAAAGGTTAAGGAATTCGAGGATTCCTCCTCTACACGCATAAACCCAAGCCCAACTCCCTGTGCCTCGTTCCCCGTCCCCTGCCCCTAACCCTACTCACCGGGAGTGCCTGTGACAATTTAATTTACAGATGCCACCGTTATATGGAACAGGGGATCTGAGTGCCACAGATTTGTCACTTACCATATTTTCCAGGAATAGTTCTATTAATCTAAACCTACAGGGAAACTCATTTCTTTTAAATGTCAACCTTAAGAAAAACTTGAATAACTGGTTACAAAGATTTTTGGAGCTACGCGAATGCGTACGTGCAGGGGATGATCAGTGGCGCATCCAGAGGAATGGTGTACTTGTCTGACACCAAAAGTCCAATAATGAGAGGATCACGAATTACTTCTCAACTTGAAGTATCTAAAATTTACTTACAATAGAGCATTTTTCAATTGAGTCTTGGAAGTCATTCGGCTTTGCTTTGGTTTTACTTCACTCCACTTTGTGATTGGTCTAGAAAACACACGCCACTCTCTCAACAAATCAGATATAAATCTTAAAACAATTGCGACTCGGTCATTCATGTATTCCCGCGCTTCAAGCGGCTTACAAGTTGTCAGTTACTTTGAGTCCTCATTGGCTGATGATGATGTAATCTTTTTTCTGATTGGCCGTTGTGATAACTTTGGTTTTGGTTTTTTAATACTCAGTTTAAAACTGTTTTATTTCTTAGCTTACTTATGCTCAAGAGTAAAGAAAAATAAACCCTGTGTTTTCAGAGACAAAGTTTGTATATCCCCCCCACTTCGTCACCGAAATTTCCTGGGTCTACCCTTGCGTATGTGGTCGCTAAACCCTAAGCAAACAAGAGGAACGCAGCAGAATTTTACCACTTGGTATGAATGACAATTTAATGTGAAGCAGATTGTTTACAATATGCTAAACAGAAAATGTGTTGTAACACCATTTATATGGTAAGTGGTTTAGAGACCTCGTGTGAGTTTTAAAAATCGAAAATAATGAGCACGTTGTAATAGACACAAGCCTATAAACGTTTTTTTCGAAATGAATTATTCCTCTTTTTTCGCCTCTGTTTCATAGAGTTGCCATAAGTCGTAGAGCCGTCCTTTGTTATCTAAATTCCTGAAAAATGAAATACAAGAAATTTTGAGAAAGAAAACATCTGCTTTTTAAGACAAGAAACTCCCTTCTGCCGGAAACTTGTTGGCGAGAAGAAACTGTATTTCCTTAAGTTAATGCCTGTCTCGTCTAGGTGCCGAGGCAAAACTGCTAATTTAGAAATAAAAGTCGGGGTGTAAAAGGGGATGAATGAAGCGAAAAGGAAAATTAGAGATTTTTCAGAACACGAACCTTATTTAGTACGCGTATCCTGTTGATTTACAACTTCGTTTTTAGCTTTACCAAAAAAGTGATGAGCCTTTTAAACACCGTGACTTACTGGCTTGTGTGGTTGTTTGTGTGTTTTGTCACAGTCCTTGCTGACCATCGTCAGCAAAATCTGTAACAAATTTGTCCTAACAGCCCGAAAGCACGAAGCCAGAACGTTCGCGCATGAGCAGACGTTCGACCGCTGTGTGACTTGGACCTGGCCCAGTCCTCGTGCCATAAACGATTATAATCCAGCTCACCTTCCGACTTGTAGGCTTGAAAGGTCATCGTTAAATCTGGCTTTTGTTCTCTTGTGTTTCTTGCACTTTCGAGCGGCTACTCTTTTGTTACCGAAGCTATAGTTGCATCCTCTCGCCCTGCATTCGGCAGTGAGGCTCAGTACAATTATCACAATCATCAAAAGGGAAAGTAGAATTGTTCTATTCATGATATTTCCCTGAAAAATAGAACAGATGAGACGAAAATTTAGGTTCGTAAACGTGTACTCGTCTGGTTCTGTAGATGCTCGTCTGTTGAGGCTTTGCACGCTTTGGCTTTCAGAAACTAAACACTTTCTAAGAAAGCTGAGGCGTTTGCGATTGAATGTCTATAACGACCAATTATAGTTGAATGAAAAATAAACCAGTCGTAAGTTTATAGATTCGCAGCTGGCGCTTTACTGAAAAATATTTGCTTAATCACAGCCTCTAAACCAGCCTAACGGATGTTTTTTTTCCAAATGTTTTCTCTAAACATAATGATTGCGGGAAGGGGATTGCGATTGGTGAAGGGGAGTGCTGAACAGCCTCTGGATAATTCACGGGAATCCACATCTAGAGAATTTTTCTTTTTTTTCAGATCAATCCGTTTTAACTTTCTCCATTCCTTGAAATCCTGGTTCCATCTCGGTTTGTTAATTCCTCTTTTGGCTCGATCTATCTCACAGAAATAATATTTTTCAGTCTCCATCAAGTTGACACGAATTATCGTGATAAGTTTCCTTCTAGTCTTGCGCCATTTTCCATGATTATTTACAGAACCCAGCCTTCCAGCGCATATTAAAACTAAAAAAATTCGTCAATTGGGGTAAATGCGATTGTAATCGTTGTTCAAAGAAATGTGAAAAACGCTCGCCACGAAAATCTGGCTATCGAAGTTACCATGTGAAAAATCCAGGGGGAATTGATTTTGGATCGAGTAAGCCCGGGGTTCGAGGTATCGAGAGCTTGAGTATTCGAGAGTAAAATTAGATCGAATGTTTGACGTAAAGGCAAGGGAAATCGATTTCGGTTCGATTTAACGCGAAGTTCGAGTCAGCGATGGTTCGCTTTGTCGATTATGCAGTAGCTTGTCACGTGATTAGAAGACTCACAGCGAGGCAGGCAAAATCATTTTCATTACTGGGAGGGTAAACAAAAATTCATGAATCGAATTCATTTGGGCAAAAAGTTAGCTAACTCCTCATACCAACCAGGCAGAATTCAAATAACTAATTTTGAGCTGATAATGATATTAAAACAGAGACCAAACATATGAAAATAGGTGTCATTACACAAAACGGTTGCTTCCAACGTCTGTTCGCTTCTTTAGGAGGAAAAAACCGATAATTCGTGGCTAGACTGTGAATTTCTTAGCAGAATTTTGCATAAATGCTAAAAAAAAACATACACTGACACAAATTTCTTTAAAAAAAAGCGCACGAATTAAAACTAACGAGCGATGTTTTTTGGGAGTGCTCGATAAAAACTTGGGCTTATTCACCAATCGCACTTTCAGTTGTCACCTCTAAATGCCTGTTGACTCTATACAAAACTTTTAATCGTCACCTCTATTATATAACAGGCACTGAATGTTCGGACGAAAATAATATTTTGAGTAACGGATGCTAAATCTTTTACATTGTTAAAGTTGAACAAAAGAGAAAAAACCACTGAAAAATATAAGCATATAAAGATAAGCAAAGCTTTCATGCCAGTTTATCTGTCAATTCTGGACGCCCTCATTATACGAATGAGAATTTGAAATAAGTTTAATTTTTTTTTCAACGTTTTGACAAATTTCTTTTGAATATTTTGAATAAAACTATTGTAGTTCAATGTTGAGTTTTCTTTTCTGAACCGGACACTAAATCCGAAACATAGTCGAGGAAAATTAATGAAGAAAAAAAATCAGAGAAAAAAACCCAGTCATGGGTTCATGTGAGTTTAACCGCAAATCCTGATCCCTCTTGTCACAAAGTACATCGATATTCTTTTTTATTTTTTGTTCTTTCTTTGAATATTTCAATGCGCGTTAAAGCTTCCATAGCAAGCCACAGCAGTGAAAAACATCTTTATACGAAAACGTATCCCGAAAGAGCTAGAATTTGAATAAATCAGTGTACGAAGATTTGTTTTTAACCTACCTTGATCCCAGATCGTTTTATACTGTCACTAGCTCGCTAACTTTTTTATGAACCAAACTCGCACACTAGAGCGCAGAGGCCTGCTTTCATTAACACTGCACTAGGCAAGTTACACGTCCTTCTTAAAAATAACAGATAGGAGCGTGCAGCCCGAGGGCCTAAAACATGAATTGTAATGTTTCAACAATACTTTTAGACAGCGTGGCTCGATCTAATTAAATTATTTAATTATAACAATTGGCGAAGGCTTTCAACAATGTAATCGTGGAATTTTATGACATGTTGGCTTCTGAAAACCTCAAATTCAATTGATCATGAGTCCTAATTTTCATCGGCGATGCCTGCGGTTAACGATGTGTCTCGTTAAGCGAAATACCGACGTGGTAATGGATTTCAATGGGCAACTGTGTACTCATCAAAAGATATCATATCATTTTTGACTCACCACAAATTATTGCTGAGAAAATTGTGCAATTTGCGATCTCCACCATCTGCAATACGTACGACCGGTGATCTTGCCACCCGAATAAATCACTAAGCAACGGATCCGAAAAATATTAGGAATTCAATTATTCCTGCCGCCTTGCTCAAAACAAAAAAAAAGGGAAAAAAAGCGTCTCACTAAATGGTGATTTTTATTCAACGCACGACTTAGAAATTTTCGTTATGTTCGGTTATTTTCTTTGGTTCATACGCGTCGTTGAAGACGTCTGGGAAGCTTCATATCGGCTTTTCAGGCAAATATTGCGTTATTTCCCATGAAACTTGGTATATAGTTCCTTCCGTGAGGTTGAATGGCGCATCATTTTTTTTAAACCCCTCCAGCTCTAACTGTTAAGGAAACCGTTGCAAATTTGCCTAGCACAATATGTTATGACTACCAAGTTCGTCTTTTCAACTCAGTCCTTATTGACTAGAAATCGCACAAAGGGTTTCAGGGGAAGTAATAACCCTGAGTCGTGAAAACGCCTACCTACCCGAGGGCAGTGTTTCATTCTCTCGAGTAAGTTAATCAGTTGTTTTTTTTTTCTTTTTTTTCTTTCTAACATTTGGACAGTCTTTGAGGGCCAGAAAAACAAACAAATCAAAGAGGAGGTGAATCGCTATCTGTCAGGGCTGAAACTAATTAGGTATCGTTTCACAATGCTTCAGTGATGATTTTCTGGATTGAAGCAACTTGAAAAAAAGGCTACTCTTGAAGAAGGCGTTAAATGTGTAAGTTTGCGCACATGTGCGTGCTAATTAGCGGAGGAGGCATTATTAACGCATGCGCTATTGGCATATGTCACATGCTGTCAAGTGAAAACATGATAATATCTCTGTCAAAAATTTAAGATAAATTTAGACATATTTTCAAACATGTTTCTTTGGCAGATATTTTACCCCAGTGACGTTTTCAGTAACTAAATTTGCGTATTTCCCCAAATTTCGCAAGCTTTATTCACACTAGATACAATGGAAAACCACAGAACCAATTATTAATGGTTAGAAAGGTCTATAGAAAAATATTTCCTTTCTCCCTCGAGTAAGAAAACCATGTGTCATTCCATCTAACAAACTAACAACAATTTATTAACATACGTAAGCGCACAAATTCATCTCGATCCAAAAACTAGGGAATCCTGATTTAATTTTCACTTACAGTCTTTGGGGAATTTTACGTAGCACCGTAAGAGTTTGTACCGGAAACAAAACTGAACAATTCTGAAAATTGACGAAGGTAGATCGACCTAAAATTGTCTTTTATCATGGAGCAGTCGCCCTCCTAGTATTCCGTGTCAGACAATTGAAGACTCTTGCCAAGTCTTTACCTAAGCTATTTTTAAAAAACAAAATCTTTCTAATAATCTAAAAAAAGAAATTAAGAATTGTATCCTAAGTTAGGTCACTGCTCAAAAGTTGTTTCATTTATCAAAATATTTTTCACATAATTTTTTTTTTCACCTAATGAATTCGATAAGGAGAAAAAAAATTCACTCTTACAGCATAAGATAATGTATCTTTTGGCAAATGACCATACACCTTGAAAAAATAAAAAACATTGCAGACATTTTTGATCAAAGAATTTACATAAAAATTTAAAAAAAGGATAATAAACAAATTAAAGACGGACAATTCTAGGCGTGGAAGTCGAAAGGAAGGAAACTGTTAATTTCTACTGTTACAAGCCCGTCAAGAAGAGGAAATTTCTTTCCAACGAGAACGTGAGATTTAGTTTCCCGTGCGCCAGCTCTGCTACATGGGGTGCTTCGATCCAATAAAACTGATTCTGTTGTAAAGCATGCAAGATTCTTGTAACACCTACTTCATCGAGAATTTTGCCCACGTTTCCCCACCTAATATACTTAATAATCTGTTACCTCGATCGCAGGCTCCCTCTCTCCCTCTCCTTTGTTAGCATAGGGCCCTGGGAACCAAGTTCGCAGTGCAAGAAATCGACACGAGTTAATTCTGTCGATGCTATATAATTATTTACTTTTAAAATCTGATATTTCAAGCAGCTTTCTGGGAAAAGAGGGAAATGGAAACTATCTTAAGTCAATGCTGTTTTGAAAACATATTCATGATAGAAAATACACGAGTGATAAAGTGAAAGCTAGTTCCGCTAGTGATGAGATAATATCCTAGGGCTATGCTCCAATTTGAGTTCACTTATTTGAAACTAAAGGCTATTCGCAGAGATTTTAACTTCATTTCCGTTTTTTTTTTTTTTTTTTTTTTTTCCTGTGCCTTGCCAGGTGAATAATTCTTTTTTACCCATTTTAAGTCAATATATGAAACAAGATATATTATTTCAAGCCTTAGATAAATTTTTAGGTGTGTGGAAGATATGATCAACGGACTGTATCGAAAAGTCCGTACTAATAAATCATAGAGTTATTTTAACCCACATTTGATTCCCTTTTTGATTATTGTATAAATTCCATGCAAATGAAAAGCTGTTTTCGATACGATCGAGGAAGTGTAGATATCTTCTCAACGAGATTTCGATAAAGTCGTACTTTACCAAGTGCTCGACGCCTGTTTGACAAAGATAAAGTTTACACTTTACTGTGGATATGATATGACATTCCTAAGATTAAAACTGTAGGTTATCTACAGCTAAGTGTTCTGTCGACAATTACACTCAATTGTAACACACTTTTTTTAATTCTTTACATTTTGCGACGAAATTGTATAACTGATGACTGACAGGAAGCTTTCTGCTGTTATTATGTTGAAAACACTATTGAAGAGTCCAAGTTTGTTTTCAGTGTCAAATGATATCTTATTTGAAGAGCGTGTTTACTATATTCTTTAATGTCTAGTCTTTCTTTTGAACGCCAGCTTTGACCTCCTGTCGACGCCGGAAAAATAAACAAATGAATGAAATCGGTAAATGGAACACTTTGACACTGAATGAAAACCTCTTACGACGTGAATGCATGATTTTTTTTTTGTCAAAAAATACCGCTTTTTCAAATATTCGTCTACTATATCGGTCGCCAAAAGCTCCGTGACTTACGCGTATTAAGTCAAACCGTCAACGGTTTAATTGAAGAAAACCCCTTGAGTTTGCGGTATTCAAATAATGCACATATGATGATGCAATTGAAATAGAAAAACACGAATAATAAAGGTTATTAGGGCAACATTGATGACTATTTAGAGCTATTCTTGCTATTGGAAAACTTGAACAGTTCTTAAAACGTTAAAATCATGAGAAAAGATGAAATTAGTATACATTGCAATTAACAAGTCTCTGTGGCAATTTTAAAAAGAGAAGGTTTTCTTGGTGAGAAAGAAAAAAAAAATAAAAAAACATAAATTAGTAGGGGCTTTGCTAGTAATCCTCTCAATATTTTAAAATAAAAGAAAATTACCAACGTGATTACAATCCTTGAGAGTTAACTTGGTTCTGAAATTTCGATTGTTGGACGAAAATCTAACAAATTTTAATCAAGTACGTGTCTCTTGCTGTTCTTTAACTAAAAACACACAGTCACATTCAGTTCCGCTTTGAGAAAGATTCGTGGTCATTGAAAAAATCAAACTCTTAACCTTTTCTTTTTTTTTTTAAGTAAGAGGCGTTTTGAAATTGAAAGCATTGTGAAGACTAAGAACATTGAAATGTCTTATGTGGGCGAGTTAGTAGGGCTTCGTATTTCCGCGAGGATATTGGATACCGGGAAAAACACAGCTGAATTGTATCGTTTCAAAACGAAAAAATGTATATAACGGAAAGTTACAAATACCATGAAAGGCCTTAAGAAAATTATATACCACTGTTTGAATTTATCTAAGGCTTTGAAGTATATCATTATCCTCATTTCGTTTCAAAAAAACATCGTAAAACAAACTGGTCAATTCAAACTTAAAAGATCCGCTTGAACAAAAACCATGCCGGTGCGTATTTTAATCACCATGTTTTTTAGTTGAAATAAAATGTATTTCATAGAACATTGACTTCGATAGTCTTTAAACAGAAGTTGAGTAAGTTCGAATACATGAGCAGAGTATTCAAGTAGTGACTTTTAGTCGATTTGTATAGAGTTCGCGTCTTCAACAAATGTCAATTATAAGCACAAATGTGACTATAAGCTAAAATTAAAGAGTAAAACTTCACGGGTTGAAACTTGCGTCTATTAAACTAAATGTATATCTAAACTAAAAACTTACTGTTTCTTTTTCAACAAAGGTTTGAAGATTTCCGTCACGTTTCACTCGTCTGGCATTCAGAGTGGTATAGTCCGCTTTGATTTAAGCCGCGAGTTAAGATCCCCCTTTAGTTGGTTTCAAAGAGTAAACAAATTTGTACATGTCAGCTGCTCTCTGTTAAACGCGGTGGCTCTCGGACATCCGTTTCGTGGTTTGTGGTAATGCATGTAATAGTATCCTGACAGTAGAAATTTGGTTTTTCTCGCATCTATTATGCCAGTATTGTTTCAATGTTACGCCAAAGGAAACACGTAAGAGAGAGTTGTTTGTTCCCAATTGTAATCCTGTTTTACAAATTCTCGATGTTTTCATTTTCCCACCCCGCGCAAACTAAATAAGAACTACCTCAAATAGGTAGTCTCTCGAGATGCACAAATGTTAAAACAAATGTAGATAAAACAATAGTAAAGTTTTACTTTATTGATTAAGTTCCATTGATTTGGACACTAAAACTGATAAAATTATTGACACCGCGTCCGATATGACCTATTATCGCACCAAAGCGGATACAATAATAAAAAGAACAAAATTATCAGCATTTCTATCACAGGGCCAGGAGAAGGCCTGTTTTCCGATGAAGGTTTCACCGTGCACTATCCGTTAAATCAGTATTTTATTCAGCGAACAATTAATTCTCATTTGAAAAAATGATTTGAAAGTATTTTCAGTCTATAACTCTGTAACACTGTAGTACAAGTATAGCACTTTGCTTTTGACTTATATTAAACACGTCTTACACACAGTCTCAACAAAATGCAATTTACTAGGACAATTTCTCTATTTCGCCGCAGGCGATGAAGTTATAATGAAACTTCTGCAGGCGTAACTGGAACGTTTTTAACTTGATTCAAATCGTATTTCGGTCGTCAAAATCGAGACCCACTTACAATTAATTGGCAACAAAGTTGTAACTGATTTATTGAACTTGTAGTGTTAAGTCTTCACGGCCTTGTATTTCGAGTGGTTTTAAAAGATAAAAAATCTCGATATGGCTAAGCTCTCTTCAGTTTCGACAATCCCTTTTCAAGTTTTTTAAAAGTCAATTGTCTCACGCAATATTATTCAGTTTGTAAGTGAAAAAATATCAGATATACTTAATTTACTGATTGTTAACTCGCACGGCGACTTCAAAAAGTAAGAATCGACGGGACTAAAGTTAAACCTTCTTCTTCCAATTTGACTAAGTGAAAATCTCGATCGGAATTAGCCGCATTGAGGCTCTCACCAATCAAATCATTTAATTATTTTTCTTATAGTGCCGCACATAACACTAGATAATTCTCATAGGTAAGTATTGCATCTCCTATTTACACGTAAGAAAATTTACTCTTTCTGTTTTTGTGCGCCTAGTAAGAAAAAACAGTACAAAGCAAAAGTAATCAGTAGAGGGAGCCCGGTCAGTTTGCGGCGTTATGACTGCACAGACAAGTAATATAAGGCCAGATCAATTAATTCAAACGCCGTAATTCTCATGGGCCGCGCAACAGGCGCAATAAATGGCGTGCAAGGAAGTGATAGTTCGGCATCGGAAACAACCCCCGCTATGCGTCCGGCACAATTTCGATTCAAACTTGATCTAATGCATCCATTTTATCATTTTCACTCAATACGGCAACATCAGAAGAACAGAGTTTAAAACAGCTGCACCTTTGCAAGGGCGCGGCTAGTAGAAGGGGTTCCCCTAGATCCACCCCTCCTATTTAAATAATCTGGTACATCCCATGATGCCAAGAGGATACCAGTGCAGCCCCCTTTCTTTTTGACCAAGAAAAAAAAACCACCTATGCGCCTGTTTAGTTCTCAGTGAGATTTTTTTCTGCATACCGATGTAAAATATAGTGTAATTCGCAAATGAGGAGCCTTAGGGGTCCAGTAATCATTTACGAGGGCGAAGTGGGTTAATGGGAGGGGGGGTGGAGGAATTTTCTCCCCTCCCCTCCCCCAGCTAAAATCTCAATCTCCCTTCCCTTTCCAGGCGATGAATAATGTCTATGTAAGTTGAAAATGTAATTTGGCCTTCGTAGAGAGTTTCTAAGCTGACATTTCTAGCTTTAGCCCTTCGTTAGATCGACCGTCTAAGTGCGATTTTTGCCGCGACGGAATGAACCTGAAAGAGGAGTGGAAACCTGGAAGGAGGCCCGTGGATGCTTCCAGATGTGCCACGGATTTCATACCCGTAATTCGATGGGTATGAAAGCAGCCGAAAAAAAACTGTTTCTAAGCTTCTGTCTCGCTCTAAACCATGAAATTTTTCACAGTCCTGCTGGGTACCCTGTGGTTCGACTTAGCAGCCACACTTGCGTAAAGCCTTCTGGGTCAACTCGCCATCTTTGAGAATAGCAGCAACGATACCTTGTTCATAATCCATTTATAACAACCTTTGAAACTCATCTTTTTTGCTAAAAATGGTTAAGATGAGGCCAGAAACGAAGAAGAGGGTCCAGACTGTCATAAAATTTAGCAAGACAGCATTTCATTGGGGTTTTATCCCGCTGATTATATATCTGGGTACGTTAACTCACGTATCTGCAGCATAGCTCGTATTTGGTCATATTTCCCGGGACTAAATTGTGCTAAATGATCTTAGAAATAACTATAGGATATAGAAGGTACTTACTAGAGCACGATCTCGTCTCTTTTCAGGACTAAAGCAGGGTGGAGAGCCTGGAATGCCTGAACCAACTTTGTTAAGGTAAACCAGTTTGTAGAGATCACTAAGCACGTGTGAAGAACACCGTAACTTAAAGGCTTTGGTGTAACTTGTTTGAGTGTTTCCGGGAATAATTTCTGCTCTCTTTTCCTCATTTTTGGGGTTGATTTGCTCGTACGTCACCCAATTTTATTGTTCACAAACAGTACTTAAAGTTAGTCATATGATATATAAAACATGTGTTATTTGACCGATGTTTACAAAGCTCCATTTTAGGTAGCGTTTTTCTCTGATTGTGTAATTTCTGATTGAGTAATTTCCATCGGCTTAATACGTTTTAGGTAAGAATATCGACAGTCTTTTAATGGTCCAACAGGTGTTTAACTAAATTTTTTTATTTACTTTACCTTAGCCTAGTCACTGACTATTTATGTTACCAATAGACGTCACAATGTGGGTAGGAACAAAAACGAGGTGCAGCAGAGTGTGTCACCGATGTTCTTATCACATTTTGACCTCATCTGTGACCTACTACTGAGCAGACTTACAGCAACATGGCATCTATTTGTGCTCTATATTTTATAAAGAAGCTAAACCTGTTGTTGTTATTGTCATCCATGGGTGCATCTTCTGATATATTATAAGCAAGAACCAATCAACATGCAGATATAATTCAGCTTATTATATATTTTAGTGTATTCAGCTCCACAACACCCAAGCTCCAAGTATTACCATGCCATCTACTTATAGTAAAAAAAAGAGAGAAATTTGAATTTTTTTTTTTATTGTCAGTCTTCTTTGGGCCTAAATCAAGACAAAGCTGTGAAGTTTATGACAGTCAAGAACAAGGCCTATGGGTTTACTCAGCTGATGCAATGCGTGGATTTTAACAGAAACTATTTCAAGCTGATGACAAAACACAATGCTCTAATGTATCATATGTCTACAGTGAAATAACACTGGAAAACATGTTTGGCTTGAAAATAAATGTACAAAATAATTGTGTATCAGGTTGTTAGTCTTTGAGCTATTTCAGGATATGAGCCTGCTTTGGATGTTTTTTTTTCTGCAGTACTTTGTCATCCCTTTTTATCTAGGAGAAATATGTGAACTCTGAGGAAAGAAAAGATCAGTTCATCTGAATGATCTTCATCATTGTTGTTAAAATTTAAATACCATGAGCCAGACAGTGAGAAAAACAAGACAATGGAACCAAGACATGTTTGTTTCACATAGTGACAGTAGAGATTTCTTAATGAACACTGTTGGATCAAAGCTAAAAATTAAAATACCCATCACAGAGTTTAATCAAGTAGATACAGTGATTGCAAAATGCCACTCTTGACCCTCACAATGGCAAGATCTCAATATTAACCCTTTACACGCTAACATCAGTATTCATGTTCTCTGCACTGATCTTTCTACATTCATGTGATAACAACAAAGAGAATTTCTTTGACATTATTCAGGAGCTTTTTAAATTGGTGATCATTTCCTGTATTCTCGTGATATTTACACTTGATTCAAGGGTTATACTGCAAGGTGCAATTAGAAGCCAGTCACATTTAAGGTTGAATTAGTTAATGCTCACAACTATCTGCTTTAAATTTCCATTTTTGTACAGAGAATTCTGAGTTTGATCAATAGTCTTCTTGCTTCTCATCCCATCCCTGCTGGACAATTGATCCACTAATGGTTGTAAGGGAAAAACATTTTGATAAATGTCAGAAACAAGTATACAACTTTTAAGTACTTTTCAGTAACAACTGAACCAAAGAAAATTCAGTATAAAGTAATTATTCCATGGAATGTGCACTTGGACAACTTTTATAGGTTGTGAGGCAACAAAAAAAAGTGAATGAGTGAGCGCAGTGGTTTGTGCACACTTTCCATGGTATGTTTTTGTTTCATACTTACTGAGATCTACTCTGCCAATATCTACACTGTCAAGATCTACATTGTAACATACAAAGCAAACGAATGTGAAAATACATTGCTCATCCAATCAGAGACACAAACAAAACTGACTTCAGTGTAAATCTCATGATGTATGTAATAAATCTGATTACAACTGAAAGAGGTAAGAATTACTCAAGTTAATTTGTTAGTGTATTTGAATGCTGCTGGGCATTTTCCTGTTGAAGACATCTCTATGCTACCAGCTGTATGCATATTCTCCATTCTGTCCTCTGTAAATTTCCTTAGTTTCTGACAAAGAGAATTTGTTTAACAGTCAAGTGCTTCCTAAGTTGATCACTTTCTTTCTTCTTGTGACTTTAACATTTGATTCTGCAGTGAAACCGTAACAAGAACTCAGATGTCAGTCACTCTTTGAGGTCAAAAGGCTAAAACTATGTTGAAGTTTGCAGAGGAAGACATTGTATTTACTTTTTCAGATTTAAAAATGGAAAGTTGAAACTTTTTACAGTTCCAATGAGAACATATCTTTTAACCCTGGAAGGTTGCATCCTTTAAACCTACTGTGAAAAAAACCACACATTAAGGACCATGAGAAAAAGGAACACAATTTAATTTATTAGAACTAGCAAAATGACATTAACAAATTGTTGCCTAAAGTGCTAGGATGTTAGATGAGTCATGTCATGTGTAACTATGGCAAGAAAAGCCAGCCTCATCTACTTTGTAAGCTGTTCCCTCTTCATTAACAAATGGATCAATATCAGTATCTGAACAACTGCCCACCTACCCCTTCCCTAATCCAACATTAACCTTAAGTTGTTGTCAATTGACTGTTGTTAAGTTAGGGGAGGGGTAGGTGGGCAGTTGCACAGATACTGATATTGATCCAACAAAATTTCCATCATCTTGCTGGCAAGAATTTGGCTTTTCCTTGGATCGTTACCTGGATATTTTCAAGTCTAAGATGATGGTTTTTCAAATGGGTCTTAAAAAGAAAAGCTTACAAATGACTGAATTGCAAAACCACGTCACTGTAAAAGATACTATTTTAACCCCTTATGGATGTTAAAGGGTTAACTCCCATGAGTGACCAAGACAGAATTTTTCCTTAAAATATCTATACAACATCAACCAGATTGGTGATGAGAATAAAGAAAAACATCAATTTGGGGATAACTAATTGATCCAAACTGAACTAATATTATAATTGTATGGTTGACAGGGAGACTTACAAATTTGATGTGGGAGTTAAATGGTTAACTCCTAAGATTTGTTAGTGAATTGTACCCTCTAGATGTTACAAATTCCCTGTAAATTAGATACAAGACTTTAGGGTTGGATCAAGACAACAACTTCTACCTGATCAGTTTGAGTATTCTCATTAATTACTGTTTGTTGGGTAATGTATGGATTTTTGGAGGGGAGGTACATGTTAATCACTTCTTGGAGTTTAAGGGTTAACATGTTATTTCTTGTTTTATTTCTACATTGCGCATAACATAGGCTCATAAAATAAACAAGTCTTTACTTACAAAGTACACATAATCCCTTGAGTTAAAACAAGTAGAATAAATGGTAGTTATTTCTAACATAATCAAAACTAGAACAAAATTATTTACCATGATTGGTTATCACCAGCCAGATTTGAGCACCAATAGGACAGTGAACGAGTCATGCTTGAAATTGGACAATGTATGCATCATGTCTATGTAATTGGACAGTGTGCGTGTAATGGCTGTACAAATGAACAACATGCATGCTCTGTTGTCTCACATTTCGCCAGGTTAACTGTTGTTTTTTTGCATGAAAATGTATAACATTAAAAATTAATTTGAGTCTAAAATTTTGCCATAGTTTTGATTAATTAGTAACAGGACTTTGTTTCATCCAATTGTCTTTAATAATACTCTAATAACAAGTTGGATTCTCACTTCCTGCTTGTCCAATTTCACTACTCACTTGTACAGTAACAGACTTAATTGAACTCCACTCAGTCCTATTATCATCAATTGCCATCCGAAGCTACATTTATATTCCTTAATCTCAAAAACAGGATCTATTGTACAAGGTTGTATTTCTTTTAAAATCATAAAATGCCCTGCTTTTCTTTGACCCTTTCCTGGTCCTCTTTGCTGTTATCATTGACCTTGAGAAATGGCTCAAAAATAATATAGAATAAATTAGGAAATAAAGGTATTTTTTTCCCTTGTCATTCTTAAATACATTATTTCCAGTCATTTTCAGTGATAAAGATGGCACACACCACAACTTTCAAGGCCTGGAAAATTATAATGTAGAATTCCTTAACTTTCAAAGGTATCATTGACATCATAAACCCTGAACTAGCTATTGTTGTGTTGTTGTTAAAAAGTATCCAAAAATAAACAAAACAGATGCTGAGAACATCAAAGCAAACAAACTTGTGCCTCATGTGTCCTTCTGACTTGACGTAAAAACCTTTCCACGTAATTTGTATAGTCTTGTTGCAGATTAGGTAGAACAGTGATAAGCCTATACAGCAACTGATTTCAGATAGTTTTTACAAACATCAAGCTGCCAAATAAAAAGATGATGGGTAAAAACTCCCTCAGCTGTCTCCATTTTCCTCCTTATCATTTGTTTGGGTCCATGTTACCCTGTCTTCATAAAACTTAATAACTATCTGTGGCCATCTTTTATTTGCAATAGTGGATGGTATCAAATCTGCTCTATCAGTGTCTTTCCTGGAAAAATAAATTACAAAAAAAGTCAACATTTATCATCATTTTGCACCTTTTGGTCTTCTTAATTTGTAACATGGTCATCAAGAGGAAGATATTCCTCTTTATGAAGATATCTGCGTAAAGATAACTGCAGAGGAGGTTTTCTCTCAGCCATTTCTATCCTTCCTGAAAGAAACTGTTTCGTCATTAGCTCTGCATGTGTTTGTTTTTGTTGGAAGACAGTGCCTCCAGTTTTTAAATAAACTACTTTTGATTGGTTATAAGCTCACTTCCAGAAATGCAGAAATGCAGAGATGCACACCTAATCAAAGGGTGTCTCATCTTCTTGCCTTTCTCTGTCCTCTTTGCCCACTGTTCATTCCAACTCTAAATCAAACATGGTTGGTTGAATAAAGAACTGTGAGCTCATAATGTTAACTTGCTCTAATAACAAGCCTACAATGCAGGCTACCATCACAAGTCAACCCAAACTTACCATTTTATAAGGAAATGAACCTTCCCTTCCACATCTGTGGCTCCAAGAATATCAGAAGCTTCCCACCCTTCAGCAAGGGGATCTACATCATCTTCTTTTCCAGGCTCCTCTTCAGTGACATCATTCGACTCATTTGCTTGCTGGTAAGATTTTTCCTTCTTATCACCAACAGTTTCTGCAAGTTTTCGCCTCTTGTTTTTACCCTCAGCCTTAATTTCACTGAAGAAAGAAGGTTGAGTTAGAACACCATTAATTTTAGTTAAAATCTAGAACATCTCCTCTTCCACCTCTTGTCCCCTTTGAGGGATTAGAATCTAATTTCTCCACACAATATCACCTCCTGAATCTCTCAAGAATAAATGAAATCATCATCAACTAGAGAAGCTCTTGATTGTTAAACAAATTCTCCTTGTCAACACCTTAAGAAATGTATAGAGAACAGAGTGGAGAATATAAAGAGGATATTACATGGTGGCAAGAAGATATTAACTTAATTTTCAAGTAGCAAGAATAATATCTCATGAGTGAGATATTATATGGACAATAAATATACAGGGTACAAACTGAAAAGCTGGCTTTAATACAATTACTGGGTAACAATACAAACAAAATATCTGTTGCCCAAATTATAATAAGGTCAGTTAGGCCAAAATACATGGGACAAGGTGTGAAATTGCACCTAAACACAGGCACCAATGTGACTAAATTTTTCACTTTTGCAACCCAATCCTGAAAATTAGTTGCCAAATTGGCAACTAGAATGTTTCATCATAACCTTACTAAGGGATATAGTAAATTAAAAAGATTTGCAAAGATAAATCGGCAGCAAACTTCCTTGTTAAGTTTGTTTCCAAAACACAGCACATGTATCTCGATAAATAACTAGACACCATCTTGGATTAGGTGAGCTTGAACTTTGTATATCATCCATCCTAGTGTCCACTTTGTAACACATTAAAGATCTTTTCACTAACTTAATTTTGGAGGGTCTATCTGGACCACTGACAGCATAAAAAAAGGTTTTATTTGTCTTTGAAAATGGTGACCAACTTTTTTTGAATTGGCTACTACGTTAAAGAATTTAGGAGCCAAGTGGCTATCAGAAAAAAAAATCAATTTCCTGCCTTGTGTGAACTGGTTAAATGGGCTTAATGAGCATTTTATTACTGTCTCTGACTTGAATTATTACATATACATACTTTCATTTTTAGCCTCTTTTCACTATGAACCTTTGAAGGTTATTCAGCATACACAGAACTGAATTTTGTTGCAACTTTCAAGAATTCATTGAAAATCTTCAATGAAAATGAATTCCATTTTGGTTTTCTTGTTCTCTAGTTGTTTGGGAAGTGCATTTACATCTTCATTGCTTACCAAAACAAATCTTGCAGCTATTTAATATACCAAACAACACACAAACAAAGTTAATTCCTCAAAGTTTGAAAAGGCAGGGAATTGTGACTTTGTTGCTCAATACTGCCATTTGTGTTACAAATGAAAGACAGACCTCTCCATTTGCGGATGTAGTGGTCGTATTGATTCTATGAATGTTTTGGTTGTTGGTAAAACACTCACATCCATATAATAAGAGTATTCATGTTAGGGTCTGATGGGTTAACAGTATAAATTGTGAAGAAAAAACACACAATGCAATGAGGTGTAAACAACACCAAAAAACAATAATTAATTTAAAGCCTTAGGAAAATTTGTGGTCACTTAATGCTCAGCCAACGAAATGAGATATAATAATAACACCTTGTCCATACATGAGGCCTATTCTCTTTAATAAGTAAAGCACTGTAATTTCGTGTTTACATGTTTAATAACGACCTTTTGATGCCAAATCTGACCAAAAAAGGGTGATTAGTATACAAGTAACATCAAGATTACACTGTAAACATTTTGGGCTTCAATAAAAATGCACATCAAACTCACAATTTATTGAGCTGTACCAATCTGACGTAATCCAATGTTACTACAAGCACAAGATGCACCAGGTTTGGTTTGGGGCATCATGTGCACTTACAGATCACAAATTTTTTACGATCAGTTTAATTCCCCCCAATTGTCTTCGATGATAAATGCAGCATATCTGTGTAAGACATGGAGAACTAACCCACCATATGCGAAAGCGATACCAAAAGGCAAGTAACTTGACTGTTGGAAAAAATCTTACATAAGCATAAGGAAAGTTAAGACTACATGTACGATACGGCGAGAAAGATTTCCATTAATTATTACATGAACAATTATTTTACCATCTTACTCCCAAGAGCTTCTACTGTGTTCGTTTTCAGAGGAATCAGTAATGACTTTGGAAGATTAATTAAACCTTTGAGATCACAGACAAATACTCACATTCGCAACGTGAGCGAACAAACCATGTAAATATTCCAAACAAATTTCACAAACCTGGGTTCTTTCCTTTTCTCTTTTTTCTCCTTTTTTACTGTAGCCTCAAGCCTAGCCTCATGTCTTTCCTTATTCTTTTCGTATTCTTGAAGTAACTCTGAGCAGTCTAAACTGTCCTCGGGTTCCCAGGTATTATCGTTGGAAGAATATCCCTTCCATTTAAGAAGGTATTCAACCTTTCCCTGATGTATACGCTTGCCCACTACTTTTTCCACTTCATATATCTCCTCATCAACACTCTCTTGTTCTATAGTTGGCTGTTTCCCTTCCAATGCTGTTTTCTTCTTTCCCATTTTCAATCTTGTATATATGTACGCAGAACTTTTCAGTTAGTCGCTGTACCTCGCTATTTATTTCAACCAGGGACTTCGGGAACAACGGCCTTCCCGCGCGAATTAGTTTCATAACGCGCCTTCTGATTGGTAGGTTCCCTGGCAATTTCAAATTACAGCTGCTGTCATTGGTCAATTGGCACGACCTTACTAAGCCCTAGCTGATTAGGCGGCCATTTTGAAATAAGTCAATTTGAAGATTTTCTCGATTCAATTCCAATATTTTGGCCCCATTCAACCATAACCCAAAAGTTGACAAGAACAGTGGCAGTGGTGACAAAATAAAATGGCCTGTCAAATCAGTAGGCTGAAAGAATTTTTAGACAGAGTTCTTTGTTTTGGTAAATGATAAATTAATAGTTTTCAATCGATGGAAAGCGATGAACGAACACAGCAAATTATCGAACGAGCCTTGCATCTAGCAGCCGAAGTAGCTGAAACGGACGACAGTAATGTCCCTGTTTTACTGTTACAATTAAAAGGTACACTTTTCAATATTTTTTTTCATTCGTATTTCTGTAAGATATCAGGAAGTTGCCAAGTTTGACATCAGTTAGGCTAGCAATTTGTATGCATAACAAATGTAACCATTCGAATTAAGTCAATTTGCAAGGCAAGTATTGAGCTTAAGTATTCATCATAGCAGACTGTGAACAAGGAGGAAAGTTTAAAACTGAACTGAAATCCCAAGAGCTGATGAAAATTATCCGTAACTTTCTGAAACATTAATGTAAGGTCATTAGTAATTACTTATCGTGAATATTCTATGAACAAGGTGAAGATTTGAAAACTGACCTGGTCTCCCAAGAACTGCTGGAGAAAATTATATGAATAGTCTAATTAGCTGCAGAAGGGCTTATTAATTTCCAAGGCTTTCAGAGTACAGTTTTTCCCCTCAGCTTACCCACTAAAGTGTTGAGGTATAAGTGAATTATGATAGTTGATGTATTGTGATTATTTTTTCTGTCAGACATCCTCGACTTGGCTCCTCCGAGAAGTAGCTTGGGAGAAGTTCTCAGGAATCATCTGTGGAATTATGATGTTATTCAAGTTTGCAACCTAGGTATGAGTAAAGTGCATTGAAATCTATCAAAATCAGACTTTGGTGTCCAGATTGAGATCACTTCGCAAGAGCTACTCTTCTAACATTCCATTTTTCTACTGGAATATTATTTCACAGGGTTGGAAATGATTAAAAAAATTGTTAAAATTAGTGCTTTCCATTCAAGTTTTATTCTGAACAAAATATCAACTTTTATTTTATTTTTTAAGCTTTGAAGCAAGACTTTGCTGCAATAGCAGGAGGATGGGACACTGCCACCCAGTTGGGAGCCATTTTATGTCAGAGCTGTGTGGGTCTCAAACTTCCAGACATGCCTGAGTATGAAGAAAAATTTCTCCCTGATGTTGTTGAGAATATCTTGTCTTTGGCTGCAAAGTTGCTTGACTTCGTCGTCAAAACAAGAGTGGTAAGATGTCCTACTTTGGTAGATTAGTCATGTTTTAGCCTAATTCACATTAGATTTTCCACAATGGGTGATTATTCATTAGTAAATTTTATTCATTAGAAAATTTAGTAGGGAAAGGTAAGATGAGAATAGAATACAAAATGTCCCCATGTCAGAATTAGAAATGAAATATAATGAAACCAAAGATATTTCTGTACAGTGGCAGTGTACCATCGGCTAGTATTTTCACTGGCTTCTTGTTTCTTAAGCACTGCCAGCTAAATGATTATGTTCAATACCAGTCTTGAACTAAGAAAAATTACGACTTTTTCCTTATTTTCCTATATGCCCAAAGGAATTTACTATTAGACTTGAAAGAGAAGATTAATTGAAAGCATCAGGAAAGGCTGGCCACCAAAAGTCTCTTAAGAACATTTGACAAACTCTGGTAGAAATGGCCCACAAGGCCATTTAGACATGCCCTACACCTGACTGGGTGTAAATGTAAATATTTTTTATTGACTTAAACACTTCAGGAATCTAGATTTCTTATGATATCCTTGAGACATTATAAATATTTACTCTGATTTGTTCTCTTCTTCCTGAAACAGATGACTGAAAAACAGAAACATTTTCAAAATTTTAGGACAACACTGATTTCCATGGAGTGGCTTTACAGTTTTCATGTTTTCCTCACTTTCAATGGTATTTGATGCAACTTACCTTAATTTTGTACAAATCATGTGTATGTATTTAATAGACTACTTCCTATCAAAACAAAACAACAACACTTCATTTAAAAGGCAGGATAAACCAGAGGTTCAAAGAGTAATTTTCATCTAGACCCTACTACTTTAAAAATTGTAAAGAAAAAGATCTAGATAAAAAAATATAAAAAGTCTCCTAATTACAAATTTAGTGCAATACATATCAGTAAGTATACATGTGATTATAATGTTTTACAAACTGTGATCAACAAAGCTAGGCTATAGGTGACCTGTCATTACATGAGAATTGCTCCAATTTGGTAAAAATCTATTTTAAAACATACGTTTTCAAAGTTGGAATAGACTTCTTTAAATATTAAGTATTTTTGAGTGAAGAAATTGTTTTGGGTGCAACACTATATGAGTTCCACTTAAAAGACATCAGCAAAGGAAAAGTTTGCTTGCTCAAGTTTGTTTTTGATTTCTTGCAATTGAAAGGCATGAAACTTTTGCTGAAAAGTGAAACTTTCAAAAGTCATGTACATTTGTATAATGATGTTCCTGGAAAACAGAAATTATAGACATTCCACTGTCTGATCATAATTTCCTTATTTTGTATGCATGTGGGTGAATCTAATGTGAGTCTATTTCTGTTTCTTTGCAGTGCTGCAATCCAAGCGCTTTGTACAGATTCTGATGTCTGAAGATGTTGACACATCACTCTTTAGTTTGATGATTCTTGAAAATATTTTTAAAACAAACAGGTCTGAAAGTTTCATTCAGTTACCTTTTTTTCAAATTACATGTTTGTTTATCTTCTGTGCAGCTATGAGACAATGTATTTTGACCCTTCAACTCCCATGAGTGACTGAGAAAGAATGTTTCCTCACAATATCAACACAATAGTAAGCAGGCTAGTGCAGGAAATGAAGAAAAATAACAGTTTGGAGATTATTAGTTGATCCAATACCAAATTCTCTGAACTGACATCCTAAAAATTTTACAGCAGACATTAAGGAGAATTACCAAAAACATCTTGGGATTGAAAGGGTTAAGTAATGACACATAGTCAACAAGACTGTTTATAGTTGATATTATGTCATCTTAAATGTTTTGTCAGGTTTTTGATGGGAAAACTTGAACCGAATGTCCTTTACAGCATTTTGGATGAGACTGTTTTCAAGATATCAGCCTCTGAAGAATCTTCAGTTGCAAGGTGAATTGTGAAACAGAACTGGCATCGTTAAAGGTCTTTGTTGTTGCTTGTGGCTTCATTGTTGTGCCCTGATAGGTCTACTTTTGTTACTGGCTGACTGTTGTGCTGTCAAGACAGTTTGGACATTAACAACTGAGTTGATAATGTAAATTGGCCACCAAGAGTTTCTAAAGCTGTTGTTTTGAGCAATAGCCCTTTATCAGGGCCCTTCACTCAAGCCCTTTGCTCCATTGGGGTGAAGCTCAAAATGTCAGCTTTCAAAACTCTTTATGGTGGCCAATTTACATTATCAACTCAGTTAAGAAGACCAAATTTTCATAAAATTTCCCAACTGCTCAGCACCAGTTTTTTTCAGAAACTTATCTCCTTCATTCAATTGTTGTGCAGTCAGGTAATGTGACAATCAGTGGTACACGTGCAGGGCTGACATTCAAGCTATTTGCTAGCAGAAGACTTTGTCCAAATAACATCAACAGATTTGGCAGAATCAGAATTCTGTAAATAAAGATACCTGCTATCAAATGCACAATAGCCAGTTAGATCGGCATTGAAAAACATCCACTTGTTGGAGCAATAATTGTTGAAATAAAAATGCACTGATGGAAGAACATAAAAGTGCATCAATATGATTAGTACTGTCAGTCAACATACTGCATATTTTATAAAACTTACCATAAGGCCTGGTATTGAGGAAGAAAGTTATTAACAGAAAGTCACAATCTACAATTTACCATCTTTCTTTTTCAATCTACAATTTATGGCAACTCTATGTTGTGAAATGAAGGATTTTAAAGACGTTCATGTATCAGAATCCACTTCTTGCTTTCTTATACTCAAAATTATTTGGCAACATTTAATTGTATAGGGCATCAATTCACCTCATTTTGACAGCAACAGATGTTCACCCACCAATCCTTGAAATTTTGCTCTCAAAAAGATACAGGTGAGTTTGAAATGGCTCTACAACTTGCAGTAAAGCACTTAACCCTGTGACCACTGAGTAGGAGTGACTTGCTTCTAATTTCTCCTTACAATAACACCCCTAACTCAAGTATGAAGATCATTAGAATAAAGGAGGGATCACCAATTTAAAGAGGCCCTTCTCCTCCCTTAAACCCATTCAATGACTGATACAATACATAAAACCAAAGCTCTTCAAACCCTTCCCTCCCCTCCCCAAGGTCTTGGTAATCTAGAACCCAACGAGCGAGGTGAGGCATTCAGTACTAGTTTTTCAATATTATTCATCTGACTCAGTGTCAAACAATAAACGTTGTATTATTCTAAAGAGATGTCAAGTAACCATCTTCTTTTTAGGGGTTTGAAGGCGTATCTCAGTAAGTGGAAGGCGAGAGGGTTTGATAATGATGTGAAGAGACTTGTGTCTTTACTGGAGGCTGGTTCGATTGCTCAAGCTGAGCAAATGGTACGCAAGTTGAAAAATTAAAATTACGATTACTCTTAAAGCAGTTGTTGTTATTGTTTTTTTTTACGCCGGGTTACATTGTTTACTAAGTGTAAGTTTGCATTGTTTACTAAGTGTAAGTTTGCATTGTAAGGTCGTTGGTTCCAATTTCTTTGGGTATCTTTTTGTCCTGTGCTTGTTTTTACTAAATTTAAGGGGGCACTGCCGTTAAGTACCTTAAGTTTCAGATGTATCAGCAGTTTTGCGATTCGATATCGCTGATTTTTCATTCCAGAGGTATAAGTTGTTCCATCGATCAAAAGATCAGAGCAAACTTTAGAGTGACATAAATTTTGAGGATTCCCGTTAAGTTATAGTTTCTATGTGATTTTTGATCTTAGAGACTCTCTCGCGCTGCCACGGCTATCCAAGCATTTTACCGCGGCTCCAGACAGCGTCAGCGCCTCAAACAAGCGGAGTTGGGAATCATTCTACTTCAGCGAAAATTCAGACAACGCCGCTTGGACAAGGAGCGAGCAAAGGAGAAGGGGAAGCGGCGGGAAGAACGCAAATTGGCTCTGGAACAGAAAAGAATCAACGAGTTCAGATCGTCCATGCAAAAACAGCTGAAGATGTTGGAAAGCGTACCTGCCAGAGAAGTGAACTTGTTTATGGAAGAAAATCAAGTGAAGGCAGCAAGTAAAATACAAGCGGCGTTTCGCGGCATGGTGGCGCGAAAGAAATATCGTGAACGGAACGAGGAAGTAACTCGAGAGAGAGCAGCTGTTACCATCCAGCGACAAGTGAGCATGGGAATTTTTATCTTTGGAAACTTTGGGAGAGATGGTGAGATTTGGAGGGGGACGTGCGAAAAGGAGAAAAAGATGGGTTAGAAGGGGGAGGCTGTTCCAAAAAAAAAAGAAAAAAAGAAAGTATATAAAGATTGGTTATTCCTGGGCGGGAAAAAGTAAAAGGAACTTCGTCCCTGGTTATTCTATGTAATCTCAAAAACCGGCCACTACAATTCTCTTTTGTTCATTTTTAAAGGCAAGGATGAAAATCATTTGGTTTCTGGAACTTAATTTCCTTTGTTAATTAATTGTTCTATTTTTTACCGTAGTTTCGCCGATATCAACAGCATAAAGCAGATCGTAAAACTCCTTATCCCGTTGTGCCTGGTTTGACTGACGCAAGACGCGCCGAACTGCAGAACATGATCGCAGAGCGTCGCCAGAGGTTCCCAGTAAGTTTTGCAACTTTAAATTTTGTCATTCATCATCTTTTAAGTTCGTCATTTGTGGTCCTTGTTACTCTTCGCCACCCTTGACCATTCAGAACTGAGTTTTCTCGTTTTTGTTTGTTACTTTCTGCACTGGAGAAGGATTATTGGAGGATTTCAAGCTATTTTAGGGTGGTTAAAGGAACTCAAATTTCGCGAAGAACCTTCAACGTGCGTCAAAGCCCGCTGATGTTAACGGTTGTTTTTGTTTGTTTGTTTGTCTCTTTGTCTCTCTAAGGCAAAACACAGAACCCAAGAGGAATTTAAAGAGCTTCACGAAAAGGTACCACAGGGGTTAACTTACCGATTGGTAATCTTTTAGTACTTACCAAAGAAGAGTACCTCTTTTTTTAATCGTATGCAAAGGGTAAAGCCTTCAAGCTGGCTGGTGCATTTGAGTTACTTTCAATTTGTTTGAAGTGTCCTGAAGTGAAGATTGTGGTACAGAAGATTGCTTTAAAGAATAAGTTTTGAAATATGGGAGGGATAGACGCGATTTTTGACCCCTTAACTTCTAGATAGAATTTGTAATTCTCCTTACTGTCAACCATACAATTCTTGTAATGTTAGCTCAGAGAATTTAATATTGGATCAACTTATTATCCCCAAATTGATATTTTTCTTTTTTCTCATCACTTATCTGGTTGATATTGTATAAATAGTGTAAGGAGAAATTCTTTCTTGATCACTTATAGGAGTTAAAGGGTTAAAATAAACCTTTAGGGGTAGGGTGTGTGAAGTGTAAGGTCAAGATTAGTCTCGTACCCAGACCTTCCACGGCCGAGCTACATTTCAGTTACAGTTAAAAGGTAGGATATGGGTACCAGATAAGGTCAAGAGAGGTTGTATTATAGTTGCCACTTGCGGACTATTGTTGGTAATTGCTGGGCATTTTCGCCCCGAGTACTTATTTCCGGGTTTTAATTGAGAGTGTGGAGTTCTTAGTTTGAAAAGAAACATTCAGTTTAAACTTTCCATTTTTTTTTTTCACCAGGCGTTTTCACTTCTTGCCAATCACGTGTTGTCTAACATGAAGATAAGAAAGAGTGAACAGAGAAGGGAAGCGTTGCTGGCCAGGCTGAACGTGGAGGCAGATCAGCTCTTAGGTGACTGAGGACTGAAAAATAAATTCTTCTTCTTTTTTTCTCTTTTTTTTTTTCGGCGATTCAGAGAAAGCGAAACAATAAAAAGTATACCTAGAAATCAGTCACTGGGCAATGGATATGTGTATATAAAGGGAACTTTTCAGCGCCTGTTGAGAACATTGGAGAAAAGTTTGGAATCGCCTTAAAGAAAGCATTTCTTGTGGTCTGTTGTTTTAAGAATTATGTACGAACCAAGTGGGCGAATTGTGGTGGTGAATGAGTTGAAAGCTACTTTTCTCTTCCAACTTAGTGTAAATTTTTTCTTTGAACTTATTTTGTTATTATTTTTACAGCTTCTCCAAAGCTTCATGAGGTTACTCCCGACATTCTTGACTCTTTTACTTCAAGATCAGCGCCCGTGATAGCCAGGGCACAGCAGTGTCACAACGAGGAAATGCGCGGACTCAAGCTTCCTTGGTGGAAAAAGTTATGGGATGAGGAGGAAGCGGAAGGGCTTGGGGAGAGGCCGGGAAGTCAAGACGACGAACAATTTAATTTTTGACAGTAAAGTTTTCGGTAGAAAAAGAAAACGTACACCAAACTAGGACACTTGCGTCTAAAATCGGACATAATTGTCTTTCATTGGACTCTATGGCTACTAAAACCGGCCACTTTTGTCTAAATTTTGAGACGGGTGTTTTAGTGAGACTCTCTTGTTGCCTAATATGTGACGCCAGAAGCTTATAGCCTTTGGTCATGAGCCTCTAGTGAGACAACCTGTCGCTTATCCAATTTTTTTTCTTTTCGTTCCTATCTGCCTTAGTTTGTTTCAGATTTTTCAAATTGTGAACTCTTCGAGTAGTAAAAATTTCAACTTAATTTATTGTTGGTGGATACTCTATGGTGCTCGGGTGCGTTTGCGAGACGTGCGTGAAAAATGCGCATCATTGCCAATAATGAGGTAAAAGCGGAGTGTTCCATTAGGCTCATTTTATTGGAACTCATCATAGCTTTCCTTCACCTTATCAAAGTGCTACGTTTCCCACAGAATTAAGATGTCTCTTTTTCTTTTTAAGTTACAGTCGTATCAATTTCGACAAGTGGAACTAATCTGCTACTGGCTGATTTTGTTTAGGGCCGTACATTTATTGTGGTTTAGGGACTTCCTCGATCATGATTCGTGTGACAGACTTGTGCCCGGTGTAGGCGTTAAAACCTTTTCCGAATCCTGGACAATCACCAACCGCCACTCCCACGCGAACGGTTCCCGATCCAATCCCCTCGCAGTATCCTCCGATTTGACTGTGCTTGTGAACGTTGGTGTCTGTTCTACCATGATTTTCCCAAATGGCGTCAATACCTTCGATGGGAGCTGGTTTAGCGCACTCATTGCCGTTGAAAGTGAAATACCAACGTTTACAACACCTTTGGCAACCGGCTATTCTAAAATCGCCGTCGAACTCTACTTTCAAGACGGTGTCTGAGCTTTTGTTAACGAAGACACAATCCTGCAACAGAGAGATCAATACACATGGGCTTTGCAACAGTCGGTAAACGAACAAAAACGTTTAGATGTCCACAGAAATAACGAAAACAAACCTTTATCAACCCATAATCTCTGCCGTCTTCCAGAGGCTTCCACGTGCATTGTTTCCAGTTCCTTTGAGGAACTACTCCAGCAGGGCCCTGATCTCCTTGGGAGCCTTTTTTCCCTGGTGCTCCTGCGGGACCTTGGTCACCCTTAGGTCCTACAGGGCCGGCAGGTCCCTTTTTACCAGGTGCTCCCTTTGATCCTCTGGCACCGTCTGTTCCGTTATGCCCAGGCATGCCAGGGAACCCTGGTGCACAACTAGTCGTATGCACTGAGCAACAGGAGGCTGGTTGACAATTTACCTAATAGCGACGTCAGGGATGAAGAGTGTGGTTACCGACAAGGTAAAGTTAAAGATGTCAGGATATCCAGAAATTTTCTCGGCTATAAACTACCAAGAAAACTGAGACGAACAGTCTTTGGGACGTGGTACTGCAGGGTTCATACGAAGCGTGGTGCATTATTATAACTTGGTTTTATGTTCGCAATAACATTCAGCGTTGAAAGTTATTTATCGACTGGAAAACAGTCGCTCTCGACGTCTATCGTGTCGGCTTCTGATTTTGAACAACTGCATGGCGACAAAAATTAATTCACAGATGGTAGTCTCTCGTTATGTCCGTATGATTATGGAATAAACCTAATCAAATAAATACTCGTGATTTATCAAGTGCCTTTGATGTGTTGGAACTCCGTCAAGAAACGTAACCAAGAAAAAAAATTACTTACCGACCGGTTAGCGGAGAACGCCAACCTATGCATCGTTTGTCGCTGTCTTTGTAAGTTATCAGTACTTAAAAGGAAAATAAAAAAACAAAATTTAAGGACAAAACTTAAACCAAACCCCTCGAAGCCTCTAGTGTTTGGTCACATCAGAGATTTGACTCGTCAAAATTATGTCTACTAAAGAAAAACGCGGAAACACAAAACCGGCGAAGCAACAACTGTCCCCTCACCTCGCGAATAAGTATCTAGAAAATGCCCGGCTCTTGCACAACCAAAGAATAATAGCCCCGAGCACTAAAACAGCCCTTTTAGAGTACGTGTAACAGTTTGCCTTTCCGTATAATTTTTCCTGTTGTAAACTATTTCACGTAAAAACCGGATCATTGCTGCGACAAAGATTAGTCTTTCAATACGTCAATTATTCAAACATTCATTGACTCTGGATTGACATTGTATTGTTTCCGTTTGTTTTGTTAGCGGGACAAAGGAGCAAATTTAGTGAAAGGTTTCCGGTTTCCATTCCTTTACACTAAATCTTCATAATCAGGAACTTCATGTAACAGTCTGTCCACAAATATTTGAAAGAAATCATTACTGACTGACCCACGGATGAAAAAGTAAAAAATCGAATCTTAAGACAACCTTGCGCACAATTGAAAAAGGTTCGTCAATTAACATGCAATTGTCAATCAAAAGCCATGTCGGAAATTAAAATAGCTTAAGCCGAATCAATAGGGTTTTTTTGACCGCGCGAGATCTGGGTGTGAACATAGTACGAAACATGCAAAACAAACAGATTTATCGCGTTTTCCCAAGATTTGCTGGAGCGTTGAACATATTTGTGCCCTTTCTAGTGCATGTTAATAACAAAAAAAAATCATTAGACCAAATTTGAGATAGAGGAAAAAAACACAAAATTGCAAATAGCGAGGGCACTATTTTTTCAGCTTTTAAATGATCGGCAGGGCAATTTTCACAAACTGTGACAATTTTGAGAGATTTCACTGACGTAAATTGAAGAAAATCAAAGGCAAAGCCAAATTATCGCTTGTGAGCGCTCCCCTCGTGTAGTCTTAGCTTAATAACGAAAATCACTTCGAAAGGTAGTCCGAACCTTGCTTATTGCCTTTTGATGGCTTTAGTGACCTTGAAAAGCGAAAACATATAAATTTTCAAGAAAAACATTACGCTGGCACGCGCGCCAACATTGAGCAAACACCCTATGGAGCCTCCTGAATAGTTTTAACCGGATGAGATCTTCCGAAATATTTGCCACGGTAAGAAGTCGCACTTAAAATTTCCTGTGAGAGCAAAACACAACAATTAATATAAAGCTTCTTTGGAGGCAAAAACTTGGTGGAAAGCATCAAGTCACGATTGCATCGAGGAGGAATTGAAAGGGCCCATAAGGAGAGGCGACCAACAAGTGAAACTTCAACTGCATAAACTGTTTTGACAGGAATAAACTATATGCACACCGTGATGATTTAATTCTTATTTATTTCAGACAAATTTGTCGTACAAACAACTCGGCCTCATAAATCCAAGTGAAAACCACACTCTTACACTTACATTTTCGTTGGTGCCATTATAAATAAATTATATTAGACCCGTACATTTAAAATTCCATTCTTCTTTGCTTTACGCAACATTTGCTCAAGTGTAAAATATTCCTTAAAATGTAAATTAACATGCAGCACTCCTCCAACTTGCACGTGACTCTTCCTTCTTCTGAAGAACGTTGCGTGACGAGCAATGGCGTAAATCATTGCGTGACAGCTTCACGCCCGCAACCTCTTCCCAATCACTTATCCTTCTCTTCTCTGACTTGCCATCCAAGCACTCTTCTGTCGAAACCACATGAAAACAAATTGCAAGCCTTGGCGCTGGTTTCCTCTCCCCAAGAAGTACAGCAAACCATTCGTTGATGACCCTAAAATTCGAACAGAATAATTCAGTGAGTGGTTTCCGGGAAAATTTGGGAGAACTAATACTAGGGACACCAAGTCTAACCAATCACAGTTATGATAGCAACTTATGTAGCCAATCAGAACTCAAAGAAAACCATGCAGTTGGTGCTGCTGAAGGGAAAACTTACGACGAGCATCACAAAAGAAATCATAACAGCGAATCAGGACAAACGAAAATTTTCCAGGAAGCCAATTAGAACTTGATGCCAAAAGAGCAAGAAGGCTTGAGTACAAAAGTCGCGACTTGTTTTGATTTGCATTTGATTGGTCAAATAGGTGGCGTGAGTTTTCTAGACCAATCAAATGGCGCGGTACTCTAAAGACCAATGCAATCCCAGGTTACCAGCGACATTGAAATGAAAATTGCTCTATCAAACTGTTGCATAGAGTCCAACCAGAGTTCAAGATACAGACATACACTTACCTGACCATTCCTACGAGGCAGTCGCGCGAGTCGCACTCCACTGATGTCAAACAGGCGAATATGCCGATTGTCGTGAGGAAGGGCGATCACGTTATTTACTGGTGATACGGAGAGTCTGTGGAAACAATTTAAACATTTATTGAAATAATTAGAACAGAATGCATTCTTGGAAGGTACTGTGAGGTTATTTTAACTTTGAAGTTGAGGATTTTTCAGATTGAGACAAGCCACTTGAAAAAAGAGCCTGAGTACAAAGGAAAAACTGCTGATCGAGTGCCTTAGCCCCAGTTTTGTCTCCATTACATGTGCTTTGATTCAATTACCTGTTAATAGACGAATCTGTGCTGATTGTTGTCAAAGGAGAGCGCATGTTCTTCAGATCCCAGACCTAAGAGAAAATGTTTCCAGACTGAGTCTCCAGAAGGCGCAGCGAAAACAGCGTGAGCAGATTTCTTTAAAACTGCCTGCTCGCCTTATGTAGACTTCCTTTATTCAATCTACCAATCATGACAGAACCAGTGCCTATCTTTCACTCTGACCCCTTAATTTCGAATTCCATTGCTCTATATTAAAAAAAAACTCCCTCCTCTCTGCAAAGCGGAATACTCAATCCTCCCCAACCTGGGCTTGATCCCCGTTCGGTCACATCCAGACCTCAACCTTCCAATAGTACCACTCGACACTGGCCTCAACACCTTTTACCCTGATAACGCTACATCATAATTCCCAACCCCAACTGTTCGGTTTTCCCATTCTTATCTCCTGAGCCATAACCTCCTACGTCCTGTTCCCCAATTCATCTTTCCTCGTGCCCTAGTTGCTAGTCCATCCTGCTTCAGTTTCCTATATCCCTAGTTCCCATTCCCTTTCAACATACCTTTTTCATACCCCTATTTTCAGTTTCCCCAGATCCCCGCTCAGTGTCTCCCAGGCCCTTTTTGCACAATTCTTAACCCCTATATCTGGAATCACAACACCCGTCCCCAAACAAACAACACAGAAAGGAACACTGACCTTAACGGTTCTATCGTCACTGCCACTTACAACGATATCCTTTGTCGTGAAAGCAGTTGATCTGACCGTGCTGTGAACAAACAACAACACTTGCAAATGAATTTTTGATGGGGCAAATTAAATAGACAGAACATTTTTCCTTCACTTAGCTGCCAGAGTAATAACAGAACGGTTACGAGACTTCTCCCGTTAATAATTCATAGAATCAGTTTACACCACTACCCTTACAACATCATTCACTTCCCACGCAGCTGAAATATGTCAGGTTTTCTTAAAAATTTCCAAGCAATTGATTTTTGTCTTACTCAGAGTGTCCCTGGAACACATTGACTGAATGAATGGAAGGTGTCCGAAAGTCCCACAAACGGAATGTTGTGTCCGTAGACGAGGTCACAATCAGCTGCTGAGTGGGGTGGGTACAGGTATGTGTTAGTTCTTGATCATGACCTGATGGATGAAATGTGAAATGATCCTGTAAATACTTTATTCCTTGGATTGCATTCAAAGTATTAGATTTAAGGCTAGTAAGCAAAATTAATACAAATATAAAGTAAAGTTATTTTTAAGCTGAAGAGAAATTATCCTCCAGGTTTTAACACCAGCTTGGCTTTCTCTTTATTAACCAGTATCAACAACAGTGATCTATACTTAACTTTTTATCCCTTTACACACTAAAATCAGTATACATATTCTCCATACTGTTCTTTATACATTTCCTAAGGTGCTGACAAGGAGAATTTGTTTACCAATCAAAAGCTTCTTTCCTTAGTGATCATTTCCTTTATTCTCATGACCTAAACGTGTGATTCAGGGGTGATATTGAAGGGAGAAATTTGATGCTAGTCACTCTTAATGTTTAAAGGGTTAAGTTACAGTTGCCCAACCTGCAAATAGCAGGTAATACTCTTGGTGGAACATTCTATTTAACCCTTTACCTCCCATGAGTGACCAAGACATAATTTCTCCTTTCAAAATCCATTCAATATCAAGTTGACAAGTGATGAGAATAAAGAGAAATATCAACTAAGGGATTGTTAGTTGATTCAATACCAAATTCTCCAAACTTACATCATAAGAATTGTATGGCAGACAGTAAGGAGAATTACCAATGAGATCTTTGGAGTGATAAAGTTAAATCAATTCAAACACAAAAACACTTCAATCACAGAGTTACCAGTCAACTGGTGAACTTGTTCAGCAGTCTCCACATCCCACAGTTTAGCACTGCGATCCCACGAAGCAGTGACCACCTGCTTTCCTGAAGTGAACCAATCAGCAGCAATCACTGCACCTTTGTGGAAAAAATAGGGTTGGAGTAAGAGAAAAAAGGAAAAATTTAATAAAAGGAAAATGGAAAAAGTAACAAAAAAAAGAAATGTAAGGAAAGCAATGTACCATCATGTCCCTTCAATTCACATAGAGGAGATTTCAAAACAAAAGCAGCTATTCCTGCATCTACATTGTCAAATCCTAAAAAAGAAAATACAATCAATGGTTATCAAATACTATTTAACAGATGAAAAGAATATAATTTTAAACAGAAACAGTAGAAAAACTGGCCAAATAGTTTTTAACTGAAAAAATACATATAACTAAGTAACAGGGAAACATAGTTTAAGGAGTAAAAATGTTAATTGGTATAATGAAGGGCTACTTGAGATGAAGTAACCAAGGGTCTCTTGAAACAATTAAGGGGAATAATTCTTTACACATATTCATTAATGTATATCATTCCATCTCATACCAGTCTGCAGCTTAAAGGTATAATTGATTATACAGTCACATACCATCAATTTCCTCGTCTGTTATGTTGTCTGCTTCATCTGCTGATCCTGGATGGGAGCGCTGAAAGAAACCAAAAAAAGGAGTAAATGGCAAGAGCCCCCTCAGAAAAATTAAATGAATCCTCCAACAATGTTCAAATTTAACTAAAGCCACCAGAAGCTTTCAGAATTCAGTTATTCTAGGAGAAGTTTCCATCAAGGCAATATTTCTCAGAAGATGATTAAAATGTAGCACTTTTACCAGTGACATATTTTATGACATCCAGTTAATTAGCAACCCATTCTCTTAAAATGTTCTCAAAACAATACCTCAAGGGAAGGATGAAAATTTCCTTAAAATCAGGACCCAGTTGCATGAAGGCCAATCCAAGGTTAAAATTTTAATTTTAGCACCAGCCCCAAGTCAAATTTTAATCCAGGTTTCCTTATTCCTTTCTTCAAAAGCCTTTTCAGGATGATTTTCTTTCTTCTTTATAGAGCATCTAATTATCAAATTGTAGACAAAAAATTTATACCAAAGGTTTTTTTAAAGCTTTAAGATCTGAAATTGAATTTCACACTAATCCTGGGTTATCTTAACCCAGCTTTGAACAACCTGACTCAGCTGCCTCACCTGTTCTGGAGTTGAATCTAATGCCCTCCATATATGACAAGTACCATCTCCTGATCCTGAAAAGAAATTACCAGTGCTCACAAAATTGAATCAAAGGCACATGATAGGTAAGAACTTAAGACAAACTTTGTAAGCCAATCAGCTGTGACCAAAAAATTACAAGTATGCCCAACTATTTGCACTATAAAAAAACTCATATCTGCCCAGTGACTGAAAACCATTGACAATAAGCAACAACAGAAATCAAATTACCCCACACTGGTTAGTAGGCACTTTGGAAATTACCGTATTTACCCGTGTATAAGTTGAACCCGTGTATAAGTTGACCCCCCATTTTGGAGCCCAAAAATAAGTTTTTCTTATTTCTGGGCAAGAATTTCCTTGAAAAACTAATCTTGTATTTCTTAGAATTTTCTTTCAGGTACTATGGTTATATGAAAAAAATCACAGCAAGTTTGGACGTGAAGTTTATTACTGTGTGTACGCAAGTGTTTTAGCATGTTTTAGCAACACGTGTAAGCAGCATTTTCTTCACAATTTTTTAAATTAGCTTACAAAATCAAACATACTACTTTCTAATGAACCTTTATCGTTGTGCAGAGTTGCAAAGCAGGTTTAGAAGACAGGCTTAATGCCAAAGAAGCTCAAGAAACTCTGAAACGCCTCGATAAACAAAGTGCCTTGCTGCGTGGGAACTTGGTAACCGAGCTCAGATTTTGACCCATGTATAAGTCAAGGGTGATTTTTTGGACCAATTTTTAGGCAGTAAAAGGTCAACTTATACACGGGTAAATACGGTACTCAGATCATGGACATCGTCCATGAAAACAATTTTAACCTTGTTTTGACCATTTTTGACAGTAATTTTTTTACAACCATTAAGAGTACAGACTGTAGAAAATTCAGGATTATCTTGAATTTTTTAAAAAGAAATTGTGATCTTTATTTGTAAATTACCTGTACAAATTATTGCATCAGTTGGATGAAATCTTATGGAATTCACTGCAAAATAAAATTGACAAAAGACTATCATTACTGATTTGAAAATCACTCCCAAGATCTAATTTGTAATTCTCCTTACTATCTGCCATACAGTTCTTGTGATGTCACTTCCGAGAATTTGGTTTTTTATCAACAAATAATCTCCTAATTGATATTTTTCTTCATTCTCATCACTTTTCTGCTTGTAATAGTATGAATATTGTAGGGAGAAATTACATCTTAGTCACTTCTTGGACTTAAGGGTTTAAGTCAAATAAGAGACCTTCAACCAAACTTAAAATCCCCTTACAGTAACAATTACAAATAAATAAAAGAATGAATTCAAAGTCTGCAGTTCCATTCAGTGCAGCTATGAAAATTAACACCCCTAGTTTGCATGGCAGTGTACTTAGCATGCAAAATCAATTTAACTCTATGCATGTGTGTACCTGATCCATTATGGCCCAAGTATTTGAGTAGACACTGCCCTGTTTCTGCATCCCATAGTCTGGCTGAACGATCTGTAATCAAACATGTTGGAGGTTACTACACCAAGATACAAATGCAATACAATGCAAGACTCCTTCTCCATCTCTATATAGAATCACCACATTATTTAATATGTTGTTATGTAATTGTAATAATTGAGTGCAGAGAGAGTGCAGAGGTTTGGAGTCAAATTATCTTTTATAGGGAGCCACAAGGTAATCAGTTTCACTACTGTCACATGTTCTCCTCTTAAAATAAAGCCTATTGATCGATTGACAACTTGCAAAGATGTTTCAAGTTACAGTTGCTCAAGATATTCTGTGTAAATTCCTAAACCTTTAACTCAACATTAACTTTTCCTTATAGTATCTATATGTTATTCAGCATAAAGGTTGTGAGAGTACTCAAACTTGTCAATGGGGAGCATTGACAATCCAGTCTTGGGAGTTAGAAGGTTAATAATCTGCAGCCAGGTTCTAGATGACAGCAATGACCTCTGTCAATGCCAAGGGACACAGCCTAGATCTAGGATATGCTGGGTAAAATAATTTTAGCAGTCACACACTTGCATGAGTCTGTACTAAGAGATGCTAAAAAGTTGGAGATATTGAGCACAAAGGCATTGAGATAAACACACACAAGTATACATTCAGGTACAGGGCATTAGAGTTGAAGGGTTAACAGGTTCACTAACCAGCTGATGCTGTTCCTATCATGGTGAATGAGTGTCTAGCACAGGACACTTCCCACACTCCGTCTCTATGTCCAGCATAGCTCCGTGCCCTATGGCATTCAATGCTAGGCCCTTGATTTGGAGTCTTGAAACTCGAGACAATCTGCAGTATCAAGCATTTGCGGATCAAACAGAGGAACAGAAGAACAAAGAAACAAAAAAAACAACAACAATATACTTACCGTAAAAAAAAAAAGACCTCTCCTTTTTTGGCATTTAGCCAAACAAATTATGCAGTATTTGCTTGCTAAAACAATTATGATTGTTTTAAAAAAGATAACTACCATGTGGAAATGTCTGTTTGAATGTTACATGTACCTTACTGGTGGAAGCTTTATAGGTAGTTTTCAGCTTCTGCGACATCAACTGACTTGCAGCTGTAATTCAAATAATAGGCATTTGATGAGTTTGGAGCCCTGATAACCCTTAAATCCCTCTGAGTAACTAACATCTAATTTCATCCAGCAATATCACTACTGGTCACAAATGAACTCTTTCATTCCCAAGAAATTCTCCTCACTGTCTGCCATATGCTAGCCCATTTCCAAATTGCCTTTGGTATCTTTTCCAAAGCTAGTCCTAGTGCTTATCCTTTCATATGATTATAAGTTTTCAATCAGGTACAGATTAAACTCATTTCCATACCAATGGTTGAGCACAAGGCCTTGATTTGAAATAGAGGCCAAAAGTAATTTGGACATAGCCTATTCTTGTGATGCTACACATGTACTTTACGAATTTGGTATTGGATCAACTAATAATAATCCCCTAATTTATTTTTTCCTTTATTCTCTTCACATGTCTGCTTGATGATGTATTAATAAAGTGAGGAGAAATTCTGTCTTTGTCACTCATGGAAGAGAAAGGGTTGAGGTTATGAGAATGAAGAAAACAAGAGAAATTAGTCTTAGTAGTTAAACAAATTCTCCTTGTCAATAGCATAGGAAATGTATACAGAACAGTATGGAGAAAGAACATACTGAAATTGAGGTGTAAAGGGTTACTGTGATATAATGATCTATTAAAAATTTCAGTTCTAATGGAGACATACATGGTTTTTTTCCATATCCAGGTTTAGCTGGACCACCATCAGTTGAGGCTTCTCCATCTGGTATCTTCTCTCCTCCATTGAGCACAAGATCCAACTTCTCATTCAAAGCTTCAACTCTCTCTTGCACTGTAATGGTAAAACGCAAACACTATGCTTTATATAAATCTTAGAAAAGAACTTTTCCATTGGAAGCTGCTTCAAGAAATAACTCAAAACAATACAAATGCATAACTTCATCTTTAATTCAAGTGCAATTATGTTTATTTGATATTAATATATAGCACAAGCAGCATATGGCCTTTAGGGTTAGTCAAGACAGCTGGTCTATAAAAGCACATATTACATATGTATTTTTCTATTTTACCCAAATATTCCATAGATGTCTACAAAGGAACACCTGGTTTTGTGTATGTGATAAAATTACAAGCTCTTATCTGCTCCAGAGATGTTTGCAGACCCTGTTACACTTAAAGTTGAAATATTAATGTTAAGATGATTCCTTGTGATAATGTGACCTCTACTTTTTCTGTAATTTCCAAAAGTCTTCTTTCAATGTTTTAAATCTGAACAAAAATATTTACTGGATCATAAGGGTTGTATCTGAGAAATTAGGCTGCAGGCTGAAATTTCATTTGATGCCTCTCCGAGATAACATTTGATCTAAAACAAATGTTGTAAGTGCATACCGTATCCTCAGAAGAGCCTGCTGTACTTTGCCAAGCAATTGCAACCAAAAGTTTGCTGGCAGTCTGTGTTTAGCAACAACCATGGATCATTTTCACTTATAATAGATTTTCATTTTAAAAGGAGGAGGTAAATCAAGATGCAAGGTAAATCAATTTCAAAAGTAAGCAGGTGGGTTCAAACAATATTAAATATGATAAATGTGCTCTCTCATTATCAGCACAGAATTGTATCTGTGTTATTGTTGTAAGCAACGCAACAAATAGACCCCTGTTTCAATTCAAACTCATTTTACAAGACTTTAGCCAGCCTGTATCAATTTGATCATAATGGGAGGCCATCACTTATGTCCAAAAATGCATGCAGTAACAAAAATGGCAGATTTGTCAAAGTGAGTGAATGTTTATAGATTTTACAATTTTGGCAAATTTTAGTTGAATTTTGTCAAAGCAAAATCAGCTTGGCAGAAAATTGATGATTTTGACAAATTTTAGTCAAATTCATCAGAACGAAATCAGCTTGGCCAATTAGAAGATTTTGACAAAATTTTGCCATTTTCACTAATGCATGCATTTCTGGACATTACAGGACAGTGACCAAGCAGTTAAACACACAAATGATTTGCATTTGTCCTTTCAAGGTTTCCTGCACCAAATACAGAATCATATTGATTTCTAATCTTCATTCAAAGTCAAAATAACTACTGGTAGCTACATTAAAAATGGTCGAATCCTCTAAAATTACAATACTATTAGCTAAAGCTGTATTTCGTTATGATATTGCCAACGTCGATTCAAATTACATGTTTGTATGTGGTTATGTTCACCTAGGCACTAAACAAAATTCATGAATAACAACCTCATCTGTACATGTGTATTTTTGAATCAACAACTTTAAATAGAAGACTTAGGTGCACTAGTTTGAGGAAAATTAAAGAATTTGAGAAGTTTGTTCCATGGAACAGTATATTTTATATCAGCTATTTTGCACTTGACTTAAAATATTGAAATGTGGTTACCTGTTAGGTTACCAAATATTGATTAATAATTAATTCACATAATATTTACAGAGCTTTTTCCCTTTACCTTCTCTAAGTCCACTGAATACAAAAAGTGCAAAATGTGACAAGGAATCTGCATTTGCCATTTCTTAAATTCGATTTCCATTACAAGAATAGCAGAATTTTTTAACAGCTTGAAATTACTTAACTCAAACACTTTTAAGAGTATGAGTATTAAATTTATCAACTGAAAACAGTAACAGTAATTTACATTAGGTAAGTTAAAAAAATGACATGTTAATCACAAAAGCAAAGGAATAGGATTCTTAAAGAAGATGAATCCGTTGTATCTGCGCTTAAATAAAAATTGGATACTCCTCGCGTTTCAGTTTCACATAGGAGAATAAAATATAGCATGCTACACTGTGAAACAGAACAATATTTTTAATTCTCTTAGCAAGATGAAACGAATGTATTTCGCATCTTAATTTTCCATTGAATAACAAAATTTTAAAAAGTGAAAGTTCACAATCTTAACAAAACAGCAAGAACATTTAACTCAATAGAGGAGAACTTGGTTCACTGGTGGGTCAAACAACAGGAAGTTTTCATTAAAAATACCCTCACTGAGACGGACGTAGAATGAGAAGAAGAGGTTTTCGGATTAGCGCGCTAATGAATAACAATAGGTTGAGAGTTAAAGTGCTAAGTTTATATAAACTACAGAGCGCATGCATCAGAAGAAGACATTATTCACTTACAGGCAATGTTTTCAGCGTGTAGGCACTCAAATTCTCTTTCAATCTGAGCAAAGAGTGTCCATAATCTTGAACGAACTTCTGGCGGAAGAGAGGTCTCTCGATCTTGGTCAAACGCGTCATGGCGTAATCTTTCGGAGCCCATTCGGTTTGGCGAGCGCGCTGTACGCCGTATCGAAAGTCGTTTAGGCTTTATTTTAATGCTACCTGCTTGCTGCTTGCTCATGACTCGGCAGCAGGTTGGAAATGGTGTAAAATAGTTGTAATCCCGCGCACTGGACACATAAACCTGGAAAATTTCCAATGTTTGCCGACGACTTGAAGAAGTAGACCGCTGGTGCAGTGCAGCATAGCATTATAAACAACAAGGTACTCCTGGATCGTGCGCGCCGGTTTCACGCACTCGCGCTCAGCGAGGGCACGCGCGAGTTACACGACACGACCCACGTGCCGCGACGTCAAACACAATCTTAAATAAAAATTGGATACTCCTCGCGTTTCAGTTTCACATAGGAGAATAAAATATAGCATGCTACACTGTGAAACAGAACAATATTTTTAATTCTCTTAGCAAGATGAAACGAATGTATTTCGCATCTTAATTTTCCATTGAATAACAAAATTTTAAAAAGTGAAAGTTCACAATCTTAACAAAACAAAAAAAATTAAAAAAATCATCAGTTTGCCTCCATATTACTTGATTAGAAGAGTGACCCTTGAGCATTCCTGAGGTTTATTGAACTACCCAATTCGTTTTCCAACGGTAACCAAAGCTTAAGAACCGTGCATCGCCAACCGTTAAAGACAGCTATAAGAAGTAAAAGGACACGTTGCCGCTGGAAACGGAACCAATTACCCGTGACAACAACACGATTTTGAAAACGTGTTTACCAAACCTCCGTCGCGCCTCACTCAACTATAAATCGTTGTATTTCACTCAGACATCATTCGTTTCCCATGATAAAAGCATCAACTGAAATACATAATTTGAGAGAGCTCTATTCTTTAGAGTTTCCTTGAAAAACATCAAACGTAACATGATCATTTGAGAAAACTCTATTCTTTAGAGTTGATATGTCTTTTTAAAGTAAAATGAAGTGTCAGATGGTAATTAAGTTTAAAACATTTTTCTCAGATTCTCCAGCTACAAAAACGTATCACCACATATAAATTATCACTTAACTGATCACTACTGGTCAGTATCCTCGATTAGCATTCAGGTCACGTTTATTCCTCCGAAGCGGTCACAATATTTATATCCGACCTGGAATAATGCCTGAATCTTCCAAGATGCTTTTGACCATGCTTCTGTCATAATCTTTACTCTCAGGCTTCCCTCTTACTCGTGGAAAGCTTCAAGCAAACTGCACGTCCGGCTTGGCTTTCCGTAGTGATCAGAATGAATCTTCGGTTTTAACCATCACTGACAGAATTTCTAACGATAGTAAAGTTCAACAATCTTGCGTAATGAAGGAAAACCAACCCAAACAGTTTCTACGTTTAAAAGCCAAGAGGAACGACGGCTATGAAGGTGAAAATATAAAATTAATTGAGCCTCTTTCTCTCATGATTTTAATTAAATCATTTCTTCTATCTGAGGTGAGCATTGACGACCACGCCCCTCCGACATTCACCACGTTGTATGAAATCATTATTTTATTTGCAAAGCCAGTTTTTCGCACCGACCCCTGTACACGGGAACAAGTTTAAGCGCAATCGTGGCAGCACTTGTTTAGTCTCGACGGCCAGTTTGTCAGTTTGTCCTCCACCTGTATTGACTGACGGTCACCTAGGCTAAACCATTCAAATACAACTGACAATAACCTCTGAAATCAGGCCTACTCTGAGACCTTAAGTCGCCTAAAGTCGCCTTAAGTTTCTCTTGGTTGCTATTGGTTACGCAATGTTTTAAGTGTTCCACCTTTCCCAATTGAACCTGTCCACTCCATTCCAATCATAAGGATCAGAGAAGGAGGCATGGTGGCTGAATGGTTGTGCACTGGATTCAACATTAAGCAGTCCAGTTTTAGTCTCTAGCGTTGGAGCATTGCATCTTGTTCTTCGGCAAGATACTGTAAGCTTCATAGTGTCTCACCTATTGCGGATGTAAATATGGGTGGGGGGGGGGGGGAAGGTAACCCTGCATATGAGTTATTGTCAGGACGGCAATGGCTTCCATATACATGGAAACCCCTTGTGAAAATAGTCATGAAATCAGTGATAGCACTTTGAACTTAAATGTCCTTCACGCATTGCATCATTGCAAATTATCTCTCTTCTTAGGACTGTTAAGACGTTTGACCCCCATGTGAAATCGATTTTAAGAGCTCCTGAAATCAAAAGATTATAGTATGGTAAGTTATTTTCTTTTATGTGCCAAGTGTTGAGCCAACATACGTTATTATACATTAGATTTACTATGAAAAGCCGAAGGCTTCGGCAGATAAGTCAGCCCTCGGCATTGATGATTCATGATATCCTGATCAACCTCATCCAATAATTGCTTATTTATAGTACATGGTTTAGCTCATGAACGACCGCAGACCGCGAAACCCGGTCCGAATCCTCAAATCCTCAAATCCTCATTTCAGCCCGAGAGATTCGACCTATAACACTCATTTGGGAGAGTTACTGAGAGGACCTTGGGGAATTAGATTTGTCTCGAAGGACTTGTCAAGATCTATCACACCTACGACAAATAATCTGTCACGATAATTACGGTAGGCCATGCCGTAGGAAAAAAAAATCTGGAGAGAGAGCTAAAAAAAGCGACAAATGAATATTTGCATCACAATCGACAAGTGTAAACAAACCGCGAATGAAGCAAAATGCTTTCAAATTATTTGCAGCCAAGCAAGACAAACAAGACAAAATCAATGCTGTTTTTTCCTTGTCGCGCAAAATTGATCTGACTGGGACTTTACATGCTGTATTGGTGTGCTAAGTTGCGTAACTTTACTGTGGTATGTTTACATTTTTGATTAACATTTGAAAGAGATAAGCGAAGCTACTTATACAGGAAATTCTGAAGTTGGATCAATATTGCTTCGCACGTTTACCATGTGTCGCTGGGGTTGCCGTGAAAATGATATGGTGGGTAAATACATTTGTAGCAATGCGAAGTTATTACTCGGCTCTGCCTGTTTACTTCGGAACGTTTAGAAGTTTTGAGAGTTTAGAAAATTCCAGAGCAAGATTGATTTAATTTGTAATAAATAACATGCGTTTACGTAAGTTACAAAAGGTAAACATGTTGCAGATATACTGAGATCGTCAAGAAGCCTCGGGGATTAAAACGAAAATAAGAGCTGAGCGCAAGAACGAGTTGGGGGGCCATAAACAGAAGTTATCCTTCTCCAATCAGCTCCTATTCCCACTCATAGGGAAGTAAAAATGTAGCGCGCGCGTAACACGCAGGCCCGGTTTACCTTAACCACAAGCCTTGCAAACCGCTCATTGTTTGCTATTGACGAGAGAATTTTCTCGTTTTATTCAAGATATTTAAATGCAAGTTTTGCGGAACGAATTATTGTAAGGCATGTGGAAGGGGAGATTTTCATGGTGTTATGACCGCTACGTCAGTTTGCAGAGTTTGTTTCCAGGTATGTTTAATTAACTTGTAAGAAATGTATACGAAATGAACAAAAAAATTTAGAAGCTTCTTGTTCCACGCTTATATTAAACTTGGAGAAAAATAATCATTTACGGCCGCTTATTCCGATTACGAGACAGTTTCACAACAGAGACGGGTAGTTCACTCAAATTTGTAAAAGCCAAGGCATTCCTCAGATATCATTATCGGCTACCTCTTTCGAGCCGATTTACCAAATGTTATCTCAGGGATAATCTTCTAATTTAGAAAAACGTTTGCCTTAATCTAAAGGCAAACAATGCAGACGCGAGACGAGTATCACTCACTCAGTACTATAAATTAGGGCAACGATGCGTGCGGTCAGTGAAACGTGTCGGAGAGGGTGTAGGGAAAACTGAATTTTAAGGTCCCCCCCCCGCTTCAAAAAGCGCTTGTGTCTCTCTGAGGAAGGGGGGGGAGTATTTCTAGAGTCTCCATGTTCTTATAAGAAATTCTTCTGAGAAGCTACATTTCTTTTGATTTCAGCCCAAATGCCAAGGAGAAAAGGTTGGAAATACTCGGGAAAAATCAACCAAGAAAGAAATGAAGAAGAAGACAACAGTCAAGACAAATTCCTCCCAGTCCAAGAAATAACACCTAAATTTAAAAAGACTGATCGTTCTAAAAGAAAAACCAATATACACGTAGTTTCTAAAGACTAAAAGCTAGTTTCCAAATTCTAATGCTAATTTTATTTTCAAGCTGCTTATCAAACTTGCACTCACAGAGGCAATTCGTCCATAACTTACTCAGCCACAATTGCGACATTACAAGGCTTTACGTACCAATGCTTTTTCTAGTACAGCAGTTCACGTTAGAATCAAGTTGAAGTTGACCGCGTCTGTATTGAGAGCACTGTTATCTCCTTGACAAAAATAATCCTGCACTCACTGTTTATGTGCAGTCGTACCGGGCAATCGCGCCATTTTAAATGAAGTGTCGTGCGTAATCTGCGTTTGCTTCGGTTTTGCAGTGCAAAACTAAGACCAATCACGACTTGGTCGCCAGCGTTTCAGGCAGTTTTTACTTTCAGTTTTCACTAACTCTTAAAGATGTTATCTTTTCCTCTAACTGGCCGTTGTGGTTGCTTTGGTTTTAGTTTGACGACACTCAATCGAAAAGCGTTCTAAACCTCGCGCCGCCCTCTTAAACCAATCAGATAGAAAACTGATACCAACCGTGACTCGGTCATTGGCGTTTTCCCGCGCTACAAGCAGTTTTGCTCGTGTGCGTTTGAGCGCAAGCTCTAATTGGCTCCTTGTGATATTCTACTTTGTTGTGATTGGCTGTTGAGATTATTTTAATTTGGGGTTCGGTCTTGCGAACGACACTCCACCGAAAAGCGCTATACTAAAGCGCCATACTGTTTGTTCAATCTCTAGGGTTTGTCATTTTAAATCCGTGCTAATCTTCGCCATGCGTTAAAATCCTTGTTCCTTAATGGGATAAGCTCATCTTTTCTAGTGTCTCTCAACTCTTGGAAAGTTATTTCCAGGTTTTCTCGATGAAAGAAAGTCCCTTATCGCGCTCAAAGTGACGCAACTTATTACCTCCGGTTTTGAGTTTCCCAAAATAGTTGGTGAGAATTCACATTCAGGAAAGAGCCCACGTCTGTCAATAAAAAAGCCAGTTACATCGAAAACCGATTAAGAACCATGTTCCACAAACCACTTTAGGTGCTACTAGTACCTTTTTACTCACTTACGTAAAATGCCACAAGAAAACGTGAAAAGACGTTGCAACCAAACGCAAGTCTTATTCAAATCCAACGGTTGAAAGGCCGACCAAAACTAACAGGTGCCTCCAAGCTTGCTTTGCCAATGGCTCATCAGTCAGAATTCAGAATCACTGCAACAAATTAAATGCGCGTACTAATCCAAAAAACAGCACCTAGCGCTCGCTGGTGTAACCTTAAGTCTTGCCCGTGACACTTGTCTTGAACCGATTAACGGCCTCGAGTTTCGTGAGTTCATCTGGGACGTCTTTTGTGTTTTGCTTTTTTCTTTCTCTTCTTTTTCGAAAGAGGTACGCTTCCAAATGCTAAGAAACAAACAGAGGGAATTTTTTGAATACGATTATTACTCAAACGGGACGAAATTGTAAAAATTCTTACCAGCGGGTGAGTTGTCGTCGCCTGTCGAAACATTCGATTCTTCCTCCCATGATAACCTTTAAATGAAAATAGAGAATTTGTTCAGCGTACACAAAACTTTTATCAGTACAAGCTCCAGAAATGTATGTTGTAAATGTGTATCAGACCACCTCGACTTAATCGGTGGAAATTCAAAGAGTTAAACCTGTTCAAAGTATCTCTCAAGGCTTGTCCATCACCATCCTCATAGCTGTCAACATCTGTTAGTACAAAAAGAAATAAGTTATGTTTATGACGCAAGTTACAAGGGGCTATTTCACCAAACTTTAGTTCAACTTCATTTTGCCCCCCACCCCCTCCCTCAAAAGGCATACGAACTTATGTCACAGACCGCGTTTGGAGGTTCCAAAGAGTAACCTGACTATTGGAAAAATTTTTTCGCACGTGGTACAAATTTGGCAAAGGACCCTGACATGTTTTCCAGCCGCGCGCCAAATTGCACGGAAAATAAAAGAAACCACCGCTGTCAAACGGCTTAAACAGTTTTCAGCTTTAAAACACTGTGACTTATAGGCCAGTGTGGTTGTTTTATAACTTCTGCAAGAGAACTAGGTTCTGACAGCCTGAAAGCACGTCACCTGACAATTACAAGTGGTTGTTTAGGACTAAATTCGAACCTACAAACAAGAAGTAGAAGGATGACTGCGCGCAAAGAATATTACGACGGTCTTGTAAAACAAACTTTTTCGATATGTGAAGATAAATACTTACCAATCACATCATCAGCTTCCAGTGAACTCCTGGACAAATAAAGATATGTAAATACAAAAGAAAGAAGGGACAAATAGGTACTAAATTAATTTCGTAATAGAATTTCAAAGTGACAAAAATTACGTCGACATACAAAAGTAAAACTATGCCAAAAGACCATACGACTCTAGGAGGAGTTTGAGGCAGCGAGTGCCAGTTTAAATTTCTTCAAGTTATCAAATTTAGAGAGCTATAATTACATAGGGATGTGTCGTTATACCCACTGCATCCTCACCTTCCTACAATGGGTTCAAATTCTGCATAACCTGCACGAAAACAAAATCAAACGTCTAGTAACCATCATGCTACGAGATATTTCTTTTCTAACTTTTGAAAGTTTCATTTCAATTAAAAAAGGTGTCCAAAAACATATACGAAATAGAGATCACCATATAACAGTTTCAGATAGCAAAACTTGGCGACACGCAGGACACGCGTTTCCCCTCTCGCGGGAAGATTTAAGACAAGTCGAGGAGAGGTTTGCCTGGGGTCTGGCACTAATGACCTCTCGCCGGCTCACGCTGCTCGAGGACTCGTGCCGAAATGCTTATAACGCTGACCAACTCGCAGGCTTAGTGGGGCTATGCACTTAGCTCAGTGATCAATTATTTTTCCTCTGTTAAAATACAATTTCACCACATCTGTAAAGACGTCATTTCTCATAACAGCATTTCTTGATTTCAGAAGTGAGGCAAGTGTTGAGAGAAACAGCATATCATTGCACACGTATTAAGTACCTAAAAGTCGTAGACGGACATTCTGTCTCTGTTCATCTGAATGCTGCGGACATCGATGAGATCTAAGAGAACATTGCAACAAAGATAAACATTGTAGATCAATAAAAAGGATTAACGAGTGTAAAAGAAGGTTCGAGATTCTTTGCATAAAAAAGACTGCAATTATAAGTTTTTGGGGAATATTATTCCTCCAAAACAAGGCAGAAACTAACAATAGGAATTAATTTAAGATGGATGTTCGTCTCTCCAAAAAAATTAGACACATGCCAAAAATCAACTACAGCTTCTTGTAACTTTTTGCCAGGAAATGAACAAAGAAGAGAATAGTGTAGAAGCACATGGAATGTTCTCCCCGGACATCTGTATAAACAATAGTTCATGTTATTGAAATTTTGGTACTTCTCTCCTCTCTGATGCCAAACAAACACTCTCTCTTCGGCAAGTTCAAAAACTACTATAGACCAAACATAGCACTTTGTTTCAAGTCCTTTATTTGTAATACAATCTCATAAAAAATAAATTTACCTTGTGCACATGCGTGCTGTATGTTCTGATATTACACCACACGTCTGCAAAACAAATAGTTACATAATAACGAAACAAAGATCGAGTTAGAGGAAGATTATCCTTGTATACATTCTTCTGAAGGAAGGTTTTTAGTATCATCAAGTTAGACCTGTAAGTATTACCATGTAAGCAGTATTGTACTTGGATTGAAAGCTGTTTGAAAAATAAATCCTTATTGTAAGTAATGTATTACTGAAAACACATTGTACGTACTATACTAAAGTTGGTGATTTTGTTTCATTTTGCTCTGTATTGTAAGGTAATGTTTTGAAAATAATTATATCAAATATAAATTATTGATGTTTAGAGAAAGGTAAGGCACAGGTAGTGTGTGAAATAACTTGAATTTCCTAAGGTAAATGTACACACCTGGGAAAGAAGGCTCTTCTTCTCCTCTGAAAAATATAATCGAAACAGTTCATGTTATCATAAAGACAAACACAACTTTTCCAAATTATTGGGAAAGACATTGTCAGCTCATTCAAAAGGTAGCAATCACCACCAAAATTTGGTCAGCTTCTTTTGCAGTTATGGGAGAAAAATAACGAAGTGTGTAATGGCTAACATTCTGACCACTGGACCCATAGGCACACATACAAGCACTGGCTGAATGATTTTGTTGTGTTGATTGGAAAAACTCTTCTTTCTTTCAGTGCAATCTTCCACCCAGGGGTACATTCCTGAGTGGAGAATGGGCACTGATGAACTGTCAGGGGGAGTCTTGCAAAATTACCAAGGGGGAGAGGGGTAAACTGAGGATAACCCCCCTTAAATCATGAGATTTCAATGTGTGATAGTTTATCGTAGCATATCCCTCATCAGTGAACATGCAACTGAAATCTAGAGCCCATAATCTACCCCTAATTACTGTACACACCATTTCCAAGGGGTTCAAAGGCAGCCACAGTGAGTCCAGTCTACAAAATACAAAAACTGAATCAACATATTAAACTTTCAAAAAATTATTTCCTGCTTTACTCAAAATATTCTACACAGTATTGCAACATAAATAAGCTGAATTTTACCCTGGTTGCTGGTAATTCGCCACTGTGAACAGAACTAGGCGTGCCTGGACGTGGTGTACCAGCTTCACCTTAAGACCAAAAAGAATAAAGAAAAAACTCAACTGAAGTGATACAAGGCAATGAGCAAGACTCTACCTTACATTTTTTTAAAATGTGCAACAGAGCCACAAACTGAACTTAAAATTAGTAATTATTTCACATACCATTCTTCCTGGGGGCTTTTGCTCTCCTGGGTGAATTTCCCTTGAAAGACAGAACAATTTTGATAGCAATAAAGTAAGACTTGGGTAGTAACCAATTAACCCTTAATTCCCAAGATCTAATTGTTAATTCTCCCTTCTAAATGTTACACATTTCCTTGTAAATAAGTCATGAGAATTTCACGTTAAATCAAGATAACATCTTCCACCTGATTAGTTTGAGTCTTCTCTTTACCTGTTTGCTGGATAATGTATGAATATTGAAGGGAGAAGTAACATGTTAATCACTCCTGGGAGTTGAAGGGTTAAAAGAGGCCACCCCTTCCTTTCCTACATTTAACTCTCATAAGTGATTAACATGTAACCTCTCCCTATAACATCCACACGTTATCCAGCCAATATGTAATGAGAATACTCAAACTTATCAGGTAAAAGTGAGTAGTCTTGATCTACCACCAAATTCTTATGACTTATTTACAAGGAAATGTGTAACAGCTAGAGAGGAGAATTAACAATCAGATCTTGGGAGTTAAAGGATTAAGCTATGACATTAAAAATGGAAAAACCCTTCCACTCCTCATTAGCTTTTCATGTGTTATGAAACAGATACCTTGAATTTGAATTTGCTAAATAATAATATAATATATAATTAAAATAATAAATTCCATTTACTTAGCTGCTTAAAAAGTCATTACCGTTTGAAAGCTTACCCTGTCTCTCTTATTCTTCTTTCCTGCAAAGTGAAAAAAAAAATTTTTTTCTTGTTAACCCTTGAAAACTCATTACATTTGTGAAAAGCAGCATGTTCATTGTACTTGAATACTAAAAAAGGTAACCAATATATGCCTCAAAGAAGTGGAAACAAGTCCCAACAAACCTGGTTTTCTGTCTGAATTCCAAGTCCAGTCATCGTCAAAGTAGTTGTCGTCATCATCATCTCCATCAATCAGTTTGCCTGTGGTTGCAAGCCTGGAAAAATGACACAAGATGGGAAACTTAAACTTAAATCTTATTAATCAGTGACCATTTTTTATGGACAAGTCCTGTAAATTAATGTCAATGGCAAAACTGTGACCTCTAATGGTCCCATTTCATTTTTCATAGATGAATCCATCTAAATTTTCAAACAGTACCCTTATGCTACAGGTTCTCTTGATGAGACAGTCTACAAGCCAAATATAACAATTTTTTTTTCAGATTTTGCAAATTGTTCTTGATCAGCAGGTTTGAGTTCCAGCTGACAATACTACTACAAAAAAAATGACCAGAAATTCACATATTTTCTTCCCTCTGTCAAATGGTTAAAAAAATCCTACTACAAAACCTTGCAATCCAACTCATTGGAAATATCCATCACTCCCCAAATGATCTATGGCAGAACATCCCTTTGCTAGTTTGAAAATTACCTTTAAAAAATTGTATAACCATTCCCTAAATTCAGTTTCTTTCCTTTATTGTTCAGAGACTTACACAGAAAATCCCAAAAATTGGTTCCCAACAGAAATTTCCATTACCTAAAATAAGCAATAATTTTGTACCAACTGAACTAATTTGAGCAGTATGCAGTGTTCAAATAACAAATTTAAATAAGATAATTGAATAATTCATTCATACAACCTCCTACTGGCCAGTCGGCTGCTGTTACGACCCATTCCTAGGCATTTTTCTAGGTGAGGGGCAAATCTGTTAGCAGCCATGTTCCTCTGACAGCTGGGACAAATGCACTCAACCTGTTTCTTTAGTGGTCCCTGCCCAAACACATCCAAACCATCACGGTCCACCACTTCTGCGATAATGAATTAAAAAAAAGGGGACTTAATTCCCATGAGTGACCAAGAAATAATTTCTTGTCACCATAGCATTGCAACATCAGGCAGATGTGATGAAAACAAAGTAAAATATCAATTAAAGGATTATTAGTTGATCCACAACAAAATTCTCCAAACTATCATCATTAAATTGTACAGTAGACACCTTAAGATTGATTGGCCTACAATTTCTCCTAAAAATATCACCCTTGAATCAAATAATTTAGTTAGAAGCCCTTTCAGTCAAATCATAGTTTTCTATGTATTAACCCTATAACTCCCAAGATCTGATTGTTATTTCTCCCCTCTAGCTGCTACACATTTCCCTGTAAATTAGTTATGAGAATTTGGTGTAAGATCAAGACAAAGATATCTACCTGATAAGTTTGAGAATTCTCATTATCTCTTTGCTGGATAAAGTATGGATATAATAGGGAGAAGTTACATGTTAATCACTTCTGGGAGTTCAAGGGTTAAAACAAAACAATACACATATAAGAGAAGAAAAGAGGCATCACATCTTGAACAACCGGGCCAACTTGTTGAAAGGGCAGATAATGCTATCCAACAGATAAATCGCTTTCCAGGGAACGAGTGTCACCAAAATGTACTGCCCTATCTACATCACAGAGATTTATCCAGCAGATAAGGTAATTGAGTATTATCAACTGAGTTGATAACATAAATATGCCACTATAAAGAGTTTAAAAGCTGACATTTCAAGCATTAAACTTTCATCAGAGAAATGGCAAAGGGCTAACACTTGAAACATCAGCTTTGAAACCCCTAATGGTGGCCAATTTTCTTTATCAACTAAGTCGATAATCCTAAATTACCCTGTTATACTCCCCACTGATGTAGCACCACAACGTCTCTAAAAACTTACCCCTTTATCAAGTGGATAGCCTTATCCACACTTTAGTCAACCAAGGACAAGTAAAAAGATAATATAAGGTCAACACCAGACAGTTATTAATATTATTACTGAGAAAAGTAATAAATGAGAAGTGCTCTGTTAAATTGTTTTCCAGCAGGCTACTTTTGTATAGATAAGAATAATTACACTTTGTGTTTTATTGTAACATGACATTGAGGACTAAAAAAAGCCACAAAAAACTTGAACAAGAAGCAGTTTCCAAGTTAGAATACTTACCAAACTGTTTCATACTGATCACAGAAAGAACATGAAAAACAAAGTAAATATGAAAACATTTAGCATTCAGCAAGCTATCGAATAAGGAACTTAAGCTAACAGAATTATTTTAGAGCTGTAATGGTAAATTTAATAATACATTAATTGAATACACATACTGTTAGTTCTTGAAATCCTCACAAATCATTCTTAGATCCCAGATATAAAGCTATTTCATAAGCAAATCACTGTATTTTAACCACACAACCTAACAGATACAGTTGCATAAACAATGCTTCCTTTTGAAACCTCTCATTCCTCTCAGAATTGACACAAGAAGAATTGTTTCCTATGACAACAGGCCCCTTTACCCCTGTCTACTTTTCTGTTCACCAGTGAATAACAAACTGTTGGAAGTAATTTTTAGTGGTACCCCTCATGCACTTGGTCCCACTCCCTTTATCAGAATACCATATTTTTCTCATATAAGTGCCCTTGCTTTGATCAAAGCCCTCTCTTGAATAAGCATGCCCCCCTCCCCCTCCCCCTCCCCCCCACAACCCTTTCGCCAAAATTTTGAACAAGCACCCAGGTGCTTATTCAAGGAAGTATGGTCTTCAATCACCTTGTTCAGCCAAAATCTAGTTATTAAGCATATCATCTTGGGAGTTAATTTGCTTGTTGTTGCTTGTCTGTTTCAGAAACCAATTGTTACGATTTTAATTACATTACACCTTGAAGTAAAGGTGAAGTCTGTACTCAAGCCTATTGGCCCATCCAGCCACAGCTTATCCCAGATTCCATGTTGGATAAAGTTACTAGGAGTATTACTACTCTCCCCTGGATGGGAAGCTAGTCCATTGCAAGGTTATCCCCCAGCATTTTATCAGGCTTCCCTGAAAATTTGCCGCCACCCATTCATAATCCTGGTTGGAGAGAGGCACTCTGAGAGTACAGCATTTTGCCCAACAACACAACACAATGACCCAGCAAGGTCTACCACTCCAACATCTTAACCCAAAGTCACTGACTATCCTGCCCTTGCACCTCTCCTCAACTACTAACTGTCTTAAAATTACAAGTGAGCGGTGTACAACAAAATATGTAAGGGCAAAAGTAGATGACACTAACATTTTTTCATCTGATTGCTCAAGGACACTGTACACTCCTTGTTTAACAGAACGATGAATGTCTAAACAAACACCGACAATGGCCTCATCAATCAGCTCATTCACAATACTAGACTCCAAGCTGGAATCCTATGAAAAATAAAAGGAGAAAAAAAGTTCATTTAAAACATCCAACTCACCAGGCGTTTCATTACATGGGTTTCAATAACTTTTTTCCAGTGGTGAGGTAGATGGCAGTACCCTAAGGCAAAACCCAAACAAGTGAGCCTGCTTACAGGCTAAATAGTCAGTAGTAGACCACCAGCAACTGGATTTTCATGAAACTCTTGCATTATACACAACATAAGAAGGTTTGATAATTTGACACCCAAAGAGAAAGAGGGAGTTTTAATACATCAAAAGGATGGAGCAGTAATAGTGCTCTGAGGTCTTGATTTCTGGCTTTGGAACCAGTAACCACATAAACCCCCTTACAAAAATATGGAATGATTTATTGTTTATACCAAGCCCCGGACTTGTTCCAAGATTGGATAACCCTACCCACGGATAGCATAGCATGTTTTTCCATCACTTCTCTGTCAGAAAGTGATTTTTCCTTTGGATAGCCTCGTCTACCCTTTAATCAAATGGGCCCAGACAGATAATTAAACTGTCAAAAGCTAATTGATTTTGCAGTCTCACCACGTCTTGATTAAATGGAAAAAAAATATCTGATAACACTTGCATAATATTGTAATTAAGGAGTTTTTTCAAACAAGACAAGCTTAATAATAGTGGTTGAGCTTTAGTTAACAGGAGTAAGAGCGGGTAATTTTGAGTAATATTGATAGTGTTGGTGAAGTTTTAGATACATGTATAGCTATTGGTCGAATTAAACGTGAGATGTATCTTAAGGTAATATTAATATGTGGAACGACATTTTAAAAAACTCACTTCATCCAGGTCTAAGCTTTCCACTTCCGATGGTGAACTTCCAGTTTCCAGTAGCCCGCTCATAACTTCAAGTCTAGATCTGAAGGTGTCTATAAAATCAGAGCGCCGGGGCACGCCATTTCCGCAGGGCAAAGTTAGTGCAAAGTTTCCTAGGTTAAATATTTTTCTTGAGAAATTTTCCTCAGCCAGGAGCCTAAGTTAGCAAAACGTCCCTGGACGATGCTACATTTTGCGAGTGTATCAAGTTCAACGGCTATCACATGGCTGAATCCAATTTGCAATTTTCATCCCAAAACAGCGTTAACGAAACCTTGGCCAGGTTACATGTCAATACAGCAGCAGTCGTGGAAATTCGTTTTTCTTCGTGATTTCCGGAATTCTACCGAGAGCTCTCGTAAAGCTTCTAAAATTCCGACAGATCTCCGACGAGAGATCGAAGGTCAGCGGAGTGCTTTCTAAACCTTGCAGAAAATGGCGGAAAGCTTGCTGAACGTGAGTCAAATTAGGAAAAACAAACGACATCAGTAGCCAATTACAACATGTCTAGGTTAACAGAACAGCAAATCTTGTCAAGAGCCAGAGCCTCCTCTCTTGAAAATGTGAAGAATCTTAATTTTTGGTGAGCGAGCGACACTTTTTTCACCTCTATTGTAGAACGAGATCGAAGGAAAATGACGCTATATTTTTGTTGTCATAGTTTCACGTATATATATTTTCTCTCCTTGTAGGGGAAGTGATTTGAGCGACGTAAGTACAGTACGATTGCTTGCCTTGTTTTATATTCTGAACATAATTGATGATGTCTGTTATTAAAACCCAGTGATTTTTTTTATATAATTATATAAAATTCCTTTATATTTCAACAAGGATAAGATTTTTATTGGTCTCAATCTTATTTACACACAATTTCATTGTTTTTCTCCTCCAGATTTCTGTTTTACGCCAGATGCCAAATGTTGAAGTTTTAAGTTTAAGGTTTGTGTTGGGAAGTGAATGCTCTTATACACAGTCATTTAAATTTTCAACCAAAGGTCTTTTTCACTGCACTGACATTCCTTAGCCTGGTCTTTCTCTTTGATCATTTGAAATTGTAGATTTCAAGCATACTTTTTTTTTTTAGTGTTAACAACATATCAAGCCTGGAAGACTAAACCCTAACCCTAAGCAATTTTCAACCAAAGGTCTTTGTCACTGCATTGACATTCCTTAGCCTGGTCTTTCTCTTTGATCATTTGAAATTTTAGATTTCAAGCATACTTTTTTTTAGTGTTAACAACATATCAAGCCTGGAAGACTAAACCCTAACCCTAAGCAATTTTCAACCAAAGGTCTTTGTCACTGCATTGACATTCCTTAGCCTGGTCTTTCTCTTTGATCATTTGAAATTTTAGATTTCAAGTATACTTTTTTTTTTAGTGTTAACAACATATCAAGCCTGGAAGACTTTGCACATTGTAAGTATTGTTGATTTTGGTTTGATAGAAATTATTCATGTATGGGTTCTCTAACAACTCACAAGATTGAACAATTTATAAGATTGATACTGAGGTTTAGTTATTTTTTTTCTTGCAAGAAGGTGTAATTAAGGTGAGGACTTGGGAAAAGTGCACCCTAAAACAGAGATTTTTCCCAGGGCTAGTGACAGATGCAAAGATTGTGGGAATATTTATTTCAGGAATCACAAATGTTTGTGTTTCTTGATGGATGGTGTCCCCTTAATTGAAGTGTCTGTAATCTTTTCACTACACAAATAGAACAAGCTTACCTGGGGTACCCATGGGAGACATGGTAGCCCAATTGTTCAAAGGGAGGAATGCTATCTACTGGGAAAATCTGTATCCAGTGGATAGTGTAATGTGTTTTGTTAACATTCATCTGCTGGATAGCAATTTATCCATTGGATAGCTTTATGCAACCTTTGAACTACAAGGCTAATAGTTGCTAGGCTGGACTGTTGGTCAAGAGGTCTGGGTTTGAGAAGCCTGAAGAAGCAGGATAAGTTCTGGCTCCATGCACTATTAGGTTCAAGTACAGACTTCGCCTTTTTATCTAGGATACTCGGGGGCTGCCATGCATCCAAATACCATTCCAAATGTCAGATGCCTGGCCACAAGCCTTCTTTCCACACACAATCTCAAAAGATAACCTGGGCATCTGGTAATCAAATTAATCAAACCCCCTGGGTGGCTTATCCTTACCATGATGTTTCTTAGATTTCCCTGAAATACTGAGGGCAAGGACAGTCACCTGAAAGCTACCCACATTACCTTTTGGAACGAGGCATGCACCTTTACATTTTTTTCCAACAATGTTTCTCAAGAGAGTTGTATAGTACATCACACATACTTGACTACTGAATATAAAGTTTCTCTCCGCCCACACTCCCATCCTTAACCCTTTAACTCCCATGATCTGGTTGTTAATTCTCCCCTTTAGCTTTTTTTCCTTTTTTCCTCCTTTCCTTTTCCTTGTAAATATATCGTAAAAATTTGGTGTAAGATCTAGATAACAACTTGTACCTGATAAGTTCTAGTATAATTCATGGATAGTGTTGAGAGAAGTTACATTTTAATCACTTCTGGGAGTTGAAGGGTTAATCATTGACCGATAACTTTGATAAATTTCTAGTGAACTACATTGTTTGCTTCTGTTCTTCTTATTTTGTTTCGTGAAGGTCCAAGGTTAAGAGAACTATATTTGAGGAAGAATAACATTGAAGATATCAGTGAGATAGGTTGTCTGAAGAACCTTCCTAAGCTAAGAGTGCTGTGGCTTTCGGACAATCCATGTGCTAATGTGGAACATTACCGAATGACTGTTCTAAAGAATTTACCCAAACTCACTAAGCTGGACACTGTAGGTTGGTGAAATTATATCTGTTTTAGTGACATCAGAGGCTATTGTTTTCTTTCATTGCTCCTTTTTCCTTTTGTTTTCCCTGCCTTTTCTCTGTGTGCAAAATGAGGGACTTAATACTCAGTATCAGAGGTGAATGTTGAACATTTCCTAACCCTTTCACTCCCAAGATCTCATTAGTAATTCTCCTTACTGTCTGACATACAGTTCTTGTGAGGTTATGTCAGAGAATTTGGTTTTGGATCAACTAATGATCCCTTGGCTGATATTTTCTTTTTTCTCATCACTTACGTACTTGATATTGTCTTGATATTGTAAGGAGAAATTCTGTCTCGGTCACTCATGAGAGTGAAAGGGTTAAAACAGGAATCAGATTTCATAGCAAGATCTTTATAGGTGTTAATTGAAGAAATATTGTTCCCAATTGCATCATGATTTTCACAACTTTAGGATGAAATGTCTTAACCAAGCTCTGCAATGAATGTCAATCAGAAATAGGAGAGATTCAAATTAATTGAGTACATATTGTCTTACTAGTGGTTGAGGAGTCAGAAGTGGAGGAAGCAGCCAAAGAAGGAACCGAAATCAAAACACCAGATGAAATTCCTGTCCATGATTTAGAATTGACTGCCACCGTTGGAAAGGTGATGATAGAAATTTTTATTTTCAACTCATTTATTTACATAGTTGTACAGTAACACCTATTGACTGGTCTAACTGAGTTGCTTTCATGCCAGTCTTAACCTGTATTACCTGAGAATGACCAGCATTTGATTTTCTCCTTACAGCTATACTGCAGAAGCATTCACTGAGGTTATGAGAATATACAAAATGAGTCTCAACCTAAGGAGCTTTGACTATTGAACAAATTCTCTTTGTCAGCACTGAAGGAAACGTGTAAAAAAAGTATGGAGAATATAGATACCTATGTTAGGGTGTAAAGGGTTAAACTTTTTACCCATTTTTCTGCAGGATGCTCTCAAAACTGTTAGTGCTTTAAGTGAGGATGCTAATCAACAAGTGTCAACAGGTAGGTTTCATAAACAAGTTCAGCTAAATGTCCAATTTCAATGATGATATTTTAATCAATCTTTCGCTCTCTAGAATCTGCATTGGTAGGAATTTTTCCTGGGAAGCTCTAGAGAGAGGAAAGCTAGGATGATACAGAGAAATGTGAATAAGATTGCAAAGCACTCAGTGTAGGCTATATTGCAGGCATTGTATTCAGAATAAATTGGTATTTTCATAACTTGCCACACCACCATGTTAAACAAAATTATATTGTGGGAAATCCAATCAAGGACAAGCATTGCATTGACAATCTGGTAAAGGGGGTCAAAATTTGGAAATAGTGCTGCTTTTCTTAATGTTCATTTTTGACATGTCTATTTTGTTTTCATCTGCAGAAAAGGGTGATCCAGAATCAGCACAAAGCAATTTAGTAAATGAAACCAAGTATGTAGAACTATACAGACCTAAGTGCTTAAGGTTTGCCTTTTTTGCAATTGCTTTAAAGTAGAATGGTAAACTCATTTGATCAGGCAATGGTCCTTGTACACAGGTGGGATGCAGTCTTCTCAATTTCATAGAAAGGCATAAAATAGCTGGACTCTTGACTTTGTAGAAATCCTTTTTTAAAATTCCAGGATGGTTTTGCATGAAATACAGTTAAGAGGGGTGATTTCATCAAGTGAGTTGGCCTCTGGACTGCAGATTAACCCTTTAAGAGCGACTAGAATCCAAATTCTCCTCACAATACCACTCCTGAATCATTTTGCATTTGGACCCAACTAGTATCTGGGAGGCTCAAATAAGAATCCTATCTTTGTTTTCACTGAATTGTATTTGGTTTTTGTCAGTAAACTTCGAGCCCAGTTAGGACTGAAGCCACTGATGTTGGATGATCAAACCAATGGTGTGACAACCATGGCGGCAACAGATTCCCATCGAACAGAGCCTGTAACAGTTTCTCCCACCCCTAGAGTAAGTTTTGGTTCTGTAAATGATTCAATATTTTTAAGAATCGTTATTTATTTGCGCCATTTGCTACACTGAAGCACAAAAGTATTCGCCTGTTGTTATGATGAGGAACGTTTTGGGTAAACGTAACTATTTGTTCATGCGTCAGAGTTCATCGAGATATGAAGCGCACGGGAAGTTAAAAGAGCACGAAAGATGCTGGAAAGTCAGGGGATTTTTCAATAGCATTTTGCACGCTAGGGTATGTCAAGGAAAATCTCTGAACAAGGGTTTTCATAGAGAAAAAAAAGACAAAACAAAACAGGTAATACCTCGAACGAACTGGTAGTTCTCAAATTATTTTGTTTCCCAGGCACTTCTTGCGCTTTTTAATCACATAAACATTAAAATCGTCCTTGAATTGATCATGGACTTTTATGAGATCCAAAAAGCACCCAGCCTCATTTACAGTTCTTTTACTGAAATCTTGGCCTCTAACACTGAAAAAAAAATCGAAAATTCGTTCTTCTGTAACCTGTAAATAGGAAGGATTTGAACAAAGATTTAAATCTGCGCTTTCTATCATACCATCTGACTGTTTTGTATAGGTGGCACTGGTTTCAGTAAACGCACAGTAAGCTTTTTAAATCAAACGTCTTGTTAAAACTAAATTCTCTTTTTCTCGCAGAGTCAGAATATTTTATCTGCAGTTCTTACTTTGGTACAAGAACTCGACCGTACAAGTCTCTTAACTCTTCGACAAGAGATTGACCAACATCTTCAAGATCTTAATGATGATGTAGAAAGTAAACCGTATTCTGAGAACAAACCTCCTCCAAATGAAAAGGAGGCAATGGTGGACTAAGACTGAAACTGCGATGCTTTTATATTAACGTAGATGTTGGACTTATATCCGTAGCTAAAATGACAGACTACCTTGTCTTGACAAGTAGAAGTCATCTTGTAAATCTCATTCTGATAACAAACCTCCACAAGAGAGGGAAGAAATTTTGGACTGAGAAATAGGGTCTGCTTTTCCTTTACCTTAGAAATTGGACTTCTATCCGGCGTAGCTGAAAGGACGGAATTTCTTGTTCTGACAAATAGAAAGCATCTTGAAATTTAATTCATCGGTGTTTTTGGAAGTCTTACATGTAGCTCACATATTTAGAAGGGGATCGTGTGGAATTTTGATCTACACTGAATCTGATTGAGAAGGATTAATGATATATACTTCTGGGCGGGTAGCTTGGTTTATCAAATTATCCAAGTTTGCAAACTATTCATCTCATTGCCTGACTACTAGTGTCTAAAATGCAAAATTGGCCACTAGCATCCAAAATCCAAAATTTGCCACCAGTATCCAAAATGGATGATCAGCCATTAGTGTCCAAAATCTAAAATCGGCAACAGGTGTCCAAAACCCAATATTGGCCCCTAGTGTCCAAAATCCAATGTTGACCACTGGTACCTTCATAATAGACATTTAAACCGGGTGGCCTTAAACCAAAACACAACAACTAATCAGAACAAAGGGGAATATGGCCATAGCCATTAAGAGCCCGGAGTAATGCCATGCAGATTGTTTGAAGCACAGGAAAATGCAAGTGACCTGCAAGTTGTGACTGCTTTTTTAGTTGTGCATCAGATTGGTGGTTGAAAGGGTGACAGGAGTTTCCTGAGCCAATCATAGTGCAAATAAAACAGAGTTAACACAATATCCCGGAATACTTTCGACACTCAGGTGGAAATGACTCTACCAATCAAATACCAGAAATGTTGATTCACTCTCTGTTCCCTCCTCCACAAATAACCAATTCCACGCATTGTTCATTCCAGAATCTTTTATTTTACTTCTTATAAACCTTACTTAAAGCGAAAGTATCATTAACCTGACATAATACTACATTAAACATGTATACTAATATCACATGTGTAATCTCAATTGGAACTTCTAGGACGGTTATGTTTCACTTTCTGTTGGTGGCCAATATTTCAGAAAAGGTTTGCTTTAAGAAACTACCACTAATTGATTGCGTTTTTTTTGTTTGTTTGTTTCTTAACTGGCTCTTTTTGCTGTCTTGACCAAGGATCCCTCTTTATATAAATTGACTAGGTTGATCCAAAGTATGTACAAAAATGGCAAATTCTAACAAGTGAAATATTGTCTCTAATTCTAAAAAATTTGTAGGAAAAAATCTAAAAAATTTATAAATGCCTTCATGAACATTCCGGGAAAAAATCATAACAAATACAAATGGCCAGTACAGCTTTGTATTAAAATCATCCCTTGATAAAAGAATGCAAATACAACATACTTTTTTCACAAATCCCAGCTGGTTACAATGCTAGCTACATGGATCATTTAATCACACCATGAAGTATTCAAGTTTCAGTAAGTTATGAAAATAGCCAGATTTTAGCTTTAAAAGCAAGTTATTTACATTTAGCTTGTCTATAATTCTCTTGATTGACTTGATTATCCTGCTTTAAACAGGTTTGAGAGCAGAAAGAGACACCTTGCAATTCTCTTATAGGAGTTTTGGTTCTTGAACTATACATAGAGGGAGTTTATAATATCCTAATATCCCTCACTACCTAATTTGCCCCTGCTTCCACTTGATTTTGAGAATGCCCTTCAACTTTATCATGCATTGCTTGCTGCTGATCCTTTCCAGGTGACTAGGGCATTTCTCCCATTTCCTCACTCTCTCCTGATGCAGCCTGTGGGCTTTCCTCACTCTCTCCTGATGCAGCCTGTGGGCTTTCCTCAGCTTTAGAACTTATAAACATGATAACAAATGCACCCATAAAGAGAGCAAAGGAAGACAAAAAATGCCACAGGTCATGCCAGTCGAAAAATCCAAAAATGACACATTCTTTGTTTTGGTCACGAGAGTTTTCTGGCGACGATGTTTTGTTTGTGGTGGGTAGCAATTTAAAAACGGCAAAAGCTGCCACCAAAATGATAAAGGTGAACCCCATAAAAAGCCCTTGAAGAGAGCAAAATGTTTCACACTCGCATTCACATTTGCAAAGCTTAGCTTTAGCTAGGATTGCGACAACGCTACAGGCAATGCAAGCAAACAGAAACACTTGAGCCAGATCGCTAAACAAATAAACCATAAAAAACCCAATGGGCAATATCAGGCCACCCAAAAAGAATAAAAACACATCAAAATTTTTTTGATAGTCATCACCACAAATCTTTTGGCGGATATCTAATTTAATAAAAGCCCAATAAAGCATCATAAGCCACCAAATAATCAGGAATCCAAAGAAAACCCCCTGCATTACTTTGTTGAGCCCAGAATCGGAGTTATATAGTGCACCAAAGTAGTTAAAAACAAAAAGAGGCACAATAAAAAAAGGAAGAAGTTAGAAGCGCCAACTGGGTGTTTCACATTTCCAGAAGAGGGACAACGATTCTGCTCAATGCCATTATACAACAACAGCACAGTTAAACCAGCTATGATAAACATGAAGGCCGAATCGAACTGAAATGTGAACCTGCTTGGACAGAAGTGGTAAAGAGTAGAAAATAATCCCTCGAAAACTAGTCCCCAGGAAAACGCATACCCAATAGAAAAACAGTACCTCTTTTTCATTACTTTGGCAAAAAATATGTTCTCCTTTTTTTTCCTTTCTTCCCTTTCCATGGGGTTTTTGGGTTCTGGAATACCTCCCTCCAAATGATGAATGTTAGTTTCAGGACATGACAGAATATGTTCTGGTAGCCTGGATCCCTGAACATGGGGGGCTCTGCTTTTGCAACGAAGATTCACCTTGGCTTCCAGTATCAGTACCCACACCGCTAAGATTAGGCCATGGAGTATGTATGTCAAGTTACTTATCATCAAGTTAAATGGAATATCATGACATGCAACTCTATAACAAAAGTCATTGTAGTAACAATTATCTCTGTCCCCTTCCTGAATCATTGTATACCAGTTTGCAAACACAAACTGAAAAGCACCAACCATAAGCACATTACCCACGATACCTGTGATGTAGGAATAGGTCTTTGGACCAAAGGAAAACCAGTGATCTATGATTACCTCCCACAGGTTGCAACATGAAATTTTTAACTCAATATTATTGCCCTGTTCATCTTCACCAACCTTGACCTTGGTAAGAGACTCTTCGAAGAGAAAATACGCAAAGATAGACACTAATATACCAACCGGAAATGATACAAAAAATAGGACACAAATAGGTGTGGCATAACTATAATCAAACGACCTTGTCAGCTTTAAAGTGACATTTTTTGACTCACTAAGTTTGACGTCACCTGATAAGTTCTTCAGACCAATTCCAATGAACCATCCGGAGACGGAATCGGTCAGAGGGGGAATGGAAACTCTGGATAAAGTTATCCGTCCTTTTGTTGCAAAGGAAAGTCGAAGAGATTCCTTCCTATAATCTATCCTCTCAAGGTCTTTCTGGACATCTACATCTTTATAGTTCTGCGATACCTTCAAATAGGCAGCAACTTCTGATTGAGATGTGGCAGTGATGTCCAGTTGTCTATCAGAGATACCTTGAGGTGGAATGAACTGGAACACACTCACTTTAGCTCCCTGGACATGGACTTTGAGTGGTACATCAAGCGCAATTTCTGATGCACCTTCGGCTACTTGCACTGTGAAAGAAAGCCCACTGCCTTTTCCCACCACTGATAACAACTTCTTCCCTGTGGTTTCATCATTGGTCAAACCAGTTGGAAAAATGCTTATAGTGTTCCAAACTGGTGTAGGCTCCGAAACATCCATATAACCAAGTGGAGACGACTCACCTTGCTGATACAAGGAAACATGCAAGAAACCTACAAATTAAAGGATTGATAATCCAGCCCATGAATACATCAACAACTACTAAAACAGATGATGATAAGATTTCACAAGACCTAATGGCTCCCTTGCCTGCTGGTCTCTGAATCAAGCTGGGCTTCTTGATGGAGACACTGTGTTCTATTTTTTAATTCAAGGGAGACATTTACCTCACACATTTCTCCACATCTCTAAATCTCTAATGGAATCTATTTGTTTTAAATAATAAAGAATTTAAAAAAATTTTAATGATGACATAATCTATATGTCTGTCCTCCAATAGGTCATAGGTGAGAACCAATCAGAATGCGTGCATAACTGAGCTTATTATATAATACATATTAGATCATTGTGGAAAAGGAAGAAAAGAATAAACAGCTGTCTGCATACTTGAGGTCACTAAACAAGATAAAATCAAACTTTTTAAACCAATATGAGTGAAACCGACCTTTCCAAGTACCAATCGATCTCTCTGACTATTGGAATCCGAAAGATTTTTGGATACGCAAGTGGGTGTACAGGCTGGATAAACAATAAACATCTGAAATATGCCGAGCAGTCAAAAGCGAATTTGTCAAACAAACTAAGTACAAGAAAGGCAGGTCAGCTAGGCTCATGTGTTTCAAGTTTCTTGCAGAAACGCTAGTTTCTGACTTTTTGCTCTTACAAGGACACAGTTTATCCTGAAATCGCTAGAGGTTAAAAGTTTGGATTTTGTTTATTGGTGGAATGCCACAACAATAATGCTCAGGTTTAACCGTAATTTCGAAAGTAAAGATCCTGCGTATAAGAAGCGACTATCGCGAAGAATGCATTGGTGGCGCTGGATTCAGTAAAGGTTTTAATCACATACTAGTCTCGAAAGGTTGAACCCTGATCTGTGCAAAGAGGGAATTGCTTCACGAAAAGCTGCAAAGTCCTGAATTGATAGGAGTTACCACTTTCGGAAATTTCAAAAACACTTTCGGATTACTGAAGAATAATGAAAGAGGAATGAAATAAATATGGAAAGAAAGATTTTGTATATCTTCATTGAAACCAAAAGTCAACAAAACTTTGCTCTCCTAGAAGTAGGTAAGACAACTCTATCAAACTGGCTATGCCCTCACCTTTCTTCTTGTCATTCCTTTTAGTTTTCATGCGTAAAAAGCTCCCGGGTTTGTCCACCTTCAAAACGCAAGATAGCTGCAGATAGCTTTTGGTGGATAGTGTGCCAGTGATCTCTATTACCCCACTCTGGATATTTGAAACAGTCATGCCGGACGAACATGTCGCTTGAAGATGTCCACAGGCCGAGGGGCACCAAGCGAGTAGGAGTAGGAATGAATATAAAGGGATTGAATGCATCTTCAAAGACAGTTAACGCTTGTGTTGCTTTATTAGGACAGCGCCCTATATCTTGATTCGAGACCTCCAGCAGAGTTTCAAGATATTCAATCAAAGATATGTTACGATTTGTTTGACAGAATACCCCGCAACTCATTTACATGTCATTGAATAAGAATAGCGTCTATTGTGTTAAGCCTCGATCTTCAAAGCCTCCCGACACATGTAAGTGAGGCGGAAATGAGTTGCGGGGTATTCTGAAGTTTAGCCGTTATTTGCTCAACGAAATATGCAGTAAATTTGCGGCTTACGAAATTTTTCCAACATGGCAGAATGGATTTCTGTAATACAGAACAACACATGTTGTAACAATGGCGGCCGTTTCGCAATTAGAGGCCGGTTTACGTTTTCGAGGAAGTTTAAAGATCGATTTCTAGCCTAAATTTTTTCAAGAGACGCTGTCTTCTTGCAGATGTCAGGTCTATAGCTGAGGTGATTGTTGGTTTTGTGTTATTTTCAAGAAATTAGCTCTAATTTGCTGTAGCTGCGAATTCACTACATGACGAACGTACGCTTGCATCCAAATAGACTTTTACAATTCGCGGCACCATATTGGATTAGTAACCGCGCACACACGATAACGAGGCTGGGGTTGACCCGACGGGGAGTTACTACATCACGGGCGACGAGTGGGGGATGAAGAAAAGACCGAAATACGAGTGGTCAGCGGGTAAACAAATTTAATACTTCATATAGTCACATATCAGTTATAGTTGCGGAAAACAATAGTCTTCTAAAGCCGAAATGTCAACAGTATATTTCGCTAAATAAAATGTTAAGCAATTTTTCAAAAGTGTTGATGGCACATATATCTTTTACTGCTAAACAATGGAGGTATCGGCGGTTCTTTCAAACAGCTGATATGCTGACATTTCACGTTCTAATGCACTTTTCAATGCGATTTCTCCCTTCAAAATGGTTCTTTAATACAACAATATGGAAATTTCGTCATTAGATGACATCCAGAAACTCGAAGCAAAAGATCTCAGGGAGATTTCAAAATCTTATCCAAAATCGACGGGCGGAATTACAGCCGACTTAGTGTCGAAAGTTCATGCTTTGCCAGAGATTCCAACCCTCCCGATTTGATCGGGAGTCTCCCGATTTGATG